GAACATATATCTTATACAGGATATCTACCCATTAAATGTTCTCTTACGTGTATCAATTAAGGATCGATAATTAATGACAAACTTCAAACAGTGTGTAAGCATAGATGTGACATATTTGACAAAACACTTAATAGGAGAATATTGACCAAATATCTTTCATTTGTGTTAATCATATTTGCCCATGGTCAACTGTGCAGTACACGATTTGGTTGATAGATATTGAAGTTCATGAAATAAAATATTCCAGTTTATATTCTATATAATTGTGTTTAATTTGGTTACTATTGGATGTCGTTTAAGATGTCTTGATATATAAAAACGACCATGAGGTAAGGAGAACTTAGTGATCATTGATAGCTAATTAAACAACACTTGTGATCCATAAATATAATCTTATACTTCTAAATACTGTTGATTGTAATAATTCATAGATGTCTACTTCGTAAATCGTTTTTAATACCTATTTTGAAACTACTTTATGGCAATAATCTCAAATCATTAAATGAACAAAAAGAAAAACAATACAAGTTCTTCTCGACATGATTTAGGATGGGTCTCCGTGTAAATTTTTGGGTCCGTTAAAATTAACCACATTATCTATAGCAACTTGTTTTAATATGTTCAGATCAAATATAAGCAGCAGAAAATGATGCTTGCAAATAACCCCGTGGTAATGACTTTACTGGGTTTTTTTTACAATTTATATTGCATTATGAAAAACTATTGATCTATAAAGAATACAAATTGATGTGTATTTGTACTGGAGAGAGAACACAATATTGACGTTTTATAAACTGAATACAATTAGCAGTATGCATTAACGTTAAGAGGTCGGTATATAATTTTGATATTTCAGATTAAGTTTTTGTGTATATCATCATAACCGAAAACCATATCTTATTTCCTTCTAGAAAATGAAAACGATAATTCTCACCATGCAGAGGTAGGAGTATTTCTTTATTAAAAGCAATATATATGTATCCATGAGGGGAAGTTATTTTTTGTCTTTGTGTTTTAACATAATCAATTTTATTGTAGGTTTTGCATTTTTTGTGTGTTGCTGTATTTTAAAAGCAAACGAAGGATTGTATTTATCATCTGGGTTCAAAAAATATTTGATGTCAGTTTAAAATCGGTGGTTTGATTGCTGTGATTTACGTTCTGTCAAACGACTTGATCAGAAATAGTGCTTATTTATTATACTAAACGGTAGCATGACACAAGAATTATTCCAAGTTACCGAAGTACATGTGGGATTTTTTCAAAATCAGATTCACAACGTTTACCATACTAAAATGGTTCCTTTGTTATTTTTGTTGAGCAATATCTTCTTGTGCATCACCTTTTGAGTAGTCATGTTTTCAACAAATGTCAAATAGTAAAATTTCATTCGTCAAATAGAAAAATCATATTGTCAATATTTTTAGAGCATCAATATTTACTTATCGTTGTTTATAAGTGGAAAAACCCTTAATCATCTTCTGTCTGATGTTTAGATGGTGCACATTAAGGCTATATGTATATCAACATAACAAGAGTGTTGTCCATACACTTTGGTAAAGTCCGGTTATAACGATCAGTCATTTATAGGCTGTTAACGCTTATCGGACGGTAAATATATCAGATCCTAAAATCAGTAAGGAAGCATACGATTAAGAGCCTGGTACTATGATGGTCAAACCGATAACTCCTGGAACTCACAGCAGACTGACAGAGTGAAGGGTAATTCTACTTAACTCCACCAACACACTTTCTTACGAAAGGGTGTAGTTAGTCTTCCATATTGTATTGGACGGATGAAGCCAAAGTGAGTATGTATCGTTCAATTTCTACTTGTATATTTTAAAAGGGTTCACAATACTTTTTAATTATGTATTTCGTAATCCATTGATTTTGTTCAGTGGAAGTGACATCTTTCTGATGAATTTGCGTATGTTACATTTTGCATTCTACAAGTGTAATATAACCTGAGGTGTTTTTCATTGGTTGCGCCACTCAGATATCGATTGTGACTCATTATAGACAAAGAAATTACGGAGTGATTTTGTCCTCCATATTTTTATTCTAAAACCTGTTGAAATGTAACTTTTCTAGGTTATATGATGAAAATTTGTTTGAATTTCATGTGTGATTTGGTGAAACTCATGTAGGAGTTTTTGCACATCAAGTCTCGAAAAACTAAGATAAAATTGTAAGTCTCCTTTTATAACATTTCATATGAAAACTAATGCAAAATCCTATACATATGCAAAAACACTTTTTACTTATGTTTGCGTACTAATCTTAATCACAGCCGCACGAGAACCTGGATGTCAATCGTACAACTGATAGAATACCTTCACTATTCGGATAATAATACTGATATATATTTTATATGGTAAGAAAATTTCCTAACACAACCTTATAATTGCTTGTGACAGTTTTACATTAAAATTTGCTTAAGGGTTTATAAAAAATCCATATACAAACATTACATAATTGCTTCACCACGTTTTACGGTAGTGTTATAGAAAAAATAATCGTATAAAACCATTAATATTGGACTGGCTCGGACTCTTGAGAAGTGCACCGATAAGTAAACAGGTTTTAACTACATGGCGCTCAATAATACAGATAAAAGTTTAACTCTGCATCAAGTCATAGTAATTAAACAATTAAATAAAAGTAAACATAATAAAAAGCCAAAACTCATTAACTGGTTATAGATAACAATGCTGTCATCGAGTAGTATGTGCTACATTTAAAACCAATGGTGTAGTTTAAAAGGATTTGCTTGTTTGCTAACAGAATAAGTATATGCTTACTACTTTTCTCTAGCAAAGAAACTATTGTAAAGTGTAATTCTTTATGTGAAAACGGCAATAATGACGATCAATAATCCGTCATCAGATAACAGGGGATGATAAAGTACGTTTGTACTTGTCAGGAGTGATTATCATCTTGAATAATCCAAACCCAAGACAAGGATATCTGTTGATTGTTGATTAGCTTACCATGGCAACCCGGTTAATTTCCATATAGCATTGCGTCAACGGGACAAAACAGGTCATACAATGAATATAAACACCATAGAATACGTTTATAGTAAGTGGTTGAATCAATCGACATTTGTTTTCTGGTGATTTGTGAGGATGTTAGCGATTCTGTTTGATATAGAATCAATTTACTTAACGATCAGTAAAAGTTCCTAAAGATAAGATAGCAATATTACATAGAAAATCCAAAATAGATCATACATACCAAAAACTACTACTGTATCATCGCGGACACACACCATCGAAATCACATAAGGGTAATTTGTGAAGTGATAAAACATGTGTATGAAAACCTGGAATTCGCTACTTCACGATGAACATGGAAATGATATGATTTACACTTGTGTTGCATTGTCTCTAGAGTACCTTACCAACCACAATTTATGTATTTATCAATACTTACACATGGTAATTAGGCTTGCACGAGAGTAAACGATCTTGTCATTACTTATACCGACTATAACTCTGCGATGTCTACTTTCATCCCTAACTTTTATATGAACGTAGTGAAAATATGAAGAGACATAAAGATATGTAGACGTTACGTTTCGAGTATTTTTATAGCAAATATAAATTTCAATTTGATAATTTGTTCTTGGCATTATTTTGTTGTCTTGGCGTCGTCAATGACATCAAAGTGGCGCCACCTATTGATTCGGGGTATAATATGGCAGTTTGGTTGAACTCATCATTGTTCTAACTAAATGTATAAGGTCATTCGTTTTTAAAAGTTTTATGACAATCTGTGATTATAAAATGTAAATTAAAAGATTTTTAAAAAAATCTCCTGTACGTGCATTTCAGTATTTGCATGTTTTGTAGAAACCCTAATGTAAAAACACTTCCCGGCATGTGATACCATCATAAGCAAACTTTGATTAACGATGATTAGCAGTATAGAATGTAGCATGATACACAGGAACAACACAAACACTTGAAAAATGTTTTTTTTTCTTTGACGTGCAACCTTAATAGCAAGTAGATGGATAAGATCAATAGTAAAATATACCGTTGGTGTAAACACTCGTTTGTTTTGGCGAATGGCACGTAAGCGCAAACATAAACATATATTTGCAGTAATGGCTTGAACTTATTCACAGCGGAACAACCTATTACAACTGCTGTAACAGTTGTTCTGTAAACGTACGGAGAGGCTTGCCTTGAGCGTAATTTCTGAAGAGTCATTAACTCCTACGTTGAAGTTTTAGATAAGGACTTTTGTGGACAGACTAAAATGTTTAGTTTGTAATTGGCAAAGTTACAGGGTGAGGAAAAATCGCGACTGTCCGCTGTTGTTTTCTTTTTAGTTTAGTACTACATGAATGTTGTAGGGGAAAGTTTTAATTATATCATTATATTTGTTTTCTTATCTTCTAGATACAGTTCCAGTGATTCTCAGTTCACAATATTGGTAAATATGTGACTTTGTCACTTCTCGCCAAATCTCTATAAGTGTCCATAAATTTTGTATCATTATTGGTATTTTAATATATATCACACATCCGTAAAAATACATGCTATAGAAGACAGAAAGATGTAGTGTGTACTTTCCTCTACAGAAAATAACACTTAATAACATTAACCTTCGACTTTTCAAAACGATATAAGGACACAAATCAAAGGAAATTCGACATTTTCAACACAAACAGAAAATGCTGTATATGGGGATACCTTCACTAATGTTAGTTTGGTCATTAAATACGTAAAACGAACGTCTCAGTTTTAACATCAAACTTTAGTTCATCCTTGTCGTTATTTATTTATTCATTAATTGACAAGCCGGGAAAAGTGCACAACGGACGAAAGTTAAACAGTGTCGAACGTTGTCTACAGTAATAACGTTACACAAAAACAGGAAGAAATCAGACTCGTATCACATAATACAAAATAAAGGTAATTAGGTGTATATCCAGCAAATGATTGTTAATATGTTGAGTGCATTATTTTTTATTCCTTTTTCAGACAATGCTGGAATATCAAATGAAAGTGATAGGATTATTGATTCTATTTGTAATGGACACCAGTCTTGCTAGGGGGCTGACGAAGTGAGTATACGATCGATGTGAGTTCATTATCGTAATATAATTACATCTATCAGATCGTGGCAGTTCTGTTGACTTTACAATTAGAGCGGATATAAAGAAATAATAATATCATATTTCCTAGCATTGATATTTTCATTTCTAATATAATTCAGTTTATTGAAATCATTTTTTCCGATTCACTATTTTTCTTTGGATTAAAAGATCTAAATAAATTCAAGCGATTACTTGGGTTGATCAAGGTTTACGTGGTGGCTGTCATCGACGAAGTGTAAGACGATTACTCCTCCGGAACACCTGGTCTTATCGTCCTTGTGCTTTTTCAGGAGTCTCCGTGTAAATTTTTCTTTTGTTTCTTTGATGTTTTTTGTATTCTTTATCATGTTGCCAAGTTGGTTTTTTCTTGATTTTTCCCCTACGGTTGATAAATCGGAGACCAACTCGAGATTATGAATTTATACCATGATGATCGCCATAGATATCACATTTGATTTCTATCATTGGTACAGCTGTATTCTCAAAATGGTAACTTGTTTATATTCCACGAAATATTAGTTACCTGTATTCGACTTTTGTATCCTCATCATCGAAAGATTCCTTGCAAATTGAGGAAGTCTTTCTTGCGATGTTGTTACTCCTTATTTCAACTTATGGTGAATGGCAGAACATTGTATGTGATATATTAGATAAGGCAAATGGGCGCCATGTTCGAATTTATCAGCAAAAACGTATCACTAATTCTAATTAATTATATTTGACATTTAGTGATATCATAAAACATATAATGATGTTGTTACCATTCGTTTAGTATTATGATTAATTCGAATAAGTAATATATTTCATCGACGTATCGTATTTCTTAATAATTTCTCTCTTTTAGATGGGAAAAAATAAACAATATCCTCAGCAAAAATGATTTTTCTACACCACCCTGGAGAGGAAAACGTATGTATTGATATTAAATAAGGTAAACTAAAATTCAGGATTAACAATTCAAACATTTTTCATCCTTTTTTTCAATATAGATATTATTCAGAGCAGTCCTTGTTAACTATCATCCACAGTACTAATATTTTTGTTTTGGATACTATGTTGACATAATGCGTGATTATATGAATTATTTATGTAAACATGCATTAATCACTTTGTTATTCCAGTGTGTGTGTGTGTGTGTGTGTGTGTGTGTGTGTGTGTGTGTGTGTGTGTGTGTGTGTGTGTGTGTGTGTGTGTGTGTGTGTGTGTGTGTGTGTGTGTGTGTGTGTGTGTGTGTGTGTGTGTGTGTGTGTGTGTGTGTGTGTGTGTGTGTGTGTGTGTGTGTGTGCGTGTGTGTGTGTGTGTGTGTGTGTGTGTGTGTGTGTGTGTGTGTATGTGTGTGTGTGCTGATTACACATAAGAATTAATGTTGTAATTCTTTCTAGTAATTAAGCTCTTTTTATATTAAGGAGGGAAGTCAACTGTCACAATGGCGATATTTTTCTCTCAGATAAGAAGTACTGGAGTGCATGTAAGTATGACAGTGGTGAAGCCAGCATTTATATTAGTTTCTTGTATATCTAATTCTAACTTTGTATTGAAAAATGATATTCACTCGCGTGTACTTTTCTTCAATCCTACCACATCGTCTATTCTCGATTAAATACATTAGCTTTGCAAAGGTGTGGTCAACATTTGGCCCCCACTTCGATTTCTTTTATTTTTAGTCACATCTGGATATAGGAAAATAAACCATAACTGCATAAATAAAAAGTCATCCTTTCTACTGATCGGGTTTAGTGAAAGGGTATCCTAATAAAATAAACGCTAATTGTCATAGGTGAATGTGATTTTGAAAATGATTTATGTCAGTATGTAATGTATAAGATAACTTGGTTACTAAATGTCATTTTGGAATACATGAGATAAACGTAGTGACTAAAAAACAATTTCATAAAATTAAAAATATATCTAACATGTTAACTTCATTATATATATTTGCAATTACAGTCAAGGTTTCATATTTCGCTTAAAAAACTTTCCATATGCATATACTGACCACAGAATCAACTTTTCGTATTATCAAAACATCTAAAATACTTTTATTAATACCAAACATGTCCGATGCATAACTTTCCATAATCATGAGGATTTAATCATCATTTTTATGGTAAATACATTTTCTATTTTGTATCATACCTAGAGCCTTTATTATAATATGCGTGAATTTAGCTTATGAGCAGCCTTAATAACTCAAAAATATGCATTCTTCAAAGTAATCTATCCTGTTATGATCTGTTTAAAGTTGGGATGTGTTATTAACGGAGAGGGGCATATTATATACAAAGATAATAAAAGTAATTATTTTAATTAAACTAATAAACACAGGATTAACATTATGTATTTTCCCATTTATCAAAGAAACATAATTTTATATATTTTACTCTGATCAAGCAAAGCAAGAAATGATAACCTTGTAAGACATCCTATTTTCTTAATACAGATACGGTTATTGTAATTTAATTTATACCATTCTCATGTATGTCAGATATTCAGTATTAACTACTTGTACCAACTACTACTGGTCCCTCGTTAACTTCACCTCATCTACACCCATGGTAGGTGTTTGCGTAGGCCGTGGTTGCAAAACCAGATTGAAAGGGTTCCGAGTTAAATTTTTTTTTTTTAAAGACATGCATATTCATCTCGGTATTATTGGTTGCAGCAAATACTGACTGCTGAGAATGATAATATATCAGAAAAAAGTATAACACGTGTAAATGTTACAAATGCAACCTCAAACAAAGACTATTGCAATCAATGTTTGCTTAACCTACTAGTGTTAACACTTCAGATGACATGAAGAATTATGCTGACGACACTTTCTGTTGAGAGTTTATTTTGTAAATGGAATTCACATAAAAGGTGCTTCATCTCTGGAAAAGAGGTACTGGGTTATGCAACATACGTGGGCATACCTGAATAAAACTAATAGTTTCCATTTTCTGTTGTATCCAACTGAAGCACGTGTTTGTAATGAACATGTAATTGGTCACTTTCTGAACCCCTCATTGACGATCGACCTGCAAATGCCGGAACGATTAGAGCTTCATTTCAAAACACAATTGGTCAGGTGATAAATGACCTCCATGACATGTGCCATTTTTTGCAAATAGCTCGGATAATGCATGGGTTGATGTTGACCATCTCGGTGAAGAGGAATGTAAAGCATGAACGGGATACACACTTGAGCAATTGCAGAAAATCCATAGTATTTGCTCCTCCCAAATCGATAGAGGACCATGTTCCTCTACATTCCATGCTTTTTCTTCTAAGATCAAATGAAGATCAACATTTTCTGGTCTCAATTTGATGTCTTGTTTGGTCTTACAAAATATAATGTTTATTTCATAGCCATACTATTGTATCTGGGTAGTGGAGAGTTACCATGGTCGATTAAAATAGTGGAAACTGTTCAAAAGCTACTCAGTTCAAACTATATCCTCAGCATCATAGAGGTACTGTTAAGAGGAACAACAGCTTATTCGAATGCTATACATTGACATATTAATGTGTCTACACCAGAGAAGGTCTTGAGGGACCGTCGTCTTCCTGAGCGCATGCAATCCCGTTTGGCTCTGCTTAATACTTGGCCACTAGGATAGTTGATGATCCCGTCCTTTCCAGACACAACAGGGCCAACTTGTTGAAGCTTGCCGCCTGTTCAGTTTAGTTCCTCATATTTTATATTATATATCTAGGAACAGTAACGTGCGGCTCATATCAACTAAAAGAAGTGTCAAGGTACATTGCAGATCCATGTTAGGATCGTGAAGAGTGGGTCTATTAGTATAAAGGCAATCAAACCTCACCTGGGTTCGATTCCCTGTCAGATATTATTATTGTGTCTGTCCAGTGGACAAGCGAACGGTGGTGACGTGTGCATAGGTTGCATACATTTTGTATTTCTTGGGTACGTCACTAAGACCACAGCCTATCAGCCTATATGATAAAAAGGCATTTACCCTACTTTTGTTTACATTGATGTTAGTTATTGTTTTGACCGCTTTATCAGATGTCTTTGATAATACGGAACGATTAAAATACTGAAAATTTTATATACAAAAAATGATGTTATAAACTAAATATTCGCTGTATCATTAAACTTCTCCATCAACCTGCATCTTTTTTTCTGTCAGCTGTTGACATCGTTCACAGAGATCGTGATATTGGGATAAAGTCGTTGATGAGCTGCGACATGTAAAACCATATGTTAGGGAATCTACAATATGTATCATTCATAGCTTAAATGAAAGTCTCATTGATGAATTCCATTCACTTTTATACTGACGGCGATTTACTTTTCCAAGAAGGTGGAATTCATGTATAATATCTATCAAACCTGGCTGGACACGAGATTAACCTATAACGCTACGAATCCTGACGACATCGTAGAAATCAGCAGGCGACACTGGAACAAAGTATGGCAGCCGGATCTCTATCCTGACAATGATATATCATCCTATAGACAAGATGTTTCCAATGTCAACAAGTTACTATGGGTTCTCCCTAATGGAACGATGACACTGGGGTTAAGGTATGTACAACTTATAACATTTATCTGAGGTACTTCAGATCACCTGACAATTTGGGTCAGCCTATACTAGGGCAAACACAAGTTGCACAATACATATTACAGCATAAATTAAATCAAATTAATGTGGTAATTCACTTCCAACGAAACTAAAACTTTGTTATCTATTTACTTTTAACCATGATGTCTTTCAGATTGACCACTGAACTTTCTTGTAAACTACTGACGGTTCAATTTCCTGTTGGGAAATCCATTTGCCGTATGAAATTTCGCACTTGTAAGTTGAATATTACTATGTTTATATCTATTTGTACAAACTTAATCCTACAAATGAAATTCACTAAGTACTGTGAGTTGGTGCAATGTAGTGCAATGCCACTCAAAACCTTTGTCATTTTAACCCCTGTTAGTAATACTGTGTACACTTCTCAGACACTCTGAATAATACAGACATACATCCCAAGTTTTTGAAATTTATACTAATGGTTCTTTTTTATCCGCGCGAGGGGTCCTATGTAGAAAAAACCTGGTTGGGCAGGTGACCCTATACCTTCTCTCGTCTGTGCCATCTGACTTTTTTTATCATGAGATAGCTTTTCTATTATTAAATGTGAGTTAAGTTAAATCTCCGCAAATCTAAACTCCTTATTTACTGTTTAAGTTCTGCTGGCTTAGAAACATATGCCGCTTCAGATGTTTTTGGTTTGTAGTCTCCTACAGACAAGAAGTCCTCAGACTACAATGGAAATCCAAAAATGCCGTTCATTTTGCTTCTAACTTACTTAAAAACTACATGAAGCTTGCACGATACAAGAAAAAAATGTGTATGAACGACAGAGTGTCACGTGAGTGTATGAAACCTAACAACTGATTTCTTTTAAATCGTTTGCTCTATGAATAATTAATGAGTTTGTCAAAAGCTAAAAAATTTCTTCTTCTCTTTATATAGCGGCCAATGACGTTCTGTCTTTACTTTTATCGGTCAGTTCAGTTCCTGTTGTAATTGATCTATATGATAATATATTAATGGATTCAGTTTTGAGATAAAATATTTCGCAAATGAAATTCATCTTTCGATATTTTTCATGATTGCGTTGACTTTATGGTATCTTTTTTTTATTTTGGATGATAGTATGTACTAATTAGTTTTATTTTCTTCTGTAGTAGTTAGAACATCATGTGTAGAGTTGATGCTGCGCCTAAAGATAGATTACTCGTCAAGCCTGCTGCAGTTATACTTGCCCAGCATTTTTGTGGTTTTGATGGCTTGGCTATCTTTCTGGGTACGTCGCGATCAAGTAGCGGCTAGGACATCCCTTACTACTCTATGTGTCGTGTCTATGATCACAGAAAAGATGGGAGTCAACTTCTTGATGCCAGAGGCAGCAGGTGTCATGGCGGTGGAGATATGGATGTTCGTCTGTCTCACATTCGTATGCGGAGCTCTCTGTGAATTTATCTGGGTACATACCCTCACTGGATTGGAAAGAAAATCCATGGCTGATGGAGGGATTAGAACACCAAGTCTCACTGATGATCCACCAAGCACTGTCAAGCTCCACTGTCAAAATGTATGTTCATTTTGTTAGCATTTTATCTCCCCTTATCCATATATAACATTATATTTTCTTTTTACTTTGTATTTTTTTAAAGCTCAATACCAAGTTCCTTAAATTTGAAATAATAAGCATTGTTTTGTCTGATTGTTACTACTCGCGATACATGAATTGGGATAACCAAAGTGTAGATGAATTATGATAGTTGTTTAAAAACAAATTGTACGTCAGCTTGCGACCTTTCACAAGCAAATATCATTTTTGCCTGCGTATTTCTCCGTGGGATCAGAAAACTACTGATATCTATTACACTTACAAATATTTATTCACTTAAACGCAAATAGAAAATGTTAAAAACAAGTTTAACTTATATTAACTTTTAGCTTAAATTAAAGCTTCTTCTCAATTACATTTTACGGCATCTAAAAAAAATGATGAGATGGACAGAGCAATGAACAAAACATTAACAAGAAGTCTGCTATTAACCGTTGCACTACATTGAAATATAAACCTAAATTACATATGGAAATCGAAAGCAAAGAAAAAATATCGTGTTACCAAGACGATTTTAAACATATATTTATTCGACTTATTCTGCTGTTGATGAGGTTTGAAATGTAACAAATATTTCTGATTTTTTCCTGTCATTGATACTTATATCATCCAACAAAAGAAACACAACTTAATTCGATATGTATTATTTCATTCTTACATCAGAAATGTTCATTGGGCTACATCTGACTCTGAGTCTAGACTGTATTTAAGATTTACGATGAAGCGTTGAAATAGTTTGGAGCGTTACTTGTATAATCCTTACTGATGAACTATTTAAGATTCTATTTGCTGAGAAATCTTGGTGTATATTTGTTCATGCATTTTGTGAAAGCTTTCTTCAATTTGCAATACAAATGAAAATTAAGTACTGTGTTCTTAACGAAAAAAAAAAATCCTTTTATAAGTAATTACGCACCTTATCAGCCTATGTTTTCTATGCTGTTTATAAAAAGTACACAAAGCGAAGAGAGGAAAATTCTGGTAAATGATACCGTGCGATAATCCAACTATTTGAAGCAATTACAAATGTGGATCCAATGTTTTAACAGGTCAATTAAAATCAACGAGATAAAAACTGGATACTTTTATGAAAGGAATAGAAATATTTAAAATTCTGTCAGTCAGTTTTTATAAACTGAATTTCCAAGGCGTTTTATTTAAGGTTATATAATATGCTATATTACAAAGTGAACGTAATTTTATTGCACGGGCACTAACTAGTAAATGTATGAATTAAAGGCTGAAAGCTAAAGGCTGCTTTTGTGTTATTGTGACAAAACAACAAGAATTTCTGTAACTAAATAGGAATATTTTTTTATAAAATATGCTCCATTTTGGGGTCCTTATTACTTGTACCCGATAAATGGACTTTCCTCAAAGACGGAAAAATATACATTTAGCTTATACACAACTTACTCTTTTACTACTGAATTAGATGTTCTTTATACACACTATGCGTTTATTGCCATCTCATTTCGGCATTTGTTGATCACAATGAGCAAAAACTGTTTTAAACAAACACAAAAGCGTGCACCCATGCTTTCTAGCACTTTATCAAATACTTTGTAGCATGGTTTCAACTGCTCCGTAGCAAGATATAAAACACAATATTGCGATATGAAGTATCTGATGCCATTCTGCAAAGCATTTGATACACTGTTTTGTAGCATGGTATCAGATATTTTGTAACATGCCTTGCAGCATGGTAAACACCACATCTCTATCAAACTGTTTCTTTTATTGCCTCATTTACCGAGTAAGATTTCACAATTCAATTTATACATTTCAATATGTTGTTACAGTGTGATCTAATCTTATAAACATGATTTCATTTTTTTCCCACAGAAAACGGCCCAAACTCGCAGAAGTTGGAAGCGTCGATTTGCTTACTGTGGAATTTTCCTCAGATCTGGCCAACTGGAAACTTGTGCAAAGATAATATATGCGTTAGCTTTTGGAAGTTTTCAAATAGTGTACTGGACTTATTTTCTTCTTCTTGATTGACTCATAGGTGCTGGAGGATGTCATGTCAGACATGGCAATATGTTTTTTAAATTTCCAATTTATATACTTGTAGTTTTATATTGTCAAATGTATAACAAATTACAAAAATGTCGAATGGTCATATACAGTACTGAAAAGAAGAGACCAACAGTTCCTACAAACACATAGGTAAAAACAATTAGTGATTACAACATGAATGGAAGAAATGCCAGGAAAAAATAGCATAACATGAATAATGATTTTAAAAAACTGGAACTGGAATCCAACCCATTGAAATTTCTGAACTGTAATGACGTCAGCCATAACGTTTCTGGCAGAATTCTCTGAAAGAATCTACGTTCACAAACCACGTAGGTGAAATGTTGACATAACAAATATTTCATTTGTAGGGAACAGCAAAACATTTATTAATGTAATTTAAAGATGCTATTTACATAGCAATTACTTGTGTGAAATACCATTTCGATAGTGAATAAAAGACTGTGAAAACTAAATTAATTGTGAAGGTAAAAGTCAATATAATAATATCGTGAAATTCGGTGTTGTAATCGCCTATTCAATATTACGAGATTTGATGATGCAGACACAACATTCTAATCAAAATTAGACTTGCAATTTCCCCTAAAATGTCCGCTCCTGTATGATCATCTACAATGTACATTACCAACAATGGACTTTGTCGTAAAATCGTAGAGGAACGCTAATCACAAGTCTAGTTGTCTACTCTTTCTCATTTTGAAACGTGGCATCACTTACTCGGACAGACCAAGATTTACATGTCGGTTACTCTTCCGGAACACCTTGTCTTATTCTCCTCTTCCTTTTCCAGGAAACTCATTGTAAATTAAGATTCTGTTGACGTTCCGAAGAATGTGACACAACATATTTAGCTTTGGAAACTTTCTGATGTTTGTGACACAACAGGTGTAACTTGGGAAAGGTTCCAAAGAATTGACACAACAAGTATAACACAATATTATGATTGGGAGACATTCTTAATAGTGTGACACAACAGGTATAACATAATATCTATGATCAGGAGACATTCTAAAGAATGTGACACAACAGGTCTAACATAATATCTATAATCGGGAGACATTCTAAAGAATGTGACACAACAGGTCTAACATAATATCTATAATCGGGAGACATTCTAAAGAATGTGACACAACAGGTCTAACATAATATCTATCATTGGGAGACGTTCTAAAGAATGTGACACAACAGGTCTAACATAATATCTATGATCGGGAGACATTCTAAAGAATGTGACACAACAGTTGTACGATACCTGTAATTGGGGGACGTTCGGAAGAATGTAATACAACAGGTGTACCATAATATCTGTAATTGGGGAACGTTCTAAAGAATGTAACACAACAGCTGTACCATAATACCTGTAATTGGGGGACGTTCTGAAGAATGTAACACAACAGGTGTTAAATAATAACTGTAATTGGGGGACGTTCTAAAGAATGTAACACAACAGTTGTACCATAATACCTGTAATTGGGGGACATTCGGAAGAATGTGACACAACAAGTGTTAAATAATACCTGTAATAGGGGGACGTTCGGAAGAATGTGACACAACAATTGTACCATAATACTTGTAATTGGAGGGCCATTCTAAAGAATGTAACACAACAATTGTACCATAATACCTGTAATTGGAGGGCCATTCTGAAGAATGTGACACAACAATTGTACCATAATACCTGTAATTGGAGGGCCATTCTGAAGAATGTGATACAACAATTGTACCATAATACCTGTAATTGGGGGACGTTCTAAAGAATGTAACACAACAATTGTACCATAATACCTGTAATTGGAGGGCCATTCTGAAGAATGTGACACAACAATTGTACCATAATACCAATGATTGGGCGACGCTTAGAGGATTGTGATACAATAGTTTAATAATGTTTTATGGTATGATACAATATTTTAGTGACTAGTGGTTGAATGATTGTTTAATGAAGTGACGCTTAAACACTGATTATTTGATGCTGTGACACAATACCAATGGTTTTGTTACTATTATTGTTAAATGACGTTTAGATCGTGACACGATATACCAACAGTTGAGTAACATTTCCAGAGTAGTGACTCAAATACTAGAACGTACTTGCGAGTGGTTCTATCAAGTGGTTTAACCCGAATTCGTATCAGATAAGAGATTCTTTTTCTCATTGTGGAAGTGTATCAAAGACTCATTCCAAGTGAAAATAATCACTACAAGTGGTTCGAACAGAACAAATCTGGAAGTAAATTATTCTGTTTCCTATACAACAGAGATAATTAATTATTTCAATGCCCTCACCGAGATTCGAATCCGGGACCTCTGGCTCTGACGCTCAACCGATCGCGCTAAAAAGAAATTCTCTCCAGCCGAGTGGTATATTAGTAGTATTTTACCTGGGTTACATTACTTTCCCTCCCGGAAATAACTCATCCTCGGGTTTCCAGGGCGGATTATTCCCGAGTCCCTACTTTGGCGCCAATGATTCGAACCCGGGACATCTGCTTTACTAGTCTGGCGCTCAATCGACCGACCTAAAGAGAAGTTTTTTTAGACGAGTGGGTTTACATAATATTACTATATAGCCAGGTCATGATGGTCTAAATCGGGGTACTGCCTAACAACCGCTTTGTGTTCAGATTTCTTTAAATCTACACAAAAACAAGAGTAATACTTTTGTGAACAGAAACATGTTTCTCGATACTTGAAAAGAACATATTATTTGTTAAAAGTTGCCAAAAGCAGGCAGGTAATTTTTATCAGTCAAGTGATTTATTTGTTTTCGATCAACATTGTTGCAGAAAGTTATGAGATTTGATCTAGATATTTGACCTGGCGACATTGACATGTAATCAGATGACTTTCAAAGTTTAACAAATATTCAGCAGTTTAAAAGATACTTAATTTCAGCGCACTGCACATCGACTTTGAATGACGAAGTGGCAGTTCAGGTTTGAAGATATTTTGACGCTTAAAAGTGAATGTCTATCATTGTCTAGTTATCATTAGATATTTCACCTTAATTTGCTAATATTTGTCACCTCATAATGCTTGGGGTGATGCGTATATTTAACAGTTAAATTTTTATTCATGTATCACTAATCATTCTAATGCTATGGTCCGGATAAAACTTAAGTGAAATGTCTGCAACTCTTTGATCATTGATCTTGGGGTGAAGGTCACGGCAAGATATCATCAGTTTGGAGGTGATGCACATATATCTAACAGTATAACAGTTACATTGTGTTAAAAACAGTACTAGTTCAACGCATTCCTTCATTGGAAGAAGAGACAATTTCTGTTAATGACCGGAGGATATGATGATACGACTTGTACACATGTAATGGGTCAGACATCTTGACCTCTGTGAATTTGAATACATTTATCAGACAACTGGTATCTTCAACCGATACAGCTAGCTATCAAAGACATACTGTCTGGGTGTATATTGTAGATAACCGATTGAACTTCTAGATAAAATTCCGCAGACAAAGGACGTCTTTATGACAAGGAAGAGTTTTTGTTTAAATAAGGAACATGGATAAAGATTTTCATGGTAGATACATTAAACATTTTAATAAGTTATAGGGTTTGATAGAATATCAATCTTCACAATGAAATTTGTCCTAATTATTACCTTTTTAGACTGGTAAATGTTTTCCATCTCCATGAAAGTTCAAATTATATTTGATATCTTAATATTGAGACCTGCTACAGCATAATATATTGGCAAACTATATATTTTTGTGGGATTTAATAAATCTACTTAAACGAATTTGAACAATTTGTTGACAAATGAATTCATGGATTCTGAGTACTAACGAAATCAACAAAAAAAACCATTTGAGTTTACAGTACAGATTGATAGTAAACTGCTGTTATGATTCACAGCTCTTTTAATTGATTTGATTTTTCTATTGATATAAATAAATGATGAAACACAAACATATTGCCACCAGAGATTTTATTGCCTCTCCAGCTCTCTCCATTTCATAGGGACCTCCCTATCTGTACAAAGTACAGATGCCACTCTCTGCATCTTTAAAGGCACTGTGAAGGAAACGAAATCTAACGAAAAGGATGATAGGAGTATACATGTGTTATTTTGATTATTTAAACAAAATAGTTATGAATTCTTACAGATATTTAACGAAAAATGGGTGGGATTCCACTTAAGGATGAAATGATGAGTTCCTTCAAAGTGCCTCAAAGTCCTCAATAAAACATATAAAGGGACTAATAATGAATGAAATGATTACAACTTGAAATTATTACAAGTTCTAATGAACATACAACATACAATGAAATGAACCACATTTACAGTCTAGGTAATATCTAACTAGATGGTGACCATGTACTCACTTTGTTTACTTTGGCTTTTGTTTCAGTGTAACTAGTTTTACCCTGAGTTCTGCTTTCGTTTCTCCCTATTTATCATACGGATTCATCAGCCATGTTTTCATAATATTCAACCTCACTCTACTTTAAGATCTCTTCTCACCTTAGATAAAACTAGCACAATTCTCATGAATGACTGGTTTGAAGATGTTCATACTTTTTTAACTAAAACTATGTAAGATTTCTCTCTTCCATATGAATATCATGAAGTGATTATTATTAATAAATAAAAAAAAAACAGGATTACTTTTCCTTTCCTTCACTCCCTCTCTTTCACATATGGCATGGTTCATGTCTTGCTTAAACTCATTCATAATACATGTGCTTCATTACTTACAAGTGAAGTCACTTATACTTTATTGGACACAACGATTGTCGAAGTTTAATTAACAAAGACAACTGAAGGTCAACAAAGTCTTTACATACAGGTTTCAAATTTTTCTTTCAATAAAAAGAGTATTTCAAAATCATAAAAATAAACCATTAAGCTTCTGATGTAATATCTTAATTCAAACCCTCCTAGCATGCATCCAGTGCATTACTTAATCAACAAAGTAAAGACATCATTTGTTATTAAACTCGTAATGGTCCTCATCAATATAGTCATCGTAATCCTCCTATACACCACGTAGTGAAAAGGCGCACTGTCAAAATTGCTAAAAGTTTGGGGGGAAAAAATACAATATCCCTTATATAAACATAAATGAAGTAAACAATTCACAAACTTAACATAATCATCTCAACAATCTTCCATGGAATGTTCTATGAGAGAAAATACTAAGAACTTTATATTTATAAATTTGCAAATATATATAACTGTTTTATATAATTTTTGCAAACTTTAATAATTACTGGGAACTGAACAATAACTATTACAATATGAAATAAATAAACAGTTATCTTTATGTAATTGCTGTTCAGTGTTGTGTAAATTTCTATCGTATATCCTTTTAGAACAGTGCGCCTATCCACCACGATAATATTTACAATGGAAGGTGTAACATCCTATAGTATTAACTACTCTATGGATCTGCTGCCTCTCACGTCAGACTAGTCCTGATTTGGACATGTCCTGGTTAAAAGATCCTGCTTATATCAAATATTTACACATAATTTTAAGAAATAAAATAATTTCAAGGAATATGGCATCTCTGTTACATACAAACTATAATACACATAAAATGAAAGACATTTTTTTTTAACATTTTCATATTTTTTATATTTTTTATAGACTTAAATAATTTTTAATTGTTTGGATTTTTTTAGAACTTTTAATATTTTGAACGTTGAACAAAATAGATATACTAGTTGTCTCTACAGACTGTCGCTGGTGGCAATTTTATATTTTTTTTCTACATATTCTAACGGTAAAAGGGTTCCAAACCTCCTCAAGCCCTTGAAATAAACCATGGAAATCAAAAAAAGTCGTCAGAAGATAGGTAGGAGAAATACAAACACAGATCACAATACATTAAAAATTAATATCACTAAATATCAACACACTGTAATGCTATCAACAAAAATATATTAACTTTTGCAAAAAATAATCAACTAAATAAACTGTCTACATAAGCTATTTCCTCTTTTTTAACAACAATCTTGCTATGACATTAACCATAGAAACTAACTTCCTGGTAATACTTCCATTGCAAATATATAACCATTGATAATTATCACAGACTATCATATCAAAACAAACTTTACTTGTAGTCCATTGCACAGTTACTAACTTCCTCACCACATAATGAAATCAAACTTAAAAACCAAAAATCAATATTTTGCTTATATAAACAACGTTTAAGGGCTTGAGGAGGTGATGATTTGCAGGAGGCAAGACTACAGTGTAAGTAGTGATGACACAGTAGTATCTTTATACATAATATACAAGTGTGTCTTGTAACTTTTGGGTATTTATTCTATCTAGTACTTATAACTCTCTTTGTGCATAAGAAAATCTACTTTCAAGCATTACGCAAGGTCCATGTGGCAAGAAAACATCCTTGAATAGAAAATTTTTGTATCAACATTTAAAGCTGAATTTTTAACAATCAAATTATTTTATATAGCCTATGCTTACTTTCCAAAGGGGGACTAAAAACTTGATTCTGCATCATCTACTTTGTGGAGATCTTTCAATTCAAAATAGCAATAAAATGATAAACGAACCTTGTATAAGCATTGAGAAGTAGTGTAAACAGAGTGTTCTATGTTAGTTAGCGGCTACAGGTGTAGGCTTGAGCTGTCCACCTGTTCCTTCAGTATCTTGGTGCAGTTCTGAGCCGCATGACACCCGAAGCAAGCTGCTATCACAACTTGTGTCCTCGTTGTAAAGCCTCTTGATGGCATCTGAAATATCATCTTCTACTTCATCATCAGACTCAACTTGCTCAGCCTTCCTCTTCATGGTCTTGATGCGCCGGAATGGGTGGTGGGGCAGGAAGTGGTACCCAGTTGGAAGCAAGTGCTTTTCAACTAGGAACCGACTTATCAGCTCACGGCACCAGATCAGCGACTTGTTGTCCATCTGTGATTTTTTAATGAATTTTCAAATAAATTGTACTAATATCCAACATAGTTTTATTGTCAGTTTAAAATGACATTTTTCTCAATGTTCACTCAAAAAGGCCATGAATTTGCATTCGATAAATCTGATAGGTTTAATTTCATTTTTCATATTATAAATTATATAATATTCAATTTATAACCATTTAAAGATAAAAATAATTCAAGGTACGAATAAACAGGAAAAAAAACAATAAGAATACTTTAGATGACTATCATAATGATAAAAAGATCAAACTGCCCAAATTATTTGACAGATAATTCTAGCACTGGTGATGTAATTACCCCTGCCATCTGTTGTATCATGAGCATGATGGAGAACCAGTTCTGGGTGATCTGTTCCAGCTCTAGACTGATCATGGCCAGACAGATGACAGAAGGCTTGAAGGTCTGCAGGTGATGGTTGCTGAGGCAGAAGAAGAGTTTCCGTGTGAGGACACCAAGATGTTGGGAGGGTGTCATGTCACTCAGACCATCCAACAGTTGGGGGTAGTAACACATCAGCATAGCATGGAGCTGAAATGGACATCAACTTCTTATGATAAGGAACAAAAATGTGTTAATGACAATAAATTTGTGACCCGACGCTTACTGATTTTTTTTCTATATAACAAGAATAGAAATCAATCAATGAATTTGTGTTTTTTTAATTGAAATTTTGAAAAAAATCTGAGGTCCCCTTCAATTTCTGTGAATCAAAAGGCCATGAGTACACAGGTAAATGGAAACTCAGGATTGTGTTTTTCTCTAAGCTATGATTAAATATGTATAGCATAATAAGGTATTTTCACAAAGATGATGTAATCATCTTCACAAACAACTTACAATGTGAAGGAAGTCAGTTGCTGTTACATATTTGATGTTCCAATTCAGTTTGTTTAGAATCACTGCCTCCATTCTGAGAATTTCTGCTACAGAACAGGAGACCTCACTTCTCTTCACAAGATCCACAGTGCAGGGTATTACCTGAAAATTACAATGTCACAACATAGTAAAACAAAAGACTTTCTCTTTCAGAATATATTTTAGTAACAATGTTGGTTTGATACTTAATGAAAAGCTTAACTCCCGAGATTTTTTTCTACACTAATTAAAAGCATATGAAAAAATATTCACACAAAGTGTGTCCTTTTTCGCTTATCTCCAATGTAACTTACCTCATCTTCCTCCAGGGTCTTTGCTGCGATGAAATAGCAGCTGATCGTCACACAATGGAGATACTTGGGGCGAACCTAGCAATGTAAAATAGTTGATATAATTTCTCTGAAAAAATGTCAGGTTCAACTTTTACAAGCATTTGAGATCGTATGTTATGCCATACATGTTTCTTTAATCATTAATTATCATAAGGATAGTACATTTCAGGAAGAATTTTTGCTTATCTTTTTTTTTACAAAATTCCATGCATACAAAATCTTACCTTAACATATTGAAGAAACTTGTCCAAAAGGTAAATACTGAGACAAACAGTTTCTGGTGAGAAATGGAACTGATTATTCTGGTAGATAATCCAAGAAACAATCTCATCTCTGTGTTGTCCAAGTACCTCCTAAATAAGAAAACCAAAATGTCAGAACATGTTACTGGTAAAACAATACTATATTATAACTAATCAAAATCTCTACAGAAAGTAAAAAAAATTACGTTCAGCATATTCATTGCTCAGTGTTGAAGAAATACTTCCAAATATAGTAGGTGTAGCATAATTAAATACCAACTTTAAAGTTAAAACTTTCAGATAAAGTATACTTTCACTTGAAAAGAAATGCGTACTTCAACAGTAGTCAGCCATGTCGTATGTATATAATAATAATGTACATGTATAATGTAAGTAAATAAGGATTTCACCCTTAAGAAATGTAACCATTGGAAATAAATTCACTTAGAAATTGATTATTATTTTCCATTTGCTTGGAATTTTAAAGTCTATTTTGGGAAGAAAACATGGTATTGGAATAACTTTAAGTGCAGTTGTGTAAGCGTGAGCTCTGTATTGACCTACATTAAAGTCAGTGTCCCATACGATATGGTGACCTGGTTTTGGCTTAACAAGGCAGGGACTACTTTTTCTCAGACTTGATTATGTGTGTAGTGTATGTGTATCACACAGTTTACCAGAAGTTCAAGTATAAGAATGGGGTTGACCCAAATTTTTGAGAGGTCATTGAACAAATGGTATTGTTAACAAAAAGATAATACTGATAACATATATGTGCAATGAACTATATATAACAAGCAATTATAACAAATATGCAACTATATTATATAATAAATCTTTAATGTATTATCAGAGGCGTCTCTGGTTTTATTGACTTATTCTACTTATGTCCTATTCAATGCATTGGGGAATGCCTTAGTCATATTTAAATCACATCAGGCAAATGCCATTATTATATAACAGAATTAAAGGTATAAGCCACAGATTTATCTGGCATGACTCTTGGTTTGTGTATACAATAATATCTTGGATTCATGGGTGTATACATAGAGTATAATCCCATAGATCCACACCATGACAACAAAAACAAAAGATATGATTAAAAGGCTCATAACAGCACACATTAACATTTGCTAAGCATGATTGATGCTGGTCAGTGTATTTATTTGATATATATTTTAATTGCTAATACATAAAAAATGATATTTGATGAAATGAATTTCCTTTAATAACACAACTCTCAGAGGATTCATATATCATTGCAGCAGGGATTTATAAGGACTTGCACATATTTCTAAAGTTAGTGTAACTAGTTGTTTGTTATCAATATAAGAAATATGTAGTATTTACCTGATGTTCATTGCCATGGGTTTTGTAGGACACAGGTTTCCATTGTCCTTGTTCTTTTCGAAGGGACTCCCCAAGCATCTGTAACAAGTGCTTAGCACTGATACCACTGTGCAGCTTCATTCTGACCCCCAACTGTGCACCAAGCAACCTGAAATATATATACATATAAAAATTCATTTTCTCATAAATGACAAAATTAAACATCCGTAAACAAAACTTACTTTTCAGATGCATAAACAAACAATTATAACACAGTGTAAGGTACTAGTTGTATTTTTACTGCTGCAGCTTGATCTGAGTAATTATCAATTTTTAATTGCTGCATCAGAATTACTTAAATATGTATTACAATTATAAAACATATTCACATTAGTGTTGATATTTATACAATGATACCTACAAGAACCACAATACATAGATGAATATCTTCATTTTACTACTGATTAAAAATCTTCCATACTTTAAAATTTCTGGGTTTATAAAAGTTTAATATCCAATAAAAACACAGTTTTACATGTCCCTGTATCTAAATAATTTTTTCATTAATGAAATACATTTACTTAATTATAAAACTCAGTGAATGAAATCACAATAGAAACTTGGCCAGATCTATAAATTATCAAACTACAAAATGTGTACATTATATGAGATTTGAATCACTAAAAAACTCACTTTACTTTTTTAACTTATTAGACGATACCAAAATGAAGAATCATCCTGACTTCATTTCTCAATATGACGGAGGGATACTAAATCAAATCGCGCTGTTGTCTATGACATTCTGGAGACGAAACAATCATATCGAATGATGTAATATTATTGCATAGGTTGCTAAAATTGGTATACGTAAATTCTCTCGACCATTCTAGAACGTAGAACGGAGATTCCACATCAGAATGACCTTGTATTAGTGAATAAGTTTTACGGAAATCCTCTCAAAAATCTTTACCGAATATGTTTAATATAATATGAAATTAACAAAATACTACAACTATGGTTACAATGAATTAAACATTATCAGGCATTTATCGTGATACTCGTCTAAAAATCTGAGTTTATTTTGACAGAGTAGAAACAAAATGGCCACCAATAGACAGCTGATGTGAATCCACAGCAACTTGCATATTCCATCAATGGCAACTAACGAGATACCTGAAGCTTACCTGGATAAAACTGAAGGAAGAGAGTTGAACCAAAGCCTTCCCCTGGTCCATTCACGTAGAACTGTTTACATCTAGATGTTCAAACCTCCATTTTTCTGTCTAGGCGAAACTACCACAACGAAAATAGGAAGAATTCCTGTTGGTATGACAAAGATATAAATAGAAACACCGCACGCATAAATTATGAGTAATTATCCGTCATATCAATACGCAGTTTCTAGGATTTATCAATATTTATCACTCTGGAATTACTTGCTTGCTAATTAGAATATCTACAATTCATAGGCATTACCATTCTTCAAAACAATATATCCATGTACAAGATATGGCGATAGCATCATTGTACTATATTTTATAGTGCAAGATTATTGTCGGTAGGTGAAACGGTCGGAAGCTGAACTGTCAAAATTTTGCAGGTGCCCGTTTGTAGTGGAATATTGACATTTTTGCCGTAGGAGGTGTTTATTTCATCAACTGCTGTCGACATAACATTTCAAAAATAGGTTTGTGGCTCATGTTCTGAAAAAAACACGATATTTGACGGATAAGAATGCATGTTATTGTTTACAAGCTTCTTCTAAATTTAGGTATATGTTAATTAGCCAGTAAGCCAATCAAACTACGCGTTGTGTTCTATTGTGTTGCATAGCCAATCAAAAAGTGCGTTAGACCTGTCAACCGCTTATGCGCCAATATTCGAACGCTTAGTTTTGCGAGCAGACGTTTGACAGCTGCAGCAAGTACTCGGTCCTGCTATAAGCACAAATCATTCCAACTATCCAGCGATGCAGTAAATTTGATATTTGATATTGACAGACTGTTCACTCACTGTGTCAAACAGGAGAACACTTTTTTTCAGCGAAAATGGTACAGGAAATATTTTCGCTGTTGACTTCCCAACAAGAATTGGACAATGACAATGTCAGTTCTGAAACTTGCATTCGAACAATGACACATCCAAGGAAGTCTGCCAACAGTCCGGTGAGTCTCTCTAATTGTCTTCGGTTTGAGTGTTCTTTATAATTTGTTATACAGGTATTCTACTGCCACAAAAATTTAGCATACCGCACAAAATTCAATTTTCATCAATTCAGTGTCAGAGAGTCTTGCAATGCGAATCTGATTTTGGCCCATTTTGTATATGCTTACTACATCTGTTCTGTATCATGCATGTCTAAGATTTTAATAACCTAGATGGTATTTGGTATATATTTATACTTTATTATTAATATTCTGTTATATTTCAGTTCACCAAAGCCCTATCTGATGTAGTTGTGTTGAAGCAATTGCTGCAGCGAATGGAAAAAGATCATCAGCTTAAGGACTGGGTATGAACGATGATGTTATTACAAAATAGTTAGCATATTCAAGAGTAACATTACTAGCATGTCAAGTTGATTCAATGATATTCATTCTAGATAAGATTTCTGATAAAACTCCATTTCATATTATCAATATTATTCACTTTTTAATGTGCTTTAAGCTAAATGTGGTAACGGTTCAATAAAGTCTCAAAAACACAAGATAAACATATTGAAATCCAGTACTGTACAGTCAGTTACCTGTTTTAATTACTTTTAATTACATGACACCATCTTAATATAACTTCCCCCTCTTGGCCATGTACATGGCAGTGGATGTTGATTTTTACATATGCTTTCAGCCACAAGTAAATTGTGAAAATGTTTTTGTAATTCTTTATTATAGTGTGGCCACCTGAACAAGACAATGCATGCATCTCAAAGAGACAGTGCTGTGTCAACCATTCGATGTCTATGCATGTTTTACAGTTGTAGTTGTGAAACATTTGCCTCAGCAGTGAATTTCCTGGACCGTTTTCTCTTCAAGATGAAGGTGATTTTTTTAGCCCAATTACATTCAAACAAAAATTACCAAAGTTTCCCTTGATATCAGGAAACCATGAGACAATTTAAATATCAGGAAACCATGAGACAATTTAAATTCAACTAAGATCACTGTTAATTGCCACTCTACATGGGTCAGAGGTATTCAGATACCATAATGTAGATCCATTTCACTGTGATATCTTTAATTAATGCATGTATATTAAAAATGATAGATCAGATTAATTCTCTTTATTGCCATTTCAGTATCTGAATAAAAATAAAGTATTCAACATAGATACAAATTAAATTGAAAACTGAACGTTTTGTTGCAAGATAGGATAGAGACATACATATCAGGTCTTTGCTTCATGGCAACTTGTGTAGTATTCAGTTGTCATAAAACTGAAATACATATGAATATTGTATGATCGCCATGCTCTATCGTCCTCATATGGATGAGGAATTATGTATTGTATGTGCTTATTTAAGGAAATTTTTATTTCGGGTGTGTTCTAGTTCAAAAACCCATCAAAAATGTAAGAATAAGATGCACATCTTGTGGTTTTCTAGAGGAGTTCCACCTGACCAGGTCAGTCGTGACCTAGTGACTTGTTATAATTTTGACTGAGAGGCAGCAGCTATTTAGAAAATCTGAAAATAATAATTGGGTATAACAAAGCACCTACATGTACATGCTTTGCTTCTTAAACAGCTCAATGAAATGTTAAATTTGTATTTTACAAAAAGTTCAAAATTGTCTTCTTTACCTTCCACATGTAGCATCATTACTTATGTTGTAGTAAGAAGTCTGTAGTATATCTGTATGCTTTCAAGATCATTGTTGATAAATGAAATTAACTACTGATATCTATTATTTCAGGTACAACACAAGTATATTTCAGTCATTGCAGCAGCTTGTTTCTACATTTCTGCTAAATTCAACCAGGAAGCTGAGGTAAAAATACATTTATATATTAAACAGACAATTCCATTTTTTTACTATGACAATAATTGGGAGCCCTGGTAATTGTTTTGAAACTTTTTCAACTCAAAAATTTTCATTTACCATTAATGTGATAAAATAGATAAGGGGTTTCTGAAATGGAGACAAGGATAAGAATGGTAATCAGTTTGATTTCATTTTGAACATTAAAGAACTCCTTGCCAAGGTAAATTTGAAAGAGAAACTGTGTTTTGAGATACATATTCTGAGATGTTTGATTACCTAAGGGTTGTATATTTGCCCCAAAAGATCATTTGAGAATTCTGTACAAAATTATCTTTCAGGAAATTCCAAGTGCAACAGAAATTTCCCATCTTCATGGTCAAACTTGGAAACCTTCAGATCTGAAAAGAATGGAAATGGTGATCCTGGAAAAGCTTAATTGGGAAATATGGCCAGTGACATGTCCTTCCCTTTTGAAACCTCTCTGTGATATCATCATGCATTATGGGCACAATTGTTCAATACTTGATTCCTTGCTGAGCAAGTTTGAAGTATGCATCAACTACAGCTCATGTGCAATTTTTAAGGTATTGAATTACTGAATTTCTTAACGTTTTGTAACAAAACCACAAATATAGTAATGGGAATTGGAATGAGGTTTCTTGTACAATTGACATACTGCAGTTACAAATTCTATACTTAAATGATGGATCAAAGTATTAAACCTTGTAACTAGTTTTATGAATAACATCCTGAGGATAAAAAGTGTTGTTCGCTTAATTTTTATTTAGTTTTCCTTGACATTTTTTAATAAAACAAGAAGAAAAAATCTTACTTTAGTTCTAAATTCTTTGTGAGGAGCATTTTCATTTTGATATTGACATGTGAGATATATTTCTGACTTTGGGGCAATTACTAGGTCATTCACTGTTCAGAAGTCTTCATTGATTAATTACCTTTTCATCAGATAATTGTCATGATGAATGTTGTAAGCTGAGACTTGAGTGCTATTGCTGAATACTTTCCTTTTTACAGAGTTCCACTTTGGCCTTGGCTTTACTTCAACACTCAGTGATTGAAATGAATGATCAAACATTCGAACTGAATCAGTGTTTACTTTGGCTTCACACAGTCTGTCAGGTAAAGTCCAAATAAGTTGACTTGTCTAGTATTGACTTTGAAAAGCATTAAAGTGACTACAGTGTCAAAATTCACTATCAGAAAATTTTATGAAACATTATATTTTCCATGAGTATGTTACATAAGTAACAATGATCAATTTTGATACATGTTTATGAATCAGCATGTCTAACTCAAATACATTATAGCATTTTCAATTCCTACTTTTCTTTGTGAAAAGAAACTTGTCACATTTGTGTTGAATTCATGTATGTATAAAAGAAAAAACAAGTTTCATTGTGATGTTATCGTCTATGAGATAAAGAAGCTAAAGTAAAATTTATATTTACATATTATTAACATGCAGTGCACTCTTTGACACTATTTCGCTCTCATATTCACCATTTATAGAATTTGTCGTTGCTGATTATCGAGATAGATATGCGAAAACTGATAAGCAGCAACCTAATACGATAATTTCCTTTTCACAAAAATTAATTAGAAAGGTGATAATGTAACTTGTATGTTTGTTTATGCTTATATCACATGTACCTTATAATACATAACAGAAGCATGATCTCGTCATGTGATCAGTCATGATGGGGTTTACAAATGTCAGTCGAGATGAATAACATTTCAACCATCAAAATATGTTCACTAACGAGAAAGTTGACAATATGTGTGCATAAAGCAGTTAATGTTTTATTTCATTATCCACATGATAAATTCCTCATTCAGTGACTATGAAATTAGAGGTAATACATTTGTAGTTGCTTTAAGAATTTATAATGAGATGTTTTTTATTTTTTTATCAAGCCATTGGATAAAATCTCTTATCATCACCACTGGTGATATATTTTTTTTAAGTGAAAATATAACTTCTGTAGTCTTGGCTAACCAGAGTGGTGCTTTGTAGCTATATAGTCACTAGCAAAATTCTTTGATTTTACTGTTCAAAAGTTAGATAAGTTGGTCTTCCTTCAAAAAGATCCCCTGTATGTTTCTATTTTTCTCATAATTTTGTAATCGTTTTGAAAGCAATTCTTACCAAATAACAGCATAAAATGGTAGAATACAACATAAAAAAGCCAATTCAAAATGGTGTTGTCTTGTCAAGCATGAACTGACTTCAAAGACTGCTGATCACTGCTTTGTTTCATGTTTCAATCTGTCTTTCTTCAATTAACTTTAATTTGAAATTGTAATAATAGAAAAATTGTTTTTCCCATTTAATATCATATATATTTTTCACTCATATTACATTATATCTCTATATTTCTCACTTGCGCTTCACACCTCTGTCATATTTGTGAAAAATATATGATATTAAACCGGAAACCAAAAATTATCTTTTTTGTGCAATACAACTGTTAAGAAAAATAATAAATCTTGTTGTACAATTATTGTATGTCATGATTTCTGTTACAGGTGCAAGACTCAGAATTTTATGAATGCTTCTGTACAGTAAGTGAAATCCTTGACCTGTATAAAAAACAGCCACAGAGTCATCCAAGCTGCCTGAAAGTTCCAAAACCACAGATTAGGATGTCTCTGATTTCAAGACCCAGTTATTATGGATGTACAGACCTGCCCACAATAGAAGAATCATATTCTGATGTAGACAGCAGGTAAAAAAAGTCAATGTGTGTCATCAGATATGTGTTTTGTCATGAAAAAAGCATCAAAAACACCCTTCTGGTATAATAGTGTTTTATGATACATTTATGTCAAAATTGACATAACAATTTTCTAAGCATCATCTTGTATGTCTTTATGCATGATATAGAGGATTACCCATGAGTTCATTGATCTGAAATTTAAGAAACAAGTCGTAGACTTGTTCATTATACTGAGCCGCTGGCAAATAAAATGAAAAATTCATGAGAATTTTATGCATCTTATATGAAATGAAAACAAGTGTATGCTTCTACTTATAACATAACTTTTTTGGAAAAACTGGAGAAAACAGCATTTTATTAGACTGTTACAAAATCTTAATTAGCAATATTCTCACTCTATATCTATTTCTGTGGTGATGACACCATGAAGTTACAGTATCACAATGGGAACATTCAGTCAGTGACAACTCTCAAATAACAGGGTAGTTACATGATGAAAGTAACATGAGATCAGGGGACACAACTGTTGCTGGTTAAAAGTTTTAACCAAGAATTTGCATTGTTTCAACACTAAAGACATGAGTGATCACTGCAAGTATGCTTTTAAATGAAAGCATGCAATAACATTGATGTCTGATTAAAATGAATTCTTTTGTATATTGTTTTAAGTAATCTCATTATCATTTTCAGTGATAACATCGAGGAAGTTTTTGAAGATATGAAGATATCCACACAAGCCAACAGAAAACTGAAGAGTTGGAGTTTTGAGTTACCCGAGAAATGTGCAATGTGTGATATTCACTGAAATATTTGTTAGATTGTGTTTACAGTAAAGCAGTATGATTGAATGGTTCTAGAAATCCATCTGAAAGGTTTGTTAATGTTGTAAAAGAAAGTTCTGTGAAGAGAGAGAGGGAGAGCGAAGTGAATATAATGTTATTTTTAAATTAACATGTTACAATTTTTTTTAAGTAATTTAAAATATTTAACCAAACCAACTCTCAATCCTCAGTAGTCTAGTCTGAATGCGTTTTCTAATAATTGTGTGCCTTACCAAATGGCAACTTGGATTGATGAGATTGGTTATGATGGGCAGTAGCAATTCTTTTAAAGGAAGTATAGGTGCAATTTATGAAACATTTTTTGTATTGTGTGACCATTTTCTTTCCAAATTTTGAAGGCAAGTTCATGCAGAAGCTTGTAATTTGCTTGATAAGTTTCAAATTTCTATGGTAAAAGAGACTAGATTTCGTATTATTTTCTTGATTCAATGTATTTAAGATGAAACTGAAATGCAAACTTGATATGGGATTAATATATAATACAGGTGTTCTGAAAACATGTATACACCAGTGAAAGTTTTAAATCATCATTTCCTGCATACCAAAGGTTTTAGTAACATATTTGCATGTTCTTTCAAATTTCAACTGTGATTACGGTTGTACCGCAAAACAACCTGGTTTTTTTATTCAGACCTAAATATTGTATTTTGATTGAAATGCATGCTTTAATGAGATGAATAATTCAGAGTTAATTTTGGTATTTAAACTTGTTCAATTTGTCGTTTTAAAACCAAAATTTATGTTATGTATAAATTGTATACAAAGCTTCTTAGCATTTGCTGTCCGATAAGTTTTAACAATTGAAAAACGTTTGTACATTTGTTATTGCACATTTCACAAATTATTGAACATTCCTATTTGAAAGAATTAGATGGCACCTTTATTGTAGGTCTGAAATTGACTTGGTTCATATAATATGAAATTGTTAAACAAAAGACAATATCATTATGGCCTCAAAATTCTTTTTCAGCACGATAGCCATGATTGTACGAAGTTGTGCAAAATGATGCACTTTAGATTTATTTTCGATAATGCAAACAAGTCATTCTGAATTCAGTATTTTATATTAACTCATTTCTACAGACCCATTTGTCACAGATGATAGGGGTTAATGAATGTATAGAACAGATATGATAATCAGTATTAGACTGCATTATCTTGAATCAGTGCAAATCATCTGTGGTATGGCTAGTTGACTGTTTTGTACTTTTTTTGCTCTGTAACTTCCTGGATGAAAAATACTTCTGATATCAACCAGCATTACATCATGTATATAGTTTCATATAAATCTCATTGTAACATTCACATAATATATTTAATATTTTATATACAAAAAAAATGCAAATAAATATTTATTTTATGTATAAATGTGTTGTTTATTTACTGAGACTAGAATACGCGATGTCAACTACATTATATTTCTGTAAAAAGTGGACATGCATGACAATGAAAATGGTGCACATTAGGATATTAAAATATTATTTACCTTTATAATCATAATTATTCATTCGAAAATGCACTAAAAGATTTTACATTTAAAATAGGCTTTGATGTGTATTTTCAGAAATGCTTTGATGGCTGTACACTTAGTGTCAAGGTTTATTTGCAAAGTTAATTTCACCTTGATCAGCCACAATCTACTTATAATTGGTGACTACTTCTAGAAGAAGTGGTGTAAATGTCTTGCCCTTGGACTCGGCCATGTAGCACAAGACGATGTGTGATCTCGCTTTCCTTTAAACTCCTTGGGTCGACGTGATGGTCCTTTGTTTTCGTTCTCTTAGTGCCTGGAAAATCAAAGGTCTTTTGAGGCCTGCATTTTACCTGCAACTATAACCATGTTTACTCGATTGTGCGATATGGAGTTGACTTGTTTGATACTCTTTAATGTGCCTGGTGGCATCCTTGATACTGCAGGGGTACGAGTCACTTTCGCTCCATGAACCTCTGGAACATGTGGCAAAATTGAAGGCACAAGTAAAATAATTTGATTGGTTCCAATCACAGGTTGATACGCTCCTTTTGAAGATCACACAGGAACGACACCCAACTTCAAAGCCATTACAATATACCGTTATGCTACCTCGAGATTCGTTTGATTTACATCAAATGATCAAACTATTCTTTTCGTCTTGTCCACTGGTTGTCGCACATGGAACCTTCAATTTTGTCATATGTTCCAGGGGCGCAGAGAGCGAAAGTAATTGTAACCATTGGAGAAGCGAGAATGGCCTGGGGGTTCCGTTGTAGTTTACTTTGCTCTTACGTGAGAACGGTAAGTTACTTGGATCGACAAAGGTTAATATGACAGGTGTCAATGAAACATCAGACGCTTACCCTTCTGGTTCAGGAGTCTTCGTGTAAATCTTTCTTTCGTGTTGGTATTATCTTAATCCTTTTCTTTGACCAGACGGATTCTTAGATATCGCTGATTTTGCAAAATTTAATCCATTTTCAAAATAAGGGACAAGAAACGACCTTACAGAGATCCATCTTTATTGATTTTGTTTTCAATCATAACCAGTTAATAAGAAATAAAACCTTTTAACTAGATTAATTACACCAGGATTTCAGCAAGATAATCGAGTAACGAATTGACGCGAAGAGTTTTAAGTATCTGATGCGTTTTTCAGCCAGTTTTCTCTCGGCATGGAATCTTCATTCGTGGAACAACATTTGTACCAACGTTCTCAAAATTTAATTTTGTTTCATTAGTATTTCCCACGACGACATCGACACCAACAATGCATATTAGTTAAGTGTTTTTTGTTTTTTTAAGTGTGAACAGTTCTAATACATGCAACTGAAACTGGTTTCGTCTCGTTGATCTGTTGATGTTGCCAAAGGTTTTATACGTAGCGTTTTGGAGGAAAATATGTTAAATCTCCATGTTTAGATGAAGATAGGAATTGTCATTTTAGACAGCGTGTCGGAGGTAGTGTCCCTAGATAGCGATTATTGTGTCGTTAATGTCCACCGCCACGTTATACCGTATCTAATCACACGACTCCTAATTGGCTCGTATCGATCTTATCTTGCTTGTTTTAATGATCTCACAATTTACCCTACAGTGACAGCACCAATCACTTAAACCAAATACGATGTCAAAACATATCATACTCTCCTTAGTTTCTACAATGACACGTTCCCCTGCCAACTGCATTGTCGAAACCGGAAAGATTATCACACTTCGATACCCAATGAGCTTATGGGCAAACGAAGATGGCTAGGAGAGGTACTGGAAAGTGGCTTATGATTACATCACATTCGCAATCGAAAACTATTTTTATTCAAATTTGTTGCGTTTTCGTGTCAAACTTAAAACTTAGGCTGTCGACTTTTCGTCCTATTGCATTGTGTTTCTGTAATGTAAGTGTGGCAACGCTCATCTTTTGCTTTTACCGGATATTTTCAGCAAATTAAGTTTATTTGAATTGACAATATGTTCATATAATGGAATCTCCTACAATTTGTTTTGTTCGTCCTAAAGAATAAGGAAAGACCATACATCTCACAGTGACAATTTATATGTATTAAATTAATTCCGCCCGAGAAAGTATTAATCAAACGATCAGAGAGAGCGTCTGTGCACGCTTAGAAGCCGGGTTCTTTCTAACATTAAATTTGTGCCGTGCCTAATCTCAAAGTCTTGGTCAGTAAAATATGTCATAAAATGTCGGTGAGATAACAGAACTGGAATCGTCAACTTATTATGCGAAATGTAAAAAGAATTTGAAAGTCTTGATAAGTTGTCGATATGACGTGTATCTACATCACATATGGTTTTATGCACACGTGTACCTTTACATACCAAACATCAGTGTTACACGTACCAGTATGAACAATATCAAATGTCTCGTTTGTTTGCACGAGTTGGGACCGATTCATTGTAAACTATGTTTAATGTATGAAATCAAGATATTAAAAACTCATAATTATATAAAACAAAAATCTTTACAGAGTGTCACACAAAACAGAAGAAACTGCAGCAGGAAAATTGCTGGTACATTTTCAGCTGTGGGACGTGGCGCTTACGTTTTCTTACCTAAACAGTACTACACTAACATTATTCGTCCCAGATTTTGTGATGCCTAGCTTACATATAATGTTGTTTCAAGAGAAACTGATGAGTATGGATTGAAACATTTCATGGCCGCCATCAAGACAAGCATATTTCATTCTGGGCCTTAACTTAAGTGCTTGTTTACTGTTAATATGTATCCTTAATTGGTGATCGCGGGTCTCATTTAGGGAACGCCAAATTAAGACGCTCTACTTTTCCTGCCACCTGGCAGAATCGATCACTTGTATACAAGAATCGTGCCGTCATTGTTTACATCTTCTTCTTTTACCATGTACAAAGTCACCGTTTCATTTCATTTTTCTCTTATATACGAAATAAATAAAAGATTGTTATAAAATTTTGCACCGGAGGCAGTTATGTCAGGTTTCATTTGACATATGGTAAATGAGGGCTCAAATGATTCAGTGGGATGTCTATTTTTGGTCGTTTAAATGCCAAATGCCGTTATGGTTCCGTGGATTTGTGTTATTTACAAGACAAGTGGTGAATATGTCTTTAATAAGTGTGTTATTAAGTTGTGTGACCACAATTGGTTAGGACGAAAGCATTGACCAAAGCATTACAATACCGGAACATAGAGGCTGTATATAGTCAAATGGTGTGAGTCGAGATGGCGTGTCACTCCTCGTTCAATGCTTGCGCCAGTTACTGTAAGATAGTGAGGGGGACTTTGCCGACGCCGTACTCGTCTTCCAAGAACCTCCCAGATGTGCGCCCTATCGGGTTCAGATTCTGGGATTTTACATGCCAATCCAAAAATTGGATATTGTTTTGCTAAGAACTTCCTAGCCACGCGACTGGTGTGGGATGTTGCATTACCGTGTTGCATTGCATTTAAATTGCCACTGACAATGATTAATCTGATTGGATTATCACACAACTCCTACCAAATCTTTCTCACTGAACTACACGCTGAGCCCACTCGGAACATGTCATTAACCATTTCTCTCTCTTCTTTCGATTCACGCGGCATTGCGTTAATCTATACAATTTAGAACCATATGTGATTTTTCAAGTGATAAAGGTTTCGAGAAAGTGCTTAACGCGTTTTACGAAACTCAAGGAAGATATATTTTTTTGTATTTCTTTTTTATTCTTTTGTTTCGAGTGTAAAATGTACAGTTTAGAGAAAAGATTCGAACGGCGACTAGATGCTCGAGGTTTTGCACTAAAGTCGTTACAGAGATGCTTTAATGTTAGCTTAATTATCTGAGAACGTCAGACATCCCTTTAATTGTCATACGTTTTTGAGAAAGGATTTACTATGGTAACATAATAAATTTATAATTCAACAATGGTTTTGTGTCAAAATATTTAATTCGGTGGTCAGATATTGCAGGATTATGTTTTGTAACAGTCTGGATGTTTGACGTTCGGTATAAGAATAGTCTATTAACGAGGTGTTTTTCACTGTCAATAGCCTAATGAGGTTTTCAGTTGATGTACTGTGATCATCAATTACCGACATTGTCAAGTAATACGAACTAATAAAACTCAATAGAGCTGATTTACAGAAGGTCCCGGTGATCACCACCTGTCGAAACAGACAAAGTGATAGAGTAATGCGGATGTACCCCCGTAATGGTAAATGGATGAACATTGTTATAACTACATCTGACAGGAAATCGACCCTTTCCAGTCGGATCTTGACCTCCATATGATCAAATTGTGCAATTAGTATGAATTCATTGTTATATAGATCGAACTGTTAATGATGTCCAAACATGATTCAATGGCCGGTCCCTGGATATTTGTATCGACCATTGTCCGCCATCTCTTGGCAAGACATCGTAGGTAGTTATGTCCGAATTGTGTTTGTCAAATTTCTCGAACTGTCATTTCATAGCAATAACCAATAGACACGTATATTGTTCGACCCGCCTATTACGTTTTAGAACACATGATGGATGTTAGACCAATATCGCATCACACTTATATACGTAGAGGAGGTCTATCTTTTGGTATAGGGAATTTTAACATTAAACTGAAAGTAAGTAGGCGTTTACTTCCCAATTGACCTTTTTATTTGTAAATCCTTACAACTGAAGTTCGTTATCATTCTTTAATGATCTGAAGTTTAACGAATCACACCTAGCAGGACAGATCTTATAATTTTAAGTATTCGCATAGTTTATTGAAAAGCCTCCTCGACATGGTTTACGCTGTAATTCTATCGGTATCTATTTTGCCAGTGAAATATAGGGATTTCTAAAAACTTATAGCGTAACTGTATTTTTATCATCACTGTTGAAGATATCTTACATCAGCACAAGTGATTATACAACTTATCCATTGATGATATAAATTTTTGAGTTTTGACCAATTATAGCTGTACATTGAAGTCATGATCGTATGCAGATGAAGAGTCTGTGCTTCACACTCGTGAAAAATCTGTTATTCTGTTATACCCTTGAAGAGAAGGTGTTTCGCACTCATGAAAAAGTATATTGTCATACTCATGTTAATTAATCTAGTTAATTATTTATAATATCGAAACCATTAAATATCATACCGCTATCCAATAAAAAAAGCATGTTATTTGGCAATATATATATATATTATGAACCTGTCATGTTCATCATTGCAGCAGTTATTCGTCAAATTGTTATTTTATAAAAAATATTTTAACTAATATAATAGCTATACAATGCTTATATTTTGAAATTAAGTATTGCGATCAAAAATATGAAATTATTTGGATAGGTTTGGTTATACACTTCTTGTAGAATTGTAGAGAAAAGTATCACGACAGAAAGAAGTATAACAATACAAAGAAATCTGGAAAGGTGCAAAGTCAAAATTTGATTTAGACAAATATAAACTTATTTGTTTTGAAACAATCGCAAAAAGCTTTAAGCTGATACCAATCACCCTTCTTGGCCCAGGTTGGAGTAAATCGGAGTACCCGAAAAAAAAATCCGTGGTCAGGCAGATGACCCTCATACCTTTTCACGCTCGTTCCGGGAATCGAACCCTGAACGCCTAGGCCAGAGGCGAGTACGTTACCAGATCACATAGTTGGATTTTGGACTGCCTGAACCATCATTAGTGAGAATAAATATTGAAATGAAAAGAAAGTTGGGCTTTCAAAAAATATCCGGAAGAAGAGTTTTCTTTTTTTCTATGGATAGTGTTCTTGATATACGCGGTACTTCGCCACGTAAACCGAATTCGTTATTGAAATGTAAGGTTAGACGATAACGTTGATTAACACACTTATTTTCCTTAATATAGTGGTGGTGACTAGTATGTTGTTCTATTTGCGCATTATAAATCTCCTCGATTGAAATTACATGTTTGGATCAAGGATAGGAACTATCTTATCAGATGTAGCGTTAATATGTGGACAGCTGCCACGTGTCTATTACGATATAGAACAGATGAATGAAAACAATAAAGTATCTCGTATGTAAATCGAACCATGATGACAACACAGAAGAATTCGTTCATATGTGTAGTTTGTAGTGACAAGATACAGGACAGGATTTTAATTTTTAATTCTCAATACTCACCACCATAACGCGGACGAGGGTAGGTCACGACATCCATAGGTCATACAAGAGAAAGCAGTCTCAAATCTTTAAAATCCCTCCCTCACTGTTGGGATGAATCAATTTTGACCTAAAATGGCGTATTACATCATAAGATGGAAGGGATTCGCGAATATAGTGTTGTGATACAGAAGACTAAATCATTAGAATCCTTCTTCGGTACGGATGAAGAGATTGTGATCAAATTTGGCCTAAAGCACCATTCGACATCCCTCACTCCCTGTGGGGACTGAGGGGTGGTCATTTGGGGCAAACATTATTGAAATTGAAAATTAAGTACGGATGAAGTAATTGTAATCAAACCAAATCGTTTTAATGGGCCTCTTGTTATTACACTGTCAACATTTCTATCGCCATCACTTTATTAAAACATGATGTCATTTACTTGTATTTGTAAGTTGTATGATAGGCAATTCTTGCTATTTAAAGGACTCGTCAAGAGCTAATTTATATCTCTGTATTACTGCTTTGTTATACTCTTATCTTATGTTTTTCCATACCAATGTTTGTCGCAATAATATCTCTCGTGAGCTTATGTTCTTACAACATTAAATTAACCTTCCTGTGACCTTTATCTTTTAGTGAAGACAAGAATCTGAATCGTCTCTTAGCGGTAGGGTTCTTAGCGAAAACCGCTTCACATTATGAGGATGGTTTAAAAATAGTAAACTATTTTACAACAATTGCTAAACAAGTTATGTCAACTTATAATAATCACTCTTGTTGGCCCGGATGTAAGCGCGCGACGGGTCTTATTGTGAGAGGAAACCGGTATACCCGGGGAAAACCCACGTGATCGGGCAGGTGACCCCTTACCTTTTCACGTCCGTTCCGGGAATCGAACCCCGGTCGTCTAGGTGAAAGGCGAGTGCGTTACCACTGCGCCACCCGACCATGAGGATGGTTTGTCTGCGAGCGACTGCTTCATCGCCAAAACCACGGCATTCACTAGTGGACTCTTATACATAACCATGCGATTAACGCACACAAAATACCCGAACTAGCAGTAGATGGATAATAATTTAGTAATGGTGACCACGTAAATCAAACTGACTAAACCAGTAGGCAAAACACCGGTATACTACCTCAATTGTTCAGAAGACACTACTTCTGTATATGGTTGTGACATGGTTATTTTTTAATGTTTACAGTAAATCTGATAAAAACAAATATCCACAAACCTACGAAAATAAAAATATTGGAACTACTCGAGTCCCACTAAACGACATAGCAGACGGGAAATCACAGCCTTAGTCGCCGGAACCAACATAACACAATACTTTTCATCAAAGTTTGGAATCCATTGAAGCCATCCGTTTTATGGAATGTATATTCACACAAATGTTTAAGCACTACAACATCTCACATGTTCCAGGCAGCAATAACTAATGATATGGCCGCGCAGCCCTCCGTCTCCGGGTCAGCTCTCTTCGGTACCTAAGGCCGCCCAAGTTGTGCAAACTGATGGAATTAAAAAACTTCAGCATACAGTGACAAATGCCATTCGATAACAATACTGGTGACTCGTTAATTCGGCACTGCTTACGGTCGCACACCTCTTCTAGACTGAGAGGTCTGAATGTGGTGGTGGTGGTGGTGGTGGCTGGCGTTGTGGTGGTTGTGGTGGGAGGTGGTGTTGTTGTCGTGGTGGTTGTCGTAGTGGTTTCAGTGGTCGTAGTGGTAGGTTCTGGAGTAGTGGTAGGTTCCGGAGTAGTGGTAGAAGAAATGGTAGTGGTTCCCTTGTTGGTTACTTGAGGAGTACCCGTGGAATTGTTCGTGATCTTCTGCGAGGTAGCCGTGACTCGGTTTGCATTCATGATTTCTATTATCTCCTCATTAGTCAAACCTCCAGCCAGTAGGACTTGATTGATCTCAAGTGCTGTCATCATGCGACATCTATAAAAGTGACAATGTTCAGAATTTTATTGAAAGGCCACATTATATATGGAGAGTTAAACAAATTGTATTCGTGTAGAGTTCTTTAGGAAACAAATATTAATTAGACGTAACAGATTCATGTAAACCCTGCCGTCATCGGTATTGCTTGTTGTGTCGGTCAAGCACAATATTTATCATCAAAGACAAGCTCATAACTCAAAATCTATAACGAGAGCAATGTTTGAACAATGGAAATTTACAGACAGAAAAAAGTTTGTTAAGCTTGAATCTATTTAGTACCTATCAAAGTTATATTATTATGGTTTCATTAACAATAGAGTTTTGATAAGTCATATCACTATCTATTATGTGAAAGTTTTACGGTCGTCATAGTGATCTTATTAAGAAATATTCAATTCCCTTATACAATATGAAGTTAAAAGTATTTTATGCTCGTTAGTATGCCCGATTGTTTCGTTGTTGTTTACCTTGTTCTCATTTAGGAACGTGAAAATAATTACTTAGGTTGACCAAGATTTACAGGTGTCGTCGATGACATAGAAGATGCTTTCTCTTCCGAAGCACCTTATTATTTTTTCAGGAATCGCCATGTAAATTCTTAATGGTTATTTCCCAATTGGTTTTTCAATATGATTTCAAATTAAAATTCGGGTGACTTGTATTTTTTTTTTTTTTTTTTTTGACAAGACATGGCATTCATACCTGCAGAAACGTTCATCGAAGATAAAATGGGCACCGGTGCACGTTTCTACTTTGTTGCAGAGACATTCACATTGCGTCTCGTCAAAGTAGTGGACATCAGAACAGCTCTGGTAGTTTCGACATAAACATTTACAGTCGAGCTCTGAGAACTCCTGCATGACATTGCAGTCACTTGGATGTATACTGCAACGAGGTTCACATGCAATGTGGTCTTCTACCAACTGTGTCTCCATGCCAACGAATTCGAAAAAAGGTGATCCTGGGCTTGGAAGACGAGTCTTTGCCGCCTGAGAAACAACAGCATACTTTGTCAGTATTATGATGAATTTTTTTTTCGGAATATACCATTTTTGCGAGTTTAAATAACGAAAACATCAAAGATCTTCATTAGTATTACTTAATGACAACTTCGTTTTCTATCAACTTGTACCAATTTCTATATGACATATACAATTAAAATGTGTATGAGTAGTAATATTTGCTTATGGCTATACCCTAAACTGTATGTGGGATGTGATAGCCACATCTAAAACACAAGCGTCCTAGAGTCTCATGATTTATACCTTATATATTTAGTATCATTAGTGAATACTTAACATCTTTATTGTTCTGAATATACTGGTGTCCTTACCTAGTGTAATTTTCCTTTATATACAACACCCGCTGTACTACCTTACATAATATTTTCCATAATCCACTACAATCCCGACAAAGTTCTATATCTTCCAACACAGCTCCACATCTCGACATTCATCTTAAACCACTTCAACTCTAACAATGAAAAAAAAACTCCTCGCTAACATCCATCTGTTTAAACCAATGTTCCAACAAGCCAGTATCACACCAACGATACGCCGCCACACACTAAACTAAAATATTCTCAGAAACTAACACTTTGTTTCATATAAATCACTTTATCTTACACAAAACATTTTCTCTCTAATCACACCACATCTATGCCAACCACTTCAGATATCCACTTCCAGTCTACTCCACAAAACCAATCACATTCCCGCACGCCAACCCTTTTGACAATACTTCTATCATAGACAATATTCTCCCACCTGTAGAATCTTGCTTGTTACAATAACGGGCACACACGTCATCATGCTGTTGGTGCAACACCCTCCACACTTCTTTGTCCTGGTACAAGGGGGCCAATACATGACAGACGGATCGTAATTATGCTGTCCGAAATACTCTGTTGTATTTCGCGGGCTACAGCGGTCAAACTCTGCCATCCTGATCTCCTCTGAAAATATATACAATTTATCAATTATCACTTCTCAGTATCTTATTTACGGTTTTATAACCTATATTGCATTAATTCGTTCCATAAACAATCAAATCAGCTAGAGAGATTTTAAGAGGTTTTCAGCATTCTTTTCTAAGAAATAATTCAATTAATTCCAACTTGCTAAGACAAGTCCTATAACATCACATGATGATATGCTGATGAAATTCAATGATTATATTTATGCTTTCCCATACAATGATGGTTACATGGCCAAATAACAAATAACAAATAAAATTGCGTATACTCATGTAGTTGTTTGTTTAACACGCTAAACCGATGGTATTTTGGAACATGTTTTTGAAGTTGGTAATATCAACTTCTATTCTATATCGATGGCAGTTTTCCTGGTTGTACTTGAAGCATCTCACTACATACGTAAAGAATCAACTAGTTTGTGCGCCCAATCAGCATTGGAAGATCATGTAAGTCTTTTTTTCAGATAATTACTAACCGCTAGTTTCAATCCTTGAATCCTTACTATGCGTACATTTTATTCCAATTAGAAAATTAATTTCAGTAAGACTCAGTATCTCTGTGGGGTTACCTGAAGGGCCCCAATTTTATCTTTCTTAACAGCCTGCTTTGAAAACAAAATACCAACACAGACCGCCATGTTGTGTATTATTCATATTAATCAGATACTTACCTCCTCCAACTAAGATCTTATCTCCTGTCTCTCCTGTTTCTCCGGCTGTCAAAAGATATTTTTATCATTGATTTATTGACAGTACACCAATTAACATTATTGAAAAGACTTCAAACCAAAAATGCTCCTGAATAAGACACGTAAGAGTAAAATTCGTTAACTGACTATAAATTATCCTTATTTTGAGGTTTTTTAAAGAAGAAATAAAATTTACATAGTGTTCTTACTAAGACTGGTGATGTTTATTCGTGATCCATTCAACCTGACCCACTTGTCGAAGAACTCTTCGGTAGACTTGATAGTGAAGGCAGTTTTCCTGAATTCGTCCGCTGACTGAAATGATATATAATGAGAACCCTCGTAATTTCATATTATATATTGTGTCATTCAATATTTGTTTATTTTCCCTACTTGAGGAATCTAGCACCACTAACAAGTCATCAAAAGACGAAAGAACAGTACAATGCAGCTCATTATATAGTTATATATTGTATAGACTTCTAAATTTGTATTGAAAGGTACTGTTCATTTGAATGCCTTTGGTATAGTCCTTTTTTGAAACTCCAAATCACAAAGTCATTGCAGGTGGAATCTGAGAATGTCATTTATTACGTTTTAAAGTTCTTAAAAATTGGACAAAAGACACACAAGTAAATTCAGTTCAAAATAATTAGAGTGTAGACAAATAATGAAATTCAACTGCATCATACAACTGTTTTGGTCGCTCTGATAACTGATGCTTTAGGACATGGTTTGCTGAGAACTAGGAAGCGAAACAGAAAGATCGTAAAAAAAAGATGAGGAGGAACACTTGTCCAAAAAGTCAGTTAAATTTCAAAGTTACGGTATGATACGTCATGCTTTACATACATGTGTAGAAGGTGTATGTAATATACTTCAACATACCAATAATATACATTAATGTTTTACAATTCACTATTCTTTTAATGATCTTTACAAATTCAGACTTATGGTCACTGTATCTATGCTTTCGTAACCCATAAACTAGATTTTTTATTTCTATGCAGATACTGCGGGTGATTTCTTCTTTAAATGCGAATATGGAAGAAGTCCATCCAAATATGGAACTCAACAACGATTTTATATTTAAAAATATCATGAAATGTATATTTCACGTTCGTTTTGTTCCGTACACCCTTTTGTCTATATTCATTGATATTGAAGTTCTTATGGGATAATTGAAACTGTTTACATACTTAAGAATAGATATAGAATAAAGTGCTTGTTCCTGAAAGTATGAAAAATTAATTTTGGTTATTGTCTCGTTGCTTCATTGCATTTTTTCCAGAGTCGATTCGATTTTAAGACACCCAAATCTACTCTTCTCCGACCTTGACAATGTTAATGTATTTCTATAACTGCACAGCAAAAAGGCTTTCAAATATTTCAACTCCTTTTCAGAATTTCTAAAATTCCCACTCAGCCAAATTATAAATAAGGGAAAACATTTCAAAACAACGACTAGGAGATTATTGAGATGAGAAAATACAGATTTCTGATGTTACAATGGGAGTTTGTAAAAAGACACATAACTGAATAGCACCTATTAACACGAATTAACAATACGCTACACACACCTGTTTCATCCTTGTAGTGATGTTAAGGGTTTGATATTGAAGCCAGGATGCGGCTGAGGAAAATCCAAATTGACCAAAAGAAATGTCAAAATCTAGACGGGGAGATGCACTAGCTCCATAATTAAATTAATTTCGAAATTTGCATATTTCAAATAATTTTAGAACAACGTTGAGGACGTGTATGTATTTTGAACCATGATACCATTCGAATGGATTAAAACGCGGCATACAGGTTACGGTAAACCTTGAGGACAAAAAAAAAACACCAACAGTGTTAACTAACAGCTATCTCAAAGGACACAAGTGAATAGCTGTAGATTTAGTTTCATGTCCCCGTGCCGACGTCATAAAAATCCTTTTTAGTAGCCTCTAACTATAATCCGGCGTGTGACAACAGTTTTTCCTCATTCCTCTACAGTCATCGTTACCCGTTGAACAATTACAATTGACATCCATGTCAACAGTAATTCAAATACCGTGATTACATCCATTGTTCTTTCTGAATGAGATTGTTGTTTGTCCTTTGTTGAAGAATTGAAATGTGTGAAAAAGAACTTGTTATATTTCTTCTAATACTGAAGTAGTTATTTGAAAAAGCACGTGCATAACTGAGGAATATGAGGGTCTATATATGGAATATACAATTAAAGAGATAACTAACCAATAATATGAAACTGTCAAAATCAAATATGAGTTGTTTCTCAAAAAAGATCGCGAGGCGTCCATATTGTTCTGTTGAAAAAATCTGATATAGAAAATGCTCAGCAAGCGACATCTATGTCCTTGCAGAACTAGTGACAACAATATTTACGACAGACCCTGGTAGAAAGACGATCTGAATATCTCATCCTGACTTATCTTGGTAGTCAGCTAAAGGTGCTAATTACGTGAGGGGTTCTCATTAGTCGCTTGTTGCGCTTACGCGATTTGAATAGCTTTAACTCGTATAATTTTCTAAACCTGCCAAGGCATTGAGGCGACACACTGTTACAATGACGTTGCGTTGAAGTAGGACAGAGAGTTGGACCAGTTACAGAAATAATCTCTTGTACTTTTACACCAATACCAGGATGGAGGACTGTCGCCGTTTCCAACCCATCAAAGGTCAAATCCACGAAGCTCCGAGGTGAGATATCTTGATTGCTAGTGGCATTATAAACTGATTTCTTATTCATATAGTTTCGCATATTGGCCACTGGGAATTAAGCTTGCCAGATATAGCCGTAATATTAGTTTCTATCGCGTTTAGTGTCAGTGGTTTCTAAACAATTTATACTGACTGTAGGTAATGGTAAAAGAAAGGTCTCATGGGAAACAGATTGATGCCATGAAACCACATGATCGACATCGTGTATGGAATTCGATCCGATGATAAAAAATGGGAAGGGTAAATTATGACACACCAATTTGATTCACAGAACAAAGCACATCCTGATAGATTTTAGTTGTCAGTTTTTCAAAGGGAAAAGTGATGGATGAGTCCATCTTCACAATATTATTAACCTATATTTTTAGACGTATTTGATACTCGTTAGTTTGCCTGCTCGTTCCGTTGTTGTATACCTTGTTCTCATTTGAGAACCAGGCATCACTTAAATGGATTCACAAATGTTTAAATGGCGGGTGTCGTCAGTGGAGCAGAAAACGCTTACTCTTCCGGAAAAATTGGTCTTTTTCTCTTTGTACTTTTTCATGCGTATTCGTATAATCTTTCTTTTGTCGAGATTTTGTCCTAATTTTATTCAATTTGAGTTTTGATTATGATTGTGTTGACATGTCGGTATTCTCTCTTTTTTATCAGTAGTATTAGCATCCTTACTTTACATCGTATGTGACTGCTGTAGTGGATAATAATACCTTGTAAGGAAAACCGTACAGCAGGTTCTGTTTCCGTGCCCAAAACTATCTTTCACAAAAAAAAAAAAAAAAATGGAAACGACTGCTACCTCACATCACATGTTTAACTATATATTTCACGATAGATATGTTTTTACTTCCTCTGGCATTTGAGATATATCAACTAAAAACGAGAAAAATAAAATATTCGAGTCGATTTCCCAAACTTCAGTGCAATAATCGAAGTATATACAGTGTGGCAACGTCAATAACGTACTGGAGAAAGTAGAAAAATTGATGTAAAATATTTTAAAATTTGAAAGTTTTACAACATTTTAATGTTCAAAATGTTATCATGTATCATCACGATTTGGGTAACCAATAGCATTCGCTCTAGATCTGACGTAACGCCATTAAGGAACTGGAGTCATATAGCAATTGGAACACGCACAGCCTTAGCAGAATGGTATCAGAAGGGAAAATGGTGGCCATGAAACATACACATGTACTGTAGACCACATGAAGCAAATTCTCTATGCAATTACATTCCATATAACAAAAAAGTGTTCATTAACTCATCATTGCAATACAAACAACGTTTTTGGCTATATTATTTACCGGTATCAAGGTCATATTGAGCGCAAATCATTATAGGAAGCGCCGAAACATGGTACAGCCGCCAAGAGCATTGTGAAAAACAACAATTGACAAATAATCGTTCCTTTTCTGTAACACTGCATAGCCATTCTAATATATGATAATACCGATACATAAAGTGTTGTGTGTGTGAAAATATTTGCAACGAAAGAAACCTGACTGAAGACATTTTATACCAGAACCTTTAGTTGGAACCTTTGCGAGAAATTGTTCTGAAAAACTCAAATATTTCAGTTTCAAAATTAATGAGAATAGCTTTTGGCGAGGAATATAAATCATGATAAAAGCAATCGGCAAGATGAGATTTGTTCATGAATGAACCCAAAGGAGATGCCAAAAATAACACAGAAACGAGAAAAAGTCGCACAGAACAAGGATACTTCAGAACCAGCTAGATCAATAGTTACTGTCGTCATACAGTGCTAACCTAGAACTTGTACGCCATTCTGGAGATGATCATGCATCATGCCCACAGTAGGATATGAATGTACATAACAAGCAAAGTCACATCATGGCTCATTGAGAAAACGGTAACCTTTGAAGGATGAACAACGGCAACTTAATATAAACAAAATAAAAAGTCTTGTTCCGTTTTTTTGTTTTTCGTTTTTGTTTTTGTTTTTTTTCAAGAACTCTCTGATTAGCAACGTACCGAAAATGTTCTACTTTGGAAGTCACACACAGTAAGGATTAATCAGAAAGAAGAGTGTTAGAGTCTAAGATAAATAAATCTGTAATTACGCTGAAATCAATGGAAATCAATGGTACACAAAAGAATTCATCTGAATACACTACATAACGAGCCATACGGTTGAATTTGGGTGACTGGCCGGGGGTCCAACGGACTCCTTCGTATCCCCATAAATAGACCCTACACTCGGTACTTGCAATATCACCAAGCAGTACCTAACTGGTAAAAACTTACTGAACAAGTGCACTTTGTGGGCCTTTCTTGTTTTAATAAATCAAAGAAAATGTTAGCTGATACGAAAGTAAACGGCTGTTGCGAAGATTCAACACACCTGTGTAAATAGCACCTGTCGAAGCTGTAGATTGATTAGTGTGATTGGGCGACCGTCCAATAGGGACTGATATCACACACTCGTAAACACCTTACGTATTCATTACTCCCATCCCCCTTCCTCTCTCCCCACATCGTTTTCACACCTTGGATCAAATGTTCCCGTCGCTACACTCCCTCCAACAACTGTTTATGTTTTGTTTATATGGATCGCTATATTATCTTTTTGGAACGGTGCTTACAAGCTTATCTTTAATCCGTAACGTAAAATTAAGACTTATCACTGACTAGCTGGCACTTGCCGTCCTAGTTACATCACTGGTGACTGTTATCCTTTGACCTCGTTGCCATTACTCTCTTTTTAAATCAATTTAATTAATTTTCGAGATAAAGAATATAATACACAACGAGTATACATGTATGTATATTGTACACATCAAATAACACGAAGAAGTCTAGGGGAAAACTCCTTTTTTAAACTCCTTCACTGCAACATTTCAACATCTGAGAGTTCTGGTTTTGATATACACATGTATATCTACACCTATCTTTTTAGAGCTTAACCCATGGATCTCGAATTCGTTGATATATAAACTAAACAATGTATATAAGTCAACTTTAAGAATAGGATTCTACACTAAGCGTGGATAAAAATCTCTAAATGTGCGTCATATTGTTACATATAACTCGTGTATTTGATATTTGATCTTATTTGAAAATGCGTTTCATTTTGACCAGAGACGTATTTATGTATACGTCCTTGTTCTACCTACCTATGCCGCATGGTACATGCATATGTATGGAAGCAAAAGAAGTTATGATCAAGTGAAAAACTTTAAGTATATGTACCCGAACTCCCAAACACTGTAATCATGTTGTGTCGGTTTGATCTGCACTAGAATAATGACGTCATGACCTGGCGTGAAGAGAGTTGTTGAGTCTCGTGCCAATTTAGCCACGTCATAGATAGCATCAGTTCATATAATTACTCTTACTTCGCTCGCTGATAAATAAGGACAATGCGTAACAAACAACCTGTTTCAAGTGTTTCATGATTTTTTTTTCGGAAATTATTTTTCGAACAAAAAAGTTTTTCTGCTGAAAACCTGTGGATGGCTTTCTCTGATAATACGCGTGCATTGAAATGCAACGTGTCACTTATTTTTTTGTTTTAATTTATCAAAGTAAATCTTAATCAATTTAAAAAACAAAATCGTTTCTCCGCGTCGTCTAGAGAAAAAGTATTAACCGCGTGAGAATTCTGAAGGGGTTATTTTGTGTAAAGGTGGACTTTTGTATTTAATTTCGTAAAAGCCGCGGTGTGGTGCCAGGAATATATTAATCCGAAACTTAAATCAATCAATTCAGAGCTAATCAGAATGACGTGGTATATGCTGGTTATTATGAAGCATACCCCTCTCATTACGTGTCACGGCGATCAAGTTAGATCCATTATAAACCAGTCTTTACAGATTCTGCGGCATTTTAAGTGTATGCATCCGATAATAGTGGGGCCACACCACAGTTTCCGCCAAAAAAGTCGTCCGGCCTCTCAGCAAGCATGGCCTGCATGTATTAATATTACACAACACTCCTAAATTACTAAAATCGATAAAGAAGCTTCCCTTTACGGTAATGATAAATGATGGTTGATGCACCTAGTTTTCACTGTAAGCTGAATTATTACATAATATACATACATTCGATTCTCTGGCTTGGTTACCCACGGGTGCGAGTAAAATACGAAAACCTCAAATTGGCTTCCCAAACCTACCACAGACTCAATCATGGTAAATACATAAGGATCCAGAATAGATGTGTTCTAAGGTTAGGAACCATATAGAGAATTGTCGCTATGCTATTCGGATTCTCCTATAGTGTCGGATTTACTATCTGTATACGATCGTAGTTTAGCACATTCTGTTTACACAATGCCAACCGATCAGATTCTGAATCCTATTTTGTTATGTTAAAAAGGCGAGCAGTGTTAAGTGCTGGTTAGCTTAGAACCTATATCAGTTTGTAACAAAAACCATAGTGTAATAGTTGTACACATTTCGTTAGCAAATTAAATTATCTACGTTCATGTCTTTAAAACATCCGACGTATCAGGAACAACTATTTCTTAAGAAAAAATGTAATGAAAAATGGAAAATAATGCTGTCGGAAATTCGCCGATTTCTTTCTCACTTCTGTCCTGATTATATAATTGGGCGCAAAAGTCTGAAAATTTTTAAATAATTGTTCCTTTGTTGTTGTTGTTTTTTAAAGGAGTTATTCATCCAAGTAGTATATAAAATGAAGGCTGATCAGAACACTGCGAACTAGTATAATATCTGACATGGTAATGTAATATAGATCCATCAAGTTTTGATCGTACTTTTTAAATTATGTTTCGGATAACTTCATTTGTTTTATATTATGTTCTGAAAATAAAAATAATAATAAATTCTTGAAAATCATTTTTATCACCAATTTACCAATATTGATAAAGACTTGAATTTTATATAATTCTATCAATCAAGGTATTTTCCTCGTTAACGATTTATGTTGATAGGCTTACAATCTGAACACATATATATATGTGCTAAGATGTTCTAATAAAAATAATATGATATAAGTGATGAAAAGTAAACTTACCAATATTCCATTGCAGTTGTCTATTAGTGTCAGAAGTGAAAACAAATACCACGTATATTCCATCTTCCACATCCTTTCTGTAACGATACCGAAATTGATTTGCCAGGACCAAGCAGCATCTTCGGTTTTTATCACATTGCTTATTATGTATGCAAGTGTCAAAGGTTAATTTTGCAACGCGAGATTAGCCGAGATTACGCGAGATTAAGGACAAGTCATTTGAGCGTTTGTAAGAGTCGTTTTCTTAAATGAAAAAAGAGAGCGTTTCTGCTACCAATGCGTTTATTTTCCAGTGGAGAAAAACGCGAACTCTTGAATGTAATGGATTTACCATATTGATTTGGTTCTTTCAGTACTTGTCAATATGGAAGTTCTATACAGTATTGACATCGAAGGTGACAATAAGCAGAAGGACTGGTTGACGGAAGAAAAATTATGTTGCTGCTTGTCATGCCAGAATCTGATGTGCATTTGTAAACAAAGCACCAGCACTTCTGATAAGGACATGAAGGATGCCACGGGGTAAGCAACAGAACATGGCACTGTATTTAATGTCATTTTCGTTATATCTGAACATAGGGTTCGGCCTCTAAACTCAGACCAGGATTTGGCCCAAGGATTTTCGAAACTGGAAGACATTCTGATAAGATGTTCGACAAGTAGTCTGGCCGTACACACGGAGGAATCTCAATAACTCTAAATATTAAAATTCAAAACTACAACGCAAACATTGATTTCTACCTACGGTTTTAGAGACAAATTAGGCACATTTTTCAAAATTGTCCTATTAAAATTGTTATATCTAATTTGCTATTAGCGTAGACCATGCTTGCGTATCTGATAAGCCTGTGAGTATCACTGTTTGTATGAGAATATTATGTATGTGGTCACACGTAAGTTGTGTTGTCGTGAGTGGTAGTCTGACTGCAGTGACAGGATGGACTATGACGTACCAGAGACTTTACTCATCACTCCTTTTGACCCGCCCCATGAACCCTCTTATTTCCTGTCACAAGTTCATTCTACACTGCAATTCTCAAGAGTGCATTTGTGTTGCAAGACATACTGTCTAATTATCTCATTGTACGTATACATTGCATGATGCACACTGTAGACTAGGGTTTGCAAAGACGCTAGTCCACTCGGAAGTCCTTTTTAGTGTATACATATGTGAATGGTTGCACTTGCATTTCCTGTGTACTTAATTGTTGTTTAATAGTTGTAAGTGTGCATCCTTTTTGTGTAGGTTTTTCTCTTTCTGTCAATAAAGTGGAAGAATTTATGTGTTGATGTTCAGATATCACCTCAAGTTTACACTGACACCAAATGTAGGGCTTGGGAATAATACTTGGGTTACTTTCACAAGTATTGCTCTAACCCCTCGAAACCTGAGGTTAAGTTATTTCCTGAGTAATATATCATCCTGGTAAAACACAAGCTGCAATATGCCACTCAGCTAGTTAGAATTTTTCTTTAGCTTGATTGGTTGAGTGTCAGACTAGTAAACCAGAGGCCCCAATTTTATATCCTGGTGGAGGCATTGCAATGAATTATGATCTCTGTTACTTAAGTTTACATTGGGTTTGTCCCATTACTTGTTGTTTTTGGAAAATGTCCCCATGTTTTAAAATATAGATAAGTCGCCAGACATACAATCACTTGTTAACCTCAACAATTCTGGAAGAAAGGCATGTGCATCAAATTTAGTTAGTCCAAGTTTCCTATTGCTCCATACACCAGACCAAATACTTTTACCTGGTGCACTGATTAAACTACAACCACAGAATCAGAATAGCAATGTTTTACATATAAAATGTCAGATTCCTGTACTACAATTTAGTGGGAAGTGAGCTTTGTATCCGTCTGTGATTTCATTTTGTCCTGGTTTTGGTTAACAGTCAGAATTCTTCCCTATGTAAATCCACCAAATTTTTTGACCCCTGCAAAGGTTGATATTCAAACAATGTGTTATGCAATTTGTAACAGCTTAGTATTGATAAATGATTCATTAAGATGAAGCATGTTCCTACTAATTATGTGTCAAAGCCTCACTATTTCCACCCCATTTTTCCTTAGAATTTCATGTTCCAGCATATTTTACAACGGCTTCCGCTACAGAATCTTGCTAGACTTGTCTCTGTTAACCTACTATTAGTGCTGATATCAGAGATCTGTCACATTTGTACCACATATATTACCTGAGTGAAAGGATCATTCAGTTAGTAGAACATTAGCCTATGCAACATCAGGTGAAGATCTGAGGTTCAACAAGCTCCATTTAGTGTGATATGCGTATGTGTTCCTCGGGAAACTGAAGAAAAAACTCAGACTGTCCTTTGCTGCTGTGGTTGTCTCCTATGGCTAAATTCTTTACCTCAATTACTCGGGGTAACATATGAAAAATGTTTGTTTACTTAGTCACCAGCTTCTCCAAGAAGACCCTGCCTTAAAATGAGTCTGGTTGTGGAAGGGGCCATTAGAAACCAAGGAATCAAACAAATTGTGTCATAATCAAGATGGTGGCGGAAATTCCTCTGGCTCCAACACTAGGTTTTTTAATGCTTTGGTGGATGTTTGTGCATCAAAATCCCCAAGTTCTGGTGTACAATACAGATGAAACATGAGTTCATGATCAATATAATGTTTGCTGATTTCTTTGATTCCTTAATCATGTTGATGCTTTTGTTGTATATTTCAGAAAGTTCAATGCGATATATGAAGTGATTGTATTTGACCTGGACAAGCCATGGGAATTTTTCACAGTAATGACAAGTGCTGTGTCTATAACTGGGATGACGTGGGACAGGACAGGTACACGTCTTCTGATTGCAGACATGGATGGGCAGTGTCAGGTGTGGCAGATGGAGGTAAGGAGTCCTCAAATGTACATAGTATCTACGTGAAGGTTTTAGTCATAATAGTAGTTATCGTGATGAGGAATTTTTTTAAAATGGAGATGATTTTAGGCATGTCATTTGACATCTCTGTAAAGGAATCAAGAATGGTAGCAAATATCACACTATTTGATGCTGTTGTTGGAATTCAACATTCACAACATTTTCATATTCATAGCCCACCATCATCAGAGGGTGGACTATGCAAGTCATCCTATCTTTGTGGCAGGTTCATAAGCAATTTTCTTCTTTTCTTGAGAAGTACTGAATGGACCTTTTTCAAATTTTGTATGTAGGTTCCCCTTGGTCCTTAGTTGTGACTGTTTTATTTTGGGATTGATAAAAAAAGACCAGTGGCAGAGAGATATATGAAAGTTTGTTATTGCCATTACTTAAGAAGAACTAGATGGATCTTCCTCTAATATCATATGCAGTCTTTTTTACTTCCTAGTTGTGCCATTTTGATAATTGGATCAGAGAAGCAAAGTGACTGACAGGTGACCATTTTGGATTTGACAGTTAAAGATTATTATCAGTAATTCTTTAAGGAATTTTCAAAGTTCATATGATTAAAAGGGAATAGGATAGTGAATGAGATTAAACTTTTAAAGAACAAATAAAGATCAAACAATGGTTGATGCCAAGATCCTTCTTGGATCTCTTTGTTTTTGAAGCTGATGCTTGATCACAATGTATATTTAATATAATTAATTGAATTTAATAATTTTAATTAAAAAGGTGGAGTTCAACGTAGCTGTGTAGTATCCTTATTGGATTACACAATAAAACAACATCATCTGTGTTTTTTCCAAATGTATAACTATTTGTTTTCTTTTTTCTAATGGAATTCAGTGAACATGCATATTGATGCTAATACAGTGTACAATAATACCCGAAACATTGTTCTGTTTAGTTGTCAGCTTTAGACACACCTTAACATTTTTTGTTTTACTTTGCAGGATTTCTTCATCAACAGGTGGAAGTTATTGGGAAGTTCATCAATTTCTGGAGAAGAGATTTTGGCTATGGCATGGTTTCATACTGGTGTACAGGTATATAAAGATATACATAGTTATTTCCCCTTGTAACTTAATGACTTGTCAAGGGCCTATTTTTATGATACTAATATGTGTGCAAAACAGGATTGAAGATTATTCTACTCTAAAGATACCTCTAGTACATTAGGTACAAATTACGTCTAACACTGATCTAATGTTGTTTCAGTGAGCTTATTTTCTTTACAATTTTGAAACAATTTATTCCTGAAATTATAGAACATAGAAAGTTGTTTTTCAAAAGTGTTGTGATGTAACTCTGTACAACCTGTCAAAATTTAAATATGGTTATTCTTCCTGTCTGTGTTTTAATTGTTTTAATTACCATCATGACAAGTGATGCAGTGACAGAAGCACGTGGATCCAGTTATTCACCTTGTACAAATAATTAACAACATAATCATTAGCCATTGTACCAGAATACAGGAAAAGAAATCTAAGATAACAGTGATGCCAAAAACTGAAATCTTGATGTTCTTACAAATATCATACTTTAATTATTATAAAATAGAAAGAAAAGTGCTCTTAATTTAGATATCTTATGTATATAACTATTCAAAGTTTAGTTGTAAGGCAGTTCTGTATTACAGTATGGTAAGTTTATGTCATTGTTAACAAGAAATGATTTGGATGAAGATGTACACTACAAGGTAGTCCCATCATCATGCATTTCAGTGCCTATGATACATTACTACGAAAATTTCGTTTTATTAAAAACATATTGATAGTTATAAGTTTTGATAATGAAATGAGTATGTTCATAATTAATTGCCAATTAATCAGATTGATAATTTTTGAACAGATAAATTTCAATCCTGAGAAGAGGGATGCTGTAACATACACTGAAAAGTTTCTACGCTCCAAGTTCACACCGACCTTGACACAGTTCGGTGGTCAGCCATTAGATGGTTGGTTGGCTGTAACAGCAACAGGACTGGTAAGCAGAGTCTGTTAGTCTTTGTGATGATCATTGAAGGATGAATGTAAAAATTTTAGAAAACCAGGTATTTGTTTGGTCAGAAAGCCAAGTATTAAATTGGTCAGAAAGTCAAGTATTCATTTGATGAGGAAGCCAAGTATTCAATTCGTCAGAGAGCCAATTGTTTATTTGGCTAAAAAAGTGAATTACGCATGGTATGGTGTTCATACTCTCTCTAAACATAGGAGAAAACTTCTGAAAAACCTTATGTTGTTAAAGAAAAGGCTTTTCAATTGTAAAGGAATGAACAGATTAATAGATATCAGATTAGAGTTTTCCAACAAATGACAATGTTTAACAGAGACAAAAATGAGTTAATCCTGTGATTCAGAGCAAGATGTTGAGAAATTTGTAATTATTTATTTTTGTTATGAAATTGAGCTTCACTCCTTATATGTCAGTAAAATGTCTCTAGTAAGACTGGTCAGTGTTTAGTCAAATTGTACGAGTGAAAACTGACTGTGGAAGAGGTAGATAGGATCACATCATAATTGTCAAAAGTAATCATGGATTAAGTCTCTATTTAGTCTATTTCTGACCATTACATACCCATGTCATTGCTTTTAGCCATCAGATTCAATGCCTGTTTAAAATCAAAACTGACATATATTTACAAAATTAGAAATTAAGAGGAAATTTTCTGGAGCCTTGATAATTGGCCTGAAGCTTGACATTCTACACTTTAAGTCTTTAATCAGACATCTTGGCCATGATTTATATGTCTTTTTATGAGAGGGTGGGGGAACTTGTAGATACTGTGTTGCTTATGTTCCTCAGTCCTGCGATGTTCCATACTCCAAGTCAATGTCATATCTCGATATTCTCTCAACAAATTTGATTCATATTCAACCCATAGCATCATATCATCCAGTTCTACACCTGGACAAGAGTATGGTTTGCCTAGGATTGTAAGCACTGATATTTTCATATTTTAAGTTTCTTATGATATTACATGTAAGGTAATGGATGCAGATCCAAATAGGCCTTTAACCGCTGCATGAAGATTTAAATCTGTCATTTAAATGAAAAAAATGATTCAGTGAAAGATTTTCTTTTATGGAATACAATGTAGTTCCATGTGTAATCAACACAGTCACTTTTTGCCATATTGCATATATCAGTTAAGTGTGTCAGTGATATTTTCAGATTTTGTTTGATTTCTCCAGATTAGTGTTGGTGTGATCAATCAACAGGACCAGAGTATCATGACATCACAGACAAGTCTTGGTGGCAGTCACCTACGCCTCAGTCTAGCAACCATTGCTCACACAGGCACAGGTGAGGTGATGGTGGCCACAGCTGACGGCCAGCTCTCCTCCACCATTCAGTGCTTCTTAGTGACAGTCCGGGTTACACAGAATGCTGTCAAGGTCATGGCCAAGGCCAGTTCTAGTCTCTACATGAAGAGTCAGATGGATTATGGAGCACAGGATAGTCAGAAGATGATGGTGTCCCATATACAGTTCCTCAATGCAGAGAGCAGCGACACGCTGATTCTGTGTTGTGGTAGTCAGGGCTACAGTTGCCTGGAGGTCTGGCAGCTTATCGATCAACACATCCCACTTAACAAACTGTTTCAGATGAGTTCAGGACCAGACACTGCCTACAAGATCCCAAAGTGGATGCACAAGGCGACTATCCCTCATGCATCCTATCTGTCAGCCATTGCTGGGCCCACCTTGCCCATGAGTAAGACATTTATGGAAACTGGCTTCTCTCCTTACATCGCTGTGGCATACAGAGATAGCACTATCAAGCTGATCCACCGTTACACACACCAGGTCATTCACACATACTTTGATGCACTTGGTGCTTCCAATCAATGTATTAGTCCCACCAAACGACAAAAACTCACCATTCATGCTTCTAACATGATTCAAACATTGAGTGGGTGTGGCCTGGTGGCATTGCATGATGGGAAGGTGTCAGTGTTACGTGTGTACAATATGCGTGATGGACTAATGGCAATGAATCCATCTTATGTGTGTCTGCTGCTGGAATATGCTATGGTAACAGGACAGGATTGGTGGGATGCCATGCTAGCAGTCAAACAAAGTATGTCTTAAGTTATAAACTTGTTCAGTACTAGTCATCAGATATGTTAAGTGTTGTGATTATTTGCTTGAAACCTGTTTGAAATGAAGAACTAGAAATCTGAGCAGATTTCAGTGTAATACATACATGTAGATATATCCCTAATTAATTTGGACACTAAATTGACTTCAAAATTTCATGCTTGATGTTTGAAGATTTTTGATAAATTTTACAGTATTGGCAAGCTTACTCTATTATACCATGCCTTATGTTACAGATACTATTGATGGAATCAGTCAGAAATTAACTGAGAATTATTTTAAGCAAACCTACTCCATGCAGGACGTGGTCAGTATCCGCCTTGTTGCTCTTAAGGTGGCGCTTTATAGTAGTGCCAACAATGGCCACCAGAGGGCCATGGACTACCATGCTCGTCTGGTGCTGCAGTCCATCACAGCCTTATTCAGGGGACTACTGCGACCAAAGTCAGCCAACCAACAAGAAAAGGTGAATATTGATCTGTCCATAGTATAATTAGATTTACTTAGGCATTAGAACCTGTCTCAAATAAGAGATATTTGAAATATATATATATCAGTAACGATATTCATTAGAAGGATATGGATTTATTACAGATGTGTGGAGATGGAGTGAAAAACTGGAAATGTACAAACAACAGATAGGCCCTCTGTTGGAGACATTCTGATCTATTAGAATTACTTCTCTTTATTTCTCCTCGATCAATACCAGATGACTATCAATGTAACTGCTTCTGCTGGAATATGATACATGTTAATAACTCTTAAAAGCAAAAAACATGAACATAATCATGTCTTCTTTTTGTTATTTTGTATTTTCATTTCTTACTTAGCCTGTGGAAATTGTAAGATGTGAACAAATTAATACTCCTTTATGTTCATCTGGTTTCAAATCGCGTTATTTTATATGTTAGGTGTTGCAACTGATAAAAATGTCAAAGGTATAGGGTTGCATGTGCAACTCTACAAATTTCTCAGTATACTCTGATTCCCACTAAAATGAAGACCCTTTGTATACCAGTACCCATGTCAACAAGTATGATTAATTCTTTTAGAACCTATTTCCTATTTACTGTGAAATAAACAATAATTTGTATTTATGTATACAATGAATTGGATCTTTATGACTTCCGGTGAAGGACTGATTGGACAATAAATTGTAACATTATAGCAACATATAGCTGATACCATGTACAAAGGGATTCAGATGTTTTAGACAGTAGAATATATTCAAATTGCCTTATGTTAGTGGCCCATCTGTCCATTCACAGGTCAATAATTCTTATCAATATTTCTTGTGATAATCTTCCATAATCATTGAGATTGATCAGAAAAACAAAATGGCTGTCAGGTGGCTGTCTTTGATTTTGACAATGAAAGATTGTTATTCTTATTTCTTGAGAAGTAATATATGGTTCTTTCCAAATTTCATATGTAAATTCTTCTTGATCCCTGGTTGTTGCACCCTTATGATTTTGGGACTGATTAGAAAAACAAAAATTGGTTGACAGGTGATCATCTTGGATTTGGCAGTTTAAGATTATTATCAGTATTTCTTAATAAAGAATTTTCAAATTTCATATAATTAAGACCAAAACAGAGGAAAGAATAAAATATCCAACTTTTGAAGAACAAAAAAGAGCAAACAATTGTGCACACTAAGATCTCTATGGGATCTTATGCTGTTTTTAGGTTAATCATAATTATTGTTTGATTTATCATATTGGTGTAACATTGTTATTTTTTATAATAAGTGTTGTCACTGTAATCAAATCTCTTCCCTACAGACACCGGCTGAAAAGCTAGGAGCCCTGTGTAAAACAACAGACGGCAATCTGGAGAACATCCTGCTTAACCTGGAAATTGAGGATTTCCTTATAGATTCAAGGAAAAGAGAGAAACCTCAAGGATCTGGAGAAAGTAAGTACTTGTTTTTTTAATCTGTATCAATATTTACAGCTAGCTGCCGACTTTTAAGTAACTTCAAGCTCATACTGTTGCCAAAGCATCCATGGCATGACTGAAAACTGAAGTTTTTGAGGATACATATTAAGCTACTATAACTAAACAGCATATACCCCTTGTATATACTTGCTATGGGTCACCATCTGTTGTCCACTGTCAGTCATGCTGCAGTTTAATGAAATTTCATACAAATGATAACTACTGGGCTCTGATCAATTTCTATCATGTTTTAAGTGAAAATGAAATCCAAGATGGCTGCCATTACCACCATGTTTAGAATCTATTTTGTACAAATGGTGTTGATTTCATCTTCATCAGAGGTACAATATGACCTTTAAGACTAATTTTCAGTAAATGAGTCATTGAAAATTACAATATTTGTTTGTAGACACAATAACTTGAGACTGAATAATCATTTGGAATCAATTTCTTGAAGTATTTACACATTATGGAGGTGAAGGGGTTGATAAAATTTAGGATCAGCACAAGGAGCAATTTAATTTTAATTGATTTAATGCTGTTTTTGACTCTCTGTTAAAAGCTACAGCTAGGATTTACTGTGAGAGGCCAAACCAATGGAATATTCTGTTGATAACAATTGTGTCATTGAAACTGTCAGAATTTGCTGTGAGGCCAACACAAGGGAAAGTTCATCTATGAGGAAACTAACAAATTGGTGTTGTGTATTGTCAGCTGGAAGACATATAACTTAATGTTTAGTTAAATATTGACATTTCAAAAAGGAATGAACAAGATGATCAATCAATATCAGTAGTATTGACCTATCTATTGACCCTTGACATAACTTAACATTGTAATAAAATTTGTAAATTAAAGGTATGCAATATTGCTTGATGATGATGACTTACAGTGTATTTGACCTATGACCTTAGGCTTCGGTGACCTATGGCATATTTTTGACATTTCATTGTAAGATGTGTAAATAAATTGTATACAGTCTTGGTTGATATTGATGACATATGTTAATGATTGCTTTCCCCCAAATTTTATGTTTTTTTATTCATGAAAACTCAAATTATAGTTTTAGTGTAAATTGTGAAACATTGTCTGCAGAAAAGGAGAACGTCTTTGCTGCTATATCACATCTGTCCATTGTTTTCTTTCTATAAAATGCTACTTTTTACCAACGAAAGAAAGATTTTGATCATATTGCTAGTGTGTCAGGACCCACTCGGCCTAAGGGGAGGGGCACAAGTGGTGAAATAAAGCTTTTTCTTTCTAATAGGGGCCTCTTGTATAAATAATCAAGTAACGAATGATAAGTTTTATATCATCAATAATTTTGGAACATTGTCATGCTGTGTTACAGGTGCACTCCAGTCCCTACAGCCTCTGATCCAGTGGGTAGCTGACTTTACTCTTCATCTGCTTGCCACTATTCCAATGTATCAGTCCTACTCAAGCTTCCCAGGGTCCTCCCTACTCACTGATCGCAGCTTATTAAATACACTTCGTGAACTTCTGGTAATCGTGCGTGTGTGGGGCATTATAAGCCCATCCTGTCTGCCTGTCTTCACAACTTCTAGTACAGACTGCCTAGCTCACCTGTTCAAGGTTGTTACAAAGGCATGGCAGTGCTGTAAGGAAGGAGGTGGGGTTGAGTGTGACGATGCCCTCCTTGACGAATGTTGTCTTCTTCCCAGTAAAATTGTCATACCCAGCATGAACCAGAGCTTTCGATTGGACGATTCAGGTTACAGTATATTTACACAACCAGGATCTCAGATTTTCAGTTTGGGTGAGGAACCAGAGTTTATGTATAACAGAAAGAAACTTAAATTTCCATTCTTGTCCGATGTGCTAACGGAAAGTCAACAAAATCATGACATCATACGACAAGTACACCTTGGTGCTCGCCCATCTGAGGCAGTGAGAAAGTGCACGAGGTGTGGTGGATATTCTCTGATCAAAAGTCTTGGCAAATCTCCTATAATGAAATCATGGGAGGCTCGATGGAGAAAAAACTGTTTGTGTGGGGGGCTCTGGAAGGTAGAGAAATGACAAATTACTCAACACTAGTAATTAGTACTTCCAGACTGTTCTCATTTCTAGATACAAGAGATTTAGCAAAACGAACGATAAAAAAAAAATGTGGAATGATGGACTGTGTTTAAAGGATAATCATGGTTCATTAGGAGGTTTTTATGTATCAATCAGCTCATCATTCATCTTTCCATTGGTTCCATCATGATCACTAATCATGACACTACAGCAGATATGAAATGTGCAAACCTGTATTGAAATGTCAATCAAATGCGAAAATAAAATGATCAATATCATTTATGGCTGATGATATACTGTTGTAGAAGGAGAGAGTTCACAATGACTTACTAGCCTCAACTTATAGGAATTTCTTTTTCGATAAGTGGTAGAGTGTCGGACCAGAGACCAACAAGTGTATAGTTCAAGCTACAGCTGGGCAGATCATGTTTCACTACTCTGATTTTCGTTATATATTTGTGGGACGAGGCCTAGTGGCAGACCACTGCATTTGTCATCCATTTACTTATTCCTATAAATTGCTTATCATATTTGTCTGTGATTTGAATTAAGTAAATTCCCATTTCTTTTATATTCTTCTTTTTGTAGAAATGAACAAATTTTGACTAGATTTGATCTGATGTATATAGTGTTTTAAACTCCAAAATTGACATTCTGGATTAGTGGGGTTGGGGGGTTGGGGAGGGGAAGATATAAACCTTTATAATATTTCTCCTATAGTCTGGATAAACAATTTGTCTGAACCAAACCAGGGAAGCAATGCAGGACTTATGCAGATCTTGCTTTCAGTGGAGGGAACCACTCATGTACTGACTATCTACTTGTTATGTAGTGAGGTAAATTTAAAAGTATACACTATGCTTACTATGGAATACAGGGACTGACATTTCACTTGTATTCAGTATTTGCTATTTGCCCTTTCAAGTAATTTACTATTTTGTATTTGTTTAAAAATTGCTCACTTATCCATCTATGGGTGTATACATTTCTATTTCCATATTACATGGTCATTTATGTGATTTCTGAGCTTAATCCAATTGCAGAGAAGTTCCATCTTTTTTGTTTTGGAAAAATGTTAAAACAATTGAAGCAAAAATGATCCAATCGGTTGGCATCAAAAAGATATAAGAAATACTCCACAATGGCATGGCTGTTTCGTCTCTCTATTTGACTCAGATGCCTTGCCAATGTAACAGCTCTGAGGTGGAACATGTGACACAGTCACATCAGCAAGTAACATACTAATGGCCTATCTCAATGTAAAATATTCATATGGTTGATTTGTGGTATATGAGATATTGGTTACATTCATCTTTAAAAGAAAATACGAGTCATTCACAAATTTGTCATAAATTTATTGTGCGAATGTTAAAAAGGTACAAACAATTGAAATGTTTAATAAAATATACTAATTTAGTACAAATTTTACAATTCAAGACATCTTGTGGAAAATATTAAAATTATCCTTAAAAATATGCATTTTCTATTTTAAAACAAATTGTACACAATACAAATGTCATCAAAAACAATTAAGAACTGTCAAGACTCTGCTACCTTGTCATTGTGACTTGAAAAACATCAAAATAACATTTAAATATCACAAGTAGAAAATAAAAAAAAATTCTGATAAATGTATGGATGAAATTAATATAATCTGAATAAACACATTAAAATCTTCTCGTCAAATCAGTGAAGATAATTGCTGGTAATTGTCCAAGTGACACATCCTCACAATACTTACAAGTTGCCTGAATTAGTTTTCTCTGCTGCTTAACTCATGAATCTTGTATTTATCCGGAGTATTTCTTGGAAACAAAGAGTTAATTCAGCTGCTGTATTATTTGGGGTCGGTGAGTTAATTTTGCCATATTCACAGTCAATAAATTTATCACTAAAGCAAACATTCAGCAAACATTTCTAAAGGGAATGAAAATCTTAGAAAATATCTGTTATACCCTGTACACATGGGTACATAGATATACACATAAATTAATACCAGCAAACTTGCTCAAGCTGGGACAACTGTGAAATATTAGCACTGTGAAATTTAACAACTATATAGTATTCTGTAACATCAGCCCCCAACCCCCTTATTTCCCATGTCCACCCAAAATAAACATTGCCATTGCCTTCTAAAGTTAACATTGATTAATTCTAAAATAACTGTTTAAATACTCACTATTCTTTATAAGTTTAGAATTTCTAATATTGCGTTTTGTTGGAGATTTATGATTTTTGGAGGAGTTTCAATTTTGACGGTGAAAATTACACCACATCCAGTGGAAACTTACCACAATGGTAAATTATGTACAGGCTTCAAATAAAATATGCTGTTACAATCTTATCTGATGAATACACAGGTATTCAATACTGGTGAATTGAGATAGATCAAAACATTTTGCTTTAAAGAAATACACGATCTTCAAAATAATATGTAAAAGTGAAATCTATAAACCAGACATTAAAAGTCACAAACAACTGTTCACATCTAGAGAGTTTTTAAAAATTGTAAATTCCAAACTATCCCTTAATGGATGATTTTAAAACTAGGGTATAACAACTCATAATGATTAAATGTGTGTTCTTCCTACCTGAAAGATTAAAAATTAAGTAGACATATTAAAACATTGATATCTAAACAATATCAAGATAGCTGCTATTGTCTTTACTGTAGGTGGGAACAATGGATGATATCAATTAACACTACAATGTTAATTTCACTTCTGTAATACATTATTAAAAACAAAAATACTGTACTTTAAGGATGAGTGTTGCCATCCTGCATATTCTTCAACACCTTTTGTACCCTGGTATACAAAAGTCATGTTATTTGTACAGAGATATCAAAAACTGCCATTTGTATGATCTATAGCTGCCTTGAGGACACAGGACCTAGCATATTATTTCCTGTGTGTCTGAGGAACCAAAGTTCTGTTAAGAGTCGCTCTTAAGATGGTGTTTCAAATGTCCTGTGGGGTCTGTAAATGTCATCGATATTTTAGTAAAATTTTAAAGCATCCTTTGTAAATCTCACTGTACCTGAAAGAAAAAAAAGAAAAAGTGAGAAATCATGTCATTTGCAGATTTCAATCAAGATATCTTGGTTATGTTCAATGATGTCTCTCGTGACAGATACAAGTAAAATTTTGTAATAAATATGATGGGATGTTACATAAAAGATCCGTTCCGACATACAGTAAATCAAGTATTTTCAGATTGTTTTGCTGTCACAAAGCCACCATGTTTTGTGTTATCTTGCCTTTATTAAATAAGAGATGCAGGTTGTAGAGGAAGAATTAATTCTAAATCGACAGTACCAATAGCTAATGGTTTCAAAGTTAATATACAATTTCATGAGCATGACAGAATATTTCTTTTTTCATGTGAGTGATTCATAACTGAAAAATATAGATGTATTGTCATATCAGTGAAATTATTAAACAGGAAACCATTAAATATTCTTTTTAGTAAATTTTTTAAAAAGTGGATTTGAAAAAAAAATGCACAAAAAACTTTTGGGAACAGCACATTCTTTGACGTTGGATAGTTATGATGATAAATAAACTCAACAAGATGACGTCATTTCAGACTGTCAAGTTGCCATTCTTACTTTAATATCATTTGGACCAGTAGGACCAGGATTACTGACATAAGGACAAGACAAGATAAATAGGGCACACTAGAGAATGAGGAGAACCTATCTACAAATTTGGAGAACGATTGATCTTGTACTTCTCAAGAAGAAATAGTGGTAACAAACTTTCATTGTCAAAATCTATAAGGGCCACCCTTGAGCCATTTTTTCCACTAATTCCAAAATTGTAAGTGAACAACTAGTAATGAAGGGGAACCTAAATGAAATTTGAGAAAGATAATCAAGATACAGAGATAATAAAACTTTCATTGTCAAATTCCAATTTCGCCATATCTGTTTTTCTGATCAGTCCCAAAACCTATTCATAAAATTTGAAAAAGCTCTGTCCAGTGCTTCTCAAGAAATGATGATAACAAGAATTCTTTAAGGATGGATCACCAGACAACATAATATAAATGTAGGGCAATTTCAATAGCCCACAATTTGATAAAAATCAGAACTTACTTGTAACCATTGGCAACAAGGAATCGAAGAACAGCTGGACGTATCCTAGCTATGCCACCTCTACTGTGACTCCCCCTACCGGTGATGATGACTAGATGCTGCTTCCTCTTGTCAGGGTTGGCCTTTAAATCTACAACAGAAACACAAAAATTATCCATTTACACTTAATCAAATTATACAGGAACATCTGTCTCTTCCATTTTCTAAAAATACATATCTACATAAAACATAACTGAAATCATGACCTTCCTTTTCTGTATCTCTTTTGAAGATCTGAGATTACTTTTAAATAACAGTATCTTAAATCCATTAGATATTCCTCAATGAAATCAGAATTGCTCTTAGCCTGTCTTATACTCTCTGATTACCACCAAAGTGTAGACAGATAGATAATAAATTCCTGCAATGAACACAAAAAAATCCACAGGTCTGCAATCAACCTTTTTGAAAGTATAATGAATCCACCCTTTTGACAGTAAAATGAATCCACCCTTTTGACAGTATAATGAATCCACCTTTTTGACAGTATAATGAATCCACTCTTTTGACAGTATAATGAACCCACCCTTTTGACAATATAATGAATCCACCCTTTTGACAGTATAATGAATCCACCCTTTTGACAGTATAATGAATTCACCCATTTGACAGTATAATGAGGTGTACTTAAGGCCAATAAAAGCAGGAGGCCTATATAGATAGGAGATTCTTAGGTCATAATGCTGATGTGCTAATGTATCAAAATAATGATGAGGTCGTCAAGAGGTAGCATTACCTTCTTCCCTTTCTGGAATAATTCTTTCTAAGGCTTCAATAGCTTCATCCACATGTAGTCCATGAAGATCGATGGCAGATCTCTCTTTCAACAGGGAATTTCTATATCAAAGATTCAAAGATGACATACACTACATTCTCTTGATAATCTCTTTAAATAAGGAACACAACAGAGATTTGTATCACCATGGGAAATTATATTAATAGGCAAAACATTTATGAAAATGTACAATATCAGACCTCAATTTAAAATTATGATATCTTGGTGATTATGGAAATAGAAAATATTAGAATGAGTCACCTCTGGAGTATTTTCTCAGCTGCTCGTTGGTTTGCCTCCTTAATCTTCTGCGAATGGCCATGACCCTACACAAAGAAAAGATTTTTAAGTGGAATATGTAAAACATGTAAAACATGCAAATTAATGCAAGTAATCGTGCTTTGATGGAAACATACCTCAGTAAAAGTATGTTTACCTTGCCATGTTTATATCAGAAGTACTGAAGATGTGATCACAGTGTGATAAAACCATATCATTAATAAAATAACAGTAGACTTCCTCTACAGAACTGAAGTAAGCAGGCATTATTGATGTGTACCTGTCTGGAGTAGAATGAGGCAACATCTCTCATGCCACGCCTGTATGCCTCCTGTGCCTTCTGGAAACACTCATGCCTGAGGCGATGGTGAATGTTAGCTTCAGCTCTGAAGTCATCATAGTCTGGGTCTTCATGTTCTTGGTAAGTTTTTCTCTCCTCAGGACTGTACATGTATGAATCCATCTAGGACAGAAAAGTTATGACACAGACCTGAAGTAGAATTCTCGTAAATAAAATTCAAACTAATTTGTAAAAACTTCAAAATTGCAAACCAATATAGAACTTTTCTTAGTGAGAAAGTAATTTAACAGTGGTAAAATAAATGGTATTATGTACATAAGCGTGTCACCGAATGTTACAAAAACCAGAAACAATTGGATTACCACTCTGAATGTAATTTAATGCCCATTTAATAATTCAGATATTTCTTGAAACATGGCTGTATTTGTCAAAGAATTCTTCAGAAATTTTGCTAATAAATCCACTTCTGAATCATTCCAAAGACATCAGAGTGCTCTTTCCCTACCATTTCCTGAAGACTTTGCTGTTTGGCAGCTGCTAGTAGCTTTTCTTCATATGCTTCACTGGCCTCTTGAGTCCGAACATTTTTAGGAGGAGTTGTATCATGTGTCAAAAACCCACGGATGGCTAAAACAGTGTTGTCCAGGTTGTAACTGAAAAAAGTATCAAATCAAATTTGGGATCATAATTACATTACCAATAAAGCTACATATAGACTGGAATTCTTGTCTTGGCCCTTTATAAATGTAATATGGTATCAATAATTAATTATGTAAATCAATATTTGAAAAGACCAAGTGCTTTAGGAGGTAAAGTATCTATAACTAAGTACCTTCAGATACCGCGGTAGGTACAGATATGGGGACAAGGTAGGATTGAAAATTTACATCCTTTTCTGACCAATAGCACGCGTTACATTTGTGACTATCTTTTTTCCAAACCTAATCACTACCACATCTATAATTTACAATTTCTTTTCCTTGTAATATCACAAAGCAAAAATTAAAATAAAACAGTGTTCACCTGTTATCCCTGTATATGTCGTCCAGCAGGGTCTCATCTATCCCAGGGAACTGCTCATACAATTTTTTCCTCTTAAGTCGGTTAGCTAACACATTGTGGTTACCACTGGCCTCCAAAAGCTTTATCTAAGAAATTCAAAATAGGATGATTTCATAGAATATAAAATCTATTTTCCTAAAAGAAAAATTTGGATTTTAAGACATTTTCATCTGAAATAATTAAGATATTCTCTGGTCATTAATTTCAAACATTCAAGAACTCTTGGAGTAACATCATTGAATACTAAAGACTGAAAACACCAAAGCACAAGCTTGATTGTTCATTTCAGTTGATTTTATTAGGTACTCATGAAAATAAGTTAGGTTTAATTGATAATTATGTAGACTCCATGTGTTAGAAAAAAACCCATTCATTTTAAAAATGCAGTTTATGACCTGAAATATTACTGAATACACAACCATGCAGAATTGTAAAAACCAAACAACCTAATAATCTACTCCCCATACCACTGCATGTACAATGTTTATTTTTACATCATCATTAATATGTACCATGTCCCATTAAATTATCTTTGATTGTGATAACAGGGTTAATCTTCCAGTGGTATGGAGACAGAATCAGGCAAACAAGACAATAATTTTAAAAAACATAATAAAAGCAACAAGGCTTAATGGAATACTATAATGAGATCTCAAGGAATGTCAAACAAGAGTGAAATCAACTGATTCTCTCAATTAATTCATCATATTCAGTATATTTTCTAAAATTTTACCTTGTTTTCATACAATTTGGAGAGTTGTCCAGGAAAATTAAAAATTTTTTAACTTCATTACTTTACATTTTAAAGAACTGAATTATTTCCAGCTTGGAAAATATTTGCAATACTGAGCAATTATGTAAAAAAGAAAATATTCTTTGGACTGTTTTCAAAAATTCTTCCTGACTGTTAAATGCTGAAACATTCACATCCAATTATTAACCCACAGACAACTCAGAAATAGAATTAAAATAAAAAATTGTGACAAAAATTGTGAAAATTGGTGGAAGATTTTGTTCAGAAACTCAAGAGAATAATTTACAAAAGAACATTTTTCTTAAACTGCTGAAACAATCTCAACAAAGAATAGAAACAATTGGAGGTCTACCTCATCTGATGTGTCGTCAGCATCATCAGAATCCTATACAAACAATCATAGTACAACTATCATATCTCTAAAATCTTCAATACATCTGTTAAATGTATATTTGTTTCCTGTAACATCTTCTCTTCAAGCTGTGAAATATTATGTTCACTTATCTGTATTGGGTTTTGCATTCTTCCAATAAAAAAAAAATGGAAAATATTTATTGTAACTTACCTATAAGAAATTTATAAGGCAATAACTCTCAAAAGTTTTATCATATCAGTTCTTTCTACATCAAAGATATCAAAAGATAATATAGTCTGTCCATTGGGTATTGTCTATTCAGATGAAATCAATTATATCCCAACTTTTGACTTAACTTTGATCAGTTGTATTTCAGTTTTGTGTTTTAGTCTGGGCAATAAACAAAGATCTTAGATGTTTCCATCAATCCAATCCGAGGAGAGATTGGCAGAGCTATTACTGATTGCATTGACAATGTGCAAACCAAATGCATACCTTGTTATTGAATCAACTTACAATTTGTACCCAATAATTTCTCTTTCCATTTTATGAATTTTGGTTTTACCTTAAGAAATAGACATGGTGCCAAGAAACCAAAAATATCCCGAACTTTGGACCTAATGAACCAATGAAACTGATTAGGTTATAAATGCCAGCATTATAAAAACCTCACAACATACCTCTTCCTCTTTTCTTCTCTCGCGTTCCATCTCCTCCACCATGATATCTTTCAGGGAAGTTACCCCTTGCTCTTTAGGATGCTGCTTGTGCTGAACTTGATTGACCCCTCCCAGGGGCAATGAATGATTCATAGGAGGTGGGTTGAATGATGGAGGAGGCTGATTTCTTGTTTTAAGTATTTCTTCATCCTGGAGTCGACGGGCAAAAGCTTCATCTATGGAGTATATCAATATAAATATAGAATCAATACACAATGTAAATTGTACCAAATATTAATTTTTTTTTTTTAAAGCAAATTAGAATGCGAGATGTCAGCAAGGTCCTGCCATATGGCTGGAAATCCCTCCCCCATCGACCCACCCTTGATACACACACCCCAAGACTGTCAGATTACTGACAAGACCTTAAATACACTCTGCCACAGAAGTCAAGAAAGACTATTACGAAAAAATACAAAAATATATTTACAAATACATTCAACAATCTGAATTTTTTAATTTATAATAACAGTGGCCTTGACCTTAGAACTTGGGATATACTAAGCAATATCACAAACAAGCACCTTTGGTAAGGAAGCATTGTGTGAAGCAAATTCACAGAAACTGATTTCACTTAAGAAGTTGTCAACTGGCTGACCAACTCATAATACAAGGGTTCAAAAGATGCAGGGTGATGAAAATTATGGGGAATTATATGGTCGCCATAGTGATCTCATTGAGAAATATTCTATATTTTTGTATGACATGAAGCTGGACGTATTTGTTAGTATGCCTGTTGTTCTACTTAGAATAACAGTAATTTGGACCATTGACCATGGAACCTGAAAAGCAACCCAAAGCAGCATTTTTGTAAGGAAGCATTGTATGAGGTTCAAGTCTGATTGACCAAAACAAACTTTAGTAAAAAAACTCATTGGGCAAGGAAACTTATTTTTCTATTTATAGTAACAGTGACCTTTGACCTTCAAAACTGTTAGGAAATCCCAAGCAAACACTTTCAGTAAAGAAGTATTGTATGAATTTTGGGATAGATTTACCGAAGCAAAATTGAATTTTTACATAGTAACAGTGACCTATGCAAGCACTTTCAATAAGGAAGCACTGTATGAAGTTTAAGTTTGATTGGCCCAAGGAAACTCATCACATAGACACTAAAGTGCTGACAGCCAGACAGACAAACAGATAGATGGACACCATGATTACTATAGAAGAAAAAAAATATTGCTTTTTAAGGAGCATAAATAAAAATGCTTTCAAAATACTAATATAAATAGATATCTTTCTTTTTTGTCTTGTAATGGTGTGTAAACTGCATTTCTAAACAAATATTTCAACATTTCAACACTAACAAAAAAAAAATTTTTCCTTAAATGTGCAGATTTTTAAGACTGACCACAGAATGTATAACACTTGATCAAGAGATTCAGACTATTCCCGCAGGTTTGTCATAACTTGCATGCCATGTTTGAATTCATTCAAAGAGTGGCATGGTTCAGAATATACACTTGTACTTCTAAAATCATCAGCCATATGAAATTATGAAATTTGATGAATTATGGGTCTAGTGCACCTCCATATCAAGATTTTGACATTACTTTTGATCACCTTGTATTAATCTCAGTCACCCTTTAGACTTCAAAATTTAGGCCCTTAGATAGACTAATTAGTCCTACAAGGACAATGCAGCTGTATGATACAATTATATTCATTGTTTGGGTCTACTGTATCAAACTCTCACGATCTTCAATAGAAGAATTTGTTAGAAATATATTAAAGATGGCTGCAAGAGAAGCCATCATGCCATCTCACTGCTTCCAAAAAAAAATGGTTTGTCAGGACTTACATTGAATATTTCTATGCATCTGCATTCAAATCCATCCCATCATGTTTGCTCTAATATTTTCATGATGGATATGAATAGGGACCGATATAAGTGTTTGTGCCTCATTAACAGTAAATTCTATATCATTATGCATCAGTCTTTCTCCCTGACTTGAGAAGTGATAAACCACAACTGACCTTCTAGCATCTGTTTCTGTCTGTCCACTGTCTGCTGATTAATGGTAAGCATCAAACATCGGTGTAGTGCTTGGGCAGTTCTATAATCCAGGGGAACTACTACATCACCTTTCACACCTGAAACACAGTCCTTACTCGTACAGCCATCCCCAGTAAATGTCAATAAACAAAACAGTTTAATGCAATACATGTATAGTTACTGTGGTAATGATAGCAATATCACAATAACATCATCCAAATTTTCTTCAGTTTATCCTGTAACAGGACAATCATTCACTTTAATAAATAAATTCAATTCTATCTATAACAGTTTTGGAAAGAGAAATGACTACAATACCTGATAAATGTGAGATTGGTCCAAACTGCCTTTGAAGGTCTTGGATTGTCTCCCCTGAAAGCTGAATAGCCATGACTGGTGTAGAGCTCTGCAATGCTTGAAAGTCATGTGCTTCTTCATCAGATCTATTTCCACTGGCTGAACTCTCCATACTTGGCCCCTTTGTGAAATCATTTGCCTGGTTGGCTGTCCATGACTCTACATAGGAAATATCCAGCTGGTTGTCTAGCACAACCTTGTCATCACTGGCGTCACTTGTACTATCAGAGGATGCTTGTTCAGTCATGGAAATCAATTCTTTAAGAATGTTCTCATTGAATTCATCATCGGGAACTGCACTCTGGGTAAATGTTCGAGAATGTGTTCGTTTCAATCTGATATTTTCTTCTATGGAATGGAGTCGCTGTTGACTACTCATTATGATTTGATGTTCCACATCCTGTCTCGGAGCGATGTGCTGGGACTCCACATACCTTACACATATGTCTAGCAGAGATGTGGGTGACTGCACAACAGGACGTTGTCCTGCAGAGAATGAAAATTTTGGTACAGTAGGTGATTTTTGGAGCTGAAACATTCTGCTAACAAACTTCTCCTTGTCATCAGAGCTGAGAGGAATGTTGTATTTCCAGTCAAGAAGTAGGTTGATGGCCCATTGAAGGTTGTTTCCACACTGACGTAAAACCTCAGAGAGCTCATCAATGGGAATAGTTGGGAAACTATTTTGTAGAAAGTCAATGTCTGCTTCAACGTTTTCTTCAGTCATAGTGCCTCTATCAACACAGTGTTGTGCTTCCACGCATTTTACACTGCTGACCTCCAAGTTGGATACCTCCCCACTGATATCCTTGTTTTGAGCGGCTAAGATATGGTAACATTTTCTACCTCCAATCAAGTGTGTTGGGTCATCTCCTCTGTTGACAGCGTTTAGCACCTTTAAGTCCCTTGTTGTAATGTAGGTTTCATGTTCCAACAAACACAGCACTTTCTTTTTCTGAGGGATATCTGGTTTCAGAACAGATTCTGACAATTCAGGAAAAGTCCAGTCAGCACCAATCACTTTCTCCTTTACCTCAGCCTCTAGGAACGGCCCTTGTTTGTATGGATCAAGTTTCCTCCGATTTGATTTCTTCTTTGCTGGTTTGGTTGGAGAAGGTTCCAGGGATAATTGAGACTGAGAAGATTGACTGCAATCTTCCTCTGCTTCCTTTGTCAGAGCCTGACAAGCAACTGAGGTAACCAAAGGTTCTATCTTGGACTCAGTGGATATTTTCTGGTCTGTGTCATCAACTGGTGGACTAGTTGCATGTTTTCTATAATTACGTGTACGTTTCTGCCTTTGTCTTTGAGGACATGTCCACATATTTATATCCTCTTGTTCCACATTACTTAATGTTTTTAAAACCTTTTGATTTTCAAGTCCATGTTCCATTGGAATTCTTAAAGATTCATTTTCTGTTTTTTTAACATCTTTTTTCAAATTTGATAATTCTTGAACATTTTTCACCTTTGGATGTTTGCTAATTCGCTGTTTTCTAGCTGGTTTTGGTTCCTCCCAATCCAAAATTTGTGCAGAGTAAAAATCTCTATTCAGGATTTGTTCATTTAAGTCCTCCTGGATAATGGGTGATGAATTAGCAGTCTCTTCATCTAATATTTTTTGTTGGGAAGTTGTTGTGCTATATGCTTCTGATCTATTGCCACATAACCTGTAACTGATGTACTGCTCAGCCACCACTTTCTCATCCTCATCCAAGTCTGTGAAGAGAAGAATGGCTTTTAGTTCATTAGCTGTTACACTGAAGTCTATGGAGTAATTTAAGTCACTCCCTACATTATCTCTGATAAGTTCATCCACAGTGTCTTTCACATTCTGGGGAATGTCCTCTGATGAATATTTGGTTCCAGTTTCAATCCCTTTTCTGACTTTGCTATCCTCTAAGGTGTTGATATTATGTTGATCAATCATCACTTCTGGTGAGCCCACTTTTTGTTTTACATCTATGTTTTCTTCCATTGCAAATTTATCTGTCAGAATTTCATCATTGGAAGCTACCATCTCATCTTTGGTTGTCAACCCATCAACAATGACTAATGTTCCACTCACTAATGTCTGGTGGGTGTCAAGTTCATCTGACATTGTCTGCTTGGGATTAAGATGATCTTCTGTTATTTGTTCAGTATCGAGGTTTTCTACTAATGTTTGTTGGCTGTCAAGAACATCTACTGTTGACTGTGAGGAGATATGGTCATCTTCTGATATTTGGTGTGTATCATCATTTTTGGATGTCTTTTGCATATTAGCACTATCTCCAGGCATCTTTTGAGAATCAGGATGATCTTCAGGTTTATTTTGAGTATCATTTTCATCAATGTATAACTTTTGAATTTCGATGTCTTGATCGTCTGTCTTTTGAGCATCTTTGTTTTCTTCTTCTGTGTTCTGAATACAATGGCCTCCTGAGGTTGCATGATGCTGTATAAAACCAGGTTTCTTGTCCGATACCACAGGACAATCTGAGCAGTCATCTGGTTCTGAAGCTCTGTCAGGTATAACAGGACCATGTTCTACCTCTGAAATGTTATTGGACTCTATAATGCTATCTGCACCCTCCTCCAATGATGACAAATTTGACAGGTCTATTGAAGTTTCCTGGGAGTCAATGGCTTGATCCTCCTGTACAGACGAAATGACTTCCTCCTGGTCTGTCAACATCTCGCAGCATGTGTGAAATGTACCTTCAGATGAAGAGCTGGAATCTCTCACACCACTACTCTGGCTTCTAGGTGACATGTTCTTCATGTTTCCAGCCATGCTGCCTTTGTGTGATCTTGGTGAACTAGAATTTCCAGTGTCCTCCAATTCTGATTCAACAGGAGTTGTATCATGTAACTCTCTGGGAGAGATGACTGCTAGATCCTTATTGGGAATTATTTCAAGAGATTCTGTCTGCTGACCCATATTTTCAACAGCAGCTGGAGTTTCAACCAATTGTTTATCCAAAGGGAGACCTCTGTCCATGTCCATGCTAGTCATCCCTGCAGTGGAACTATCGACCGCAACATTTTTGTGGTCAGATCTGCTGAATTGACGGACTGAATCAGATTGGCGGGATTGCTCACACATTTTCCAATCTGCCTGAGAAATGTTGTTGTTATTTTCATTACTACATGAAGGTAATGAGAGTGGATTGAGATCTGTATGAGGAACCACTGTCGGGGACTGTTGTGTTTGGTTACAGTCTGACACACTAGATACTACAGAAGACAGTAAAAAAACTCCAGGGCTTTCACTAAATATATCTTCCATAACCTTTTCATTCCTCTTTGTGGGTGAATTTAGTGTATGTTTGGACTTTGGTTGCTGAGCATGCTGTTTCTGACCCTTGCCAAGACTATTAGCATATTGTTGTACCAATGAACTTTGTGAATGTCTCCAACCAGGCTGGGTTACACCATCTGTGTGCATCGTTTTTTCCTTATGGTGAGTTTTCTGATCACTAATAATTCTGAAAATATTCATTTACAACCTGAATAAGTCTTCATCATTAGATTTACAATTTTAGGACAAATCAGCAGGCTGAAAGTGTAAGTATAAAGTTTTCAGGAAGTGACCTAATGCATCTAAAAAACCTATTACCGATCAGTTAACTTTGTTGCCCTTTTTCACAGCCAAGAAAAAAGTGTTTACCTAACCAAAATGTGTGTTTTTTCCCAAAACAAAGCAAAATCAAAGAATATTTTCCCAATTCATAAAAAATCTGCTATATTTTCCCACATTATGAAGGCAAAAACTGCTGTATAATCAAGTGAGAAAAAACACTGTTTATCATACTGCTTATAGCCATTAATCCCTACTTGCAACTGGCAAAATATCATGACATGACATCTGCCTTTAGCAGATTAGCTTATTCAAAATTTCTTAAAAACATTTCAGTATATTTGACCCATGTGCCGTAAAAAAGGGGTCAAGGACATCCATATGCATAAAGCTTCATATCATGACATTAGATCTATTAGTTATTTAAATGAAGTTGTTAATATGATTTTGTTTTACTTCACTCCTATGATTTTTAAAAATGTTCAAGGTTTTAATTACACAAACCTGATCCAGACCTTCATTTGCGTCCTGTATCATAATCCTGATTTTGTCATCCCCATAAATAGTTTTCAAATGAAAGGTTGATACCAGGAAGACGATGAATACTACACATTGACATAGATTTGTAAGTCCAACCAATAAGTCAGCTATAGCTATTGTGTGTATTTACAGGAAAGTATTTCAGATATGTGTATTCATAGAAGTTTATCCTAATCATTCAGTTGCATCAAGTTGTATGTATACATTATGTAATATCAATAGTTACCAAACTATTACCTCAGACTTCCTCATTCTGATGATATGTATCAGAAAATATAACATTATCAAATTCCAAAATCATGGAATTTAATGCAAATTTAATGTAAAGAGATACTTTCATAATCATTTTTTACAACAATTCCTATAATACCAGTACCTATACAATACCTATTAAAGTGACATACTTTTTGGCTTCATCACTTTGTTTGGGAGGTTTTCCAAGAACATGTTCCACTGTTAAACCCTTTTCATAACGCTCCAACATGATGCGGATCTTGTGGAGGGGCACACCATGGGTGTTTTTCCTAAAGGATACAAATAAATAATTCAATTTCTTCAAACTTTATAAAGTTTCAATGACAACTCAACATTCTAAACTGGAAGTTTTATGAAATGAGATGTATAAAGTAGTTTCATTTTGTTTTCGCAATTTTTCCATTTTTGTTTCAAAATAGGGTCTTGAAAACCCTTGCTGAAATACAAATGTCAACTATCTGATATAATAAGAGAATAACCCAAAGTATCTGTTTGAATATTAGATCTTACCAGAGTTTTCATCTAATATGCAATGGAAATGAATGTAAGATTATATGTATTTGAAACAAGAGACCCATAGGGCCTGTATCACTCACTGAATCTTAAAGCCAAGCAATAGTATACATGTCTATAGGTTGTGTATTTTAAATATTTCCAAATGACGGCTCAGTAACTTAACCTCTTTGACAGGACAGGACCAATGGGTAATTTTTTTATCAAGACTATCTATCTCTTTAAGTGCCCGGTAAGAGTTTATAAAGTAATCAGTTTAAGATCTCAACTTTTTCAAAATATGACCCAGAAATAAAGTTCCTAGAGGTGAGCCAAACCCTATGGTCAATTCTTACATTATGAATGTGTTTATCTCTTGATGCCAAGCAATTCTTTATTCTATGGAGTGGAGGTTTCAAATGTTTCAAAGATACAACCCAGAATTCAGTCCTGAGGGGTGAAGCCACTTTAAGGGCCAGTTCTCCTTGCCCATCATTGTTATATAAGGTTATGATGTGACGATCTTGACCGTTACATAGATATTACTCAGAAACTTAGGATCGAGGTGTGGTGCTGAACCACAGGGCTGATTCTAACACCATGAATATGTTTGAATTGTTTAAGGGTGGGGATTGCTGCTGTTTCAAAGTTATTATCAAGTCCCTGGGGGTGTGGCCAGAGCATGATTGTTTTTATCTCTTGATGCCAGGCAATGCTATTTGTGGTTCTGGGGTGGGGATCTCAGCTGTTTCAAAGATATTGCCCATTTCTCTTCATGAGCCCCTCCCCTCCTGCTCTGACCCAGTGTTGTTACATAAAGCTGTTTCCTTTGACCCTGGGCCTTTTGGATATTGCAAAGAAGTTGAAAATGTAAAATATTTAATGAACGCCAGATGCCGTTGGACAGAAGGTGAATGCAATAGGTCACTTCAGACTTTGTCTCAGGTGACCTAACATTTATAGCTGAATGGATTTTGTTAGACTGTTATGAAATCTAAATTTTCCAATCGGTTAGTGATTTTCAAATATGCATGTTATGTCATCAAGCATGTCCAAGGTTTACTGACAACTGTAAAGATTGGTTTCACTTTATGTTATTGTTTAATATTAAAATTTAGCTTCACAAAAACTGATGAAGCATTTAGAAAGGATAATATTTTATACCTATCCACTATTTTACAAACCTGGCAAGTTCCTTTGCTTGAAATTTCCATGGAGTGTCTGGTTCCAGAAAGCAGACGTCATAACCAAACTTCTGTGCCTAAAATTATCAAATTCATTGCCTTGTTTTCATGTCTAATATTAATACACTCATTTTAGCAAGATCTTTATAGAATGTTATGTGCTTCCTTCTTCTCAGAGACTACAGAGTATTTTACTGTAAACTTAGTGTACATTTATTTATTGCATGTATAACACAATTTCTTTTATATAAATATATCTAAAACAAGAGTATCAACGAAACTGATGAATGCTTCCTGAATATAACTTTATTGGACACAAAATTTTAACAATGGGCAATAATTCTGTAATCATGGGGTTTTGAGCTCTTAATTTTGTTTACTGCTCATTGTTTTAGTATGAAAAATGTAAATACCAAATTTCCAGTGTCCTAGTTTAAATGACAGCAAAGTTTTCCTCTGGACACCAAAGTTTTTACGAAAGGCAATAATTCTGTAGTTAGGGGTTGTGAGACCTAAATTTGGTACATTGCACATTGTCTTAGAATGATCAATGCCATTGCCATTATCTAAGTGAAAAGCAAAGTTGTGCTCTGAATATGAAAGCTTTAACAAAGGGCAATAACTATAATTAAGGAGTAGTAGGCTCTAAATCTGGTACTCTGCACATTGTCTTAATATGACCAATGTATACATCGATTATCATTTTCCTGATTTTAATGCCTGTAAACTTATTCTCCAGACATGAAATTTTAACAAAGGGCAAAGAGGTTGGGGTCATGACTTTGGTACATTGCTCATTGATTTAATATGACCAATCTATACATTAAGTTTCAATATCCTAGTAAAAATGCAAGCCAAGTTATGGTCTTTACATGAAAATTTTAACAAAGGGCAATAATTCGGTAATAAAGGGATTGCAGAGCCCGACATTGGTACACTGCATACAGTCTTAGATGTGGGCAGATGGACAAATATCCCCACACACATTTTAGAGGTTTTTCCTTTATATAACTAAACGTGTGTTGAAATAAATCTCCATGCATGCAGTTTAACATATAAACAAGTTAATAATTCCTGAACAAAATAATTGTCAAAGGAATCATGAAATGAAAACAACTTCTTCTAAGCAAAGTGCTAACATGAGCTCAAAAGTCCCAGACTTTCATACAAGCTCTGTTGTCTATTTGAAGAGTTTTACACCTCTGTGGTGTTCATTGAAATAAATATGGTAGATTTGCATGAAATGGTTTAAAAACTTTCCCCACCTGTAAATATAAAGAAAATCATTCACCTGTTTTACATAAGGCTTCATCTCCCATGCCTGAGTGTTAGTGTTGTCCACAATTATTGGTGTACAGCCTTTATGTAGGTTCTGAATTGCTGAAAATGATAGCAACAGTGTTAAACATAAGCCAAATTTAAATATGTACATTGTAAACATACAACAGAAATTGGTTATAAACCAGGAAAGTTGATAAATAGGTATTAAGTCATACTTCGGAGTCTGTTCCACTCATGAGCTTCAGACAAGAGATGGGGCTCAAATTTGTAGACACCGTCCTGCACAAAGTAGTCATCTGAGGACAGTACTACACCTGGTCTTACAGATGCACGTTGCAACTTCCTGAAACATAGAAACAGTTAAATTAATAAACAAAGAGTATACTTTAGGTCAGTGTTACAATGCATGATGTTTACTATCAAAATATGGGATTTGATGCAGAATTTTCCACTCAAGACATGAAATATACATGTCCTACTTATCAAATGTTGAATTGTGCACACTTAATATCATTTGCTGGTTAATTTAGATATTTGTAGTATTTTAAAAATCAGTATTACAGCAATAATTGGAAGAAATGGTTAAATAAAACATTTCAATGAATATTCTTTAGAAAGTTCAACATTTTTATAAACTGAACATCCCAATTCATGTTTACATACATATTTATATTTCTATCGATTATAATGGTTTCAAAACATCCTAAAATTCATGGAATTTTTGTTCTGAATTTTGATAATCTCCCCTAAACTGTTCAAAACACACCTGGCTAGGGTAGACTTTCCACTGCCCGGCAGACCTCGGAGCATCACAAAACATTTGTGCCCTGCTTGTATCTTGATCTCAACTTTCTGTATATCTGTAAGCTTTGTTGAAGAGGGAGTTTCCTTCTGGGTAATAATCTCAGCTTGTTTAACTAAAGGAGCTGGTGAAAGCCAGTAAGGTGGGGGGTGCTCAGGAATCTTTGGGGGAGGATATCCCATGTTACTGCATGACCTCCAAGTGTTATTTCCAACAGCTGTTGAGTTGTGCGGTCTAAACGGTGTTGACCAAGCTTTTTCAGGGAGAGAGTTTTCTGACACAGTCTGTTGTGTTCCAGATGAGAAAGGTTGTTGAAGTTTACCATCAATGGGAAATTTGTACCTACTGATTGGTTGCGGTGCAGACACATACTTGGGGGTCAAAAATTTTGGTTTGTTGGGATTACTGCTTTTGTTCATATTCAAAGCTTGCACTTCTGTTGCAATATTTGGAACAAATTCACAGGCATTTACAGATAAATTAGAAGGAAAATTAGGTAACCCTACACTATCACGTGTCCTGGTGCGAGTTTGAGATTCTTTTCCTTGAACAGGTGCATTTTTCTCTAGCTCATCCTTTCTGATTTTTTCAGAAAATTTACTCAATTTTTCATCACTATCGGAGTCATGCAGTGTAAGTAATATTTTGGATGTTGTAGTTACATTCTCAGAAGATTCAACTTGACTGGATCCATTGTCATTTTGAATGCCAGGACTTGTTAAATCCACAGATTTGTTCAATGCTGTTGTTAGCTCATCACCCAACTCATCTTCTGACTGACTACCCATACAACTCTGGCTTCTTACAACACCATCATAATTGTCATTCTCATTTGTTACTACCCCCAAATCTGTTAGGTTTATGCTATCATCTAAAGCCCGAGTTAAACTCTCATTTAAGCTATCACTACTCGAGTTTGAAATGTTATCTGAATCATACATCTGCTCTGATGAAAGCTCATCCATATCTTTGTCTAAATCAAGCATAAGATTTTTTACATTAGATTCAGAATTTGAAGCTTCTATTTTTTCTAATATATTGGTATATTGATCAGTTTCTCCATTTCCTGAATTTGCAGTTTGATAAGTGGTGTTACCATCTGATCTGCTGAAGTCAAGGTCAAAAGTCTGTAAATTAGGTCTATTCTTGCTCACAACAGAATGGTCTTTATCAATATTAACTAAATTTTCCGAACTCTTAAAATTCAATTTATCATCATCTTTATACACATCAGTTTGAAAATTGATTAATCTGCCAGAATTTTGCAAATCTGATTTCGTACCATAAAGAAATTCATTATCAAAGTCATCACTATTAAAAATTTCCAAAGATGAATGAGATTGCACCTGTGGCTGTAGTTCCATATGAGCTATCTCCCCTGCTAATTTTCCTAAATTTTCAAAAACTGATACTGGTGATTCAGGTTCCATCAGAACACGGCTAAGACTACCCTTACTTGTCAAGCTTTGCACTTTTTTCCCCGAATCATCCAAATTTTCATTACTATTATATTCCATATCTTCAGGAGGAATGAGAGCTGAAGAAAATCCAAGAATATCTTGTTCACTGCCTGATATCTGAGTTCCTTGCATTATATCTGTCGTCAGACTTGGTATGCTGCCATCAATGCTACCACTGCTCTGAAACATATCCTTGAGGCTAGTGCTACTATCAGGTGTCAGATTACTGGAGATATTGCCTGTGTTGACGAGACCTTCACTATCTCTGTTCATGTCACAGGAAGTCATGCTCTTACAAGGTGCCCTACAAGGCATATGTCCTACTATATCAACATTTGCACTGTCAGAATGTCTTTTTATGATGTCTTCACCTTCTTCATGAATGTAATCGGAATAGGAAGATGATTTGGATTTTACATGTGTCTTTGAAGGTAACATTACATTCAACTCTCTCATAATAACACTCACAGAAGAACTGTGCTGAGATTGTGGACCATCTGCATCAGATGTATGATCCTGACTATTTAGCTGAGGCCAGGACACATCTGCTTCCATTATAACAGGACTTGTTTTACTGACTGGTGAAACATCCGCTACTATGTTGTTTTGTAATGACTGCCTATCAAAGTTCTTGTAACCCTTGTCTACTGCAGTCACACCAATGTTATTCACAGATGACACCCAGGCATCTGCATCAGCGCAATACTGATTTAGGATGTCTATGTTTTCACTTTCAACTGGCATTGGCTTTACAAAATGTTCAACCTCAATCATAGTTGGATCAAAACTAGTAGCTCCTTCAATCTCCGTACTATTAAGAATTATCTCCCTTGAGTTGTTGGAGGATGATTTTGTTAAACCACTCCGAGAACTGCTAGTCTCCTCTGTTGATGCCATACTTGAGTGGCTACTGACAGACATAGAGTCACTGGATACATCACTACATAGTATGTCATGTGCAATCTGTGCCAGTCTGTTTTTATTTTCAGGGTCTGTCTTTATCCCAGTTTCCGAAATGGCAAATAGATTGTCCACTGCTTTCTCAACTACAACAGAATTAAGATGCACAATAGCTATACTGTTGAATTTCAATCCAATATTATGGTTGATGCCATATACATGTAAAAATACTGCAGCAATTCTATTTATTCAGTTTAAAGATATGTGATTGAAATTTACTTTTTAACATATTTTGAGTCACAAAAGAAGGAAAAGATGTGGGTTTGTTGCTAGAAATGTTCAACATAACTTCATATTAATCAAACAACTTGCCTATCAAAATCTAATATCAAATTTTAGAATTATGTACATGATGCTACTATTGGAATATAACAGCCTTATTCCAACACACAAATAACTAATATCATGAATGTCAATAAGATATTGTTTTGAAAATAAAACAGTTTCAAAACCTGTACCTCCCTAGTCCATTAATATATTCATTCTTTAGAGTTACGTTTTTGACATTTCAAGAAACCATTTCTACAAATTAAAACCAGAACAAATAAATCCTTCTGGGTCTAAAATACAGGTCACCACCAGCATCTAGTGATACTAATTATTATTAGAAGAAGCAACTGAAAAAGCACATAGAAATCTTGCAATGATGGGAGATTTCAAATATTCAGGAATAAACTGGGATACACAAATAGAGAAAACAGAAAACCATGAATTTCAGTTCATACAAAAGCTGTGAGATAACTTTATCTTCCAACATATAAACAAACCAACTAGATTATGAGGAATGGACAACCCACATATCCTTGACATTGCTATAACAAAGGATGAACTCTCATTCTCACCAATGGAGTATAAGAGTGCACTAGGCAAAAGCAATCATTATCTGCTACCCTTGAACATATTGTGCAATAAAAACACAAGTTTGCAATGGAAAAAAAAGAAAAATGTAAGGAAGGAATCAATGCCGGTCCGTTAGTTCAATCACTGGAAGATGGATACCAATGGGGCCCCCACGAGCCGTAACTGGCGAAACTGGTCCGCAAAGTAATAAATTATACCTACTTCTTAACTTTTTGAAGGTGACTTATGATGCCCCAAAAAAAGAAATCTTAACATGTTACAAAAATGCTATACAATGATTAATGAGGAGTTAGGAAATGAATTAGAGAGATTTAATATACTGATAATTTGAAAAAAATTCAAGAGGACCCTGAAGGAAGCAGCAGAGAGATTTGCCCGAACAAAGCTGAAACATTAAGAAGAAACAAAAAGTACAGTTTTCCAGTGGACCAGGCAACACTATTATAAAGAAACACTCCTTGTAAAGAGTAAGGATCCAGAAATATACAAGGAATATAATAAATTATGTAACTTGTAAAGCAAGAACAGGTTATCAAAAAATCAATGTAACTAAGGCAAAATCTGACCCTAAAGTAATTTGGATCTACATTGTATCGAAAACAACTCAAACATTGCATATCTATATTTATACCTAACAGACAAACAATCAATCGAAATAAAAACAGATGAAGGAAAAGCAAACATACAATTTAATTTTTTCAGTTTTTGTAAAATTGAAGGATGGAGCCATATCAAAACTACAACAAAAAGATAGAAGAAATGCTAATTCTGTTGGAAAAAGAAATCTTTAAACTACTGAATATCTCAAATTGGGGAATGTCACCAACTTTTTTTTAAAAAAAACAGCACCATCAATAAATAGCAGGACCACTGATGTAGATTTTCAGCCAAACATTATCAACGGAAACAAACAGGATGACTGGAAAATGGGGAAATATGTGTGGCAGGAAATTAAAGACTTGTCAGTCTCACATCTGTGCCGTGTCAAGTTTTGGAAACAATGGTAATAGAGCATATAACAAATTTATGAGGGCCAACAGCTCTTTTCAGCAAAAATATGGGGTTTTTTTAATAATGAAAATTCATGTGCTTCCAGTTTCTGGAGAAGATGGATAAATGAACTGAATCTCTAGACAATAGTCATATAATATACTGTATCGGTAAAGATTACCAAGCAGCATTTGACACTGTCCCAGATGTATACAAAATTAATCAACAAGCATAAGGCATATAATTTTTCAAAACCAATCATGGCGTGGATATCATTCCTAACAGGCAAGAGTCAAAAAGTAACTGAATGAAGAAGACTCAGAATGACTGGTGTAACTTCATATACAGGGCTCTCACACCCCATTTTGGGACTGGGGCCCAGGGCCCTTAGAATTGGGAAAAATAACGTTGTTTTCCTTAGAATTTGGAAAACTTGGGGTCTAAATTGGGAAAAAAAAGATACTATTTTGCATTGGGTATGGGGCCAAATATCGGCCCCAAATCTGGCAGATCGAGAGCCCTGATATAGTTACTGGGATATAGTTACTGTGTTGCATAATTAATAAGTTACCCAAATGCAGTCATTTTAAACTTTCTTTTCAATATTTGCAACAAAAATGGTTGTCAATTTTTTTAACGTGACCCAATACAATATTTTTACACAAAAGGTTTTGAAAAGCTTGCTTTTTGTAAAAATCAAAACTCTGTCACCTCCATTGATTATCAACTGTTTATAGTGTGGCTAAAAATAGAACATGCGTAATTTCATGCTCACCTGACATTTGTACTAAATGCTGTCACTGGCTATACATTATATTCAACGGAGAACAAACTTAGTGGTAAATTGTCATTTTAACACAAAGATACAGAAATGAACATTTCTTAAGCATTTGTATACATTGTCACATTGGCTATTTGGTCATGTTAAAAAGTTGATGCCCTTTTTGTTACGATTTTTTCAAACAAACTTTGTGTTTCTATTTCAGAATGACCCTGCAGTTGAGCAACTAAACGATTACTCAAAGCAGTAAACCTCCCTCAAATTCAGGGCTATCTCCCATATGAGGGGTTGTGTCCAACCTGTTTAAAGCTGAAAGAGCAAAGTAGAAATTAATGTACTGAACTGAAATGAAAGTTTTAATGTTGTGTTTAATCAAACTAGCATAATTTCTTTTGAGATTCCCCCTTGGGACCCATTTATATTTGACGTTGTCAAACGTCCCATATAAAGGATTTCCAATGAGGAATTCCCAATGGAGTTTTATCTTCTCGCCCTGCACCAAAAGTAAACTTGACGAAGTTACACAGTTCCAGCTGGGTCTTAGAAACAACAAAATAATCAAAGTAAGAAACAATGGAAATTTCCAACGTACCATTCCAATCACACTCCTCCAATACCATATGGATAATTTCTGCTTCAAGCTGTCCAGCAAACATTTCTTGGACAGACTGGAAAATTTTATCCTGATTATCCTTCCCCGTACTTTTAGATCTACTTTCCTTTTGAACATGTTTCGTCGGACTAAGTCTCTTATTTCGTGGCATGTTGGCGAACGGGCTGAGATTATTATGCACACATTTAGAATAAGCTTAGATAACAAGTGTTACGTAACTATGTAAGTTTAGTTCTTGTTATTCCTCCTACTCTAAGGACACATGACTTGTGTTTACGTTCTTGACATTGCGCACGTCATACTACGCATCCCAAGGTTCCCGCAACTTTTTGGAACCGACAATTTCATTGGATATTGTAAATATAATTCTTTCCGATGTCATGAACAAGAAATAGTGAAAGCAGTTCCAATACATAGAATATATCTTAAGTTTATCTTATGATATAATTATAACGTTTGTGTCTAACAAAATATACATTGCAGCGTTATGAGTTTAGAGTTTTAGGTTCTATAATTTATTGACCAATCAAATGCGAGTTTACTAACGTGTATATTTGAGCTGCTCAATGGTGGATGGTTTGGCGCCGTTTCATATCCTTTGCGCCGAAGGTTTTGGATTTTCTGCAGTAAAGGACAACTAAAAAGTTAAATATAATCTACATGTAGGTATTCAATTATTCGTATTGACGATTACGATAACCGCTTGTATTTGTTGTCGTTTAATCTTTCATTGTACAGCTTCATAAAATCATAACAGACTTGCTGTTTTGACAAAGCTGCAGATCAAAACAAAATGGCCGCTGAAAAACAAAGATTCCGAAAGAGAGAAAAATGTGGTTTTCAATGAAGCACCTTCGATGCATTTTTTTGTAGTTGTGACAGTAATTTAGAATAATGTCACAGTGTGGGATTCGGTAAGATGATTCTTAGGTAACATTCCTATTTTAACGGAAAAGGTAATCTTAAACGTCAGTAATAAATCTACCAATAGCAGTGCATGGCGTTTACTGACAGTGATGTTTCGTCAAAGAACATAATTTCGCTGCTATTTTGTGTTGTCATACGTGATATGTTCGATGTATTAGACCGTTTGTTAATTCGCTATATTCTCACGAAAGTAACGGCAAGGAAGACTGTCAGACTTTCAAAACCTGGATCCTAGCTTACTCATTATTTATGTTTGAAGGTAGATTTAGGATTAAAAATACTCGTGAATTTTCCACAAATACCTTTTCATGACCGCAATTTAGATTAATCAATTTTTATACCTCGGTTATAGAATATGAAGCTATGCTTTATTTGTTAATACACTGTATCCTTATACCCTATCTAGGGTGGATTTGATCAGTTTAAAAACTGAAATATGAGAAAACACCCATTATACAGGAAACAGTGTACATATAAATGTAATTATAGAATATTAGATACATTACTTTTTGATACATTTAATCAATAATGTAATTGCATTTCTATATTTAGAATGAAAGTTGTTCTCGTTTAGTTCAAGAAAGTATTTGTACATGAATTTGTCAAAATTAAAAATTGTATGGTAACACCAAGTTGCTAGCTGGTGATACTCTGTTATGAGGAATGTATAAATCACATCACATTTCTCCTCGGTTATGCTAATGCACTTTTGTGCAATATATCGGTATTTCAACTAAACTGAAGAAAATAAATAATTGATAGATTCTCTCCAAAACATGTCATAGCCCCTGTAAACAGTTTAATTCTCTCCCTAAAACTAGCCTCAATAAGAAATTAGCAAAGTGTATTTGTTTCCTCAGTGATGTCATATTAAACTATCTGCACTTTAATTTAGAGCAAAGATGTTGGGGTGTTTAAGTGAAGCTTCATAATGTTAACATGTGCGAGAAATTTCATCTACACTACAGAACTTAATGCATCACAGGAAAATTCCTACAGAAGTAGAAAGGCATGGAGCATAGGTGCTCTTCACTACCTGAAGTAATGTTAATGGAAAATATTATGACAACATTCTGACTTTCCTGAATTGGTTTGACTTACTTAATGATGATTTTACAAAAGAAATTGGCACAAATTAAAATTTCTTTGTTTCTTTAAGTACCTGGCAAATAATACAAACCAATATTATTACATCACTCAATATTATTGATCACTCATTGTTGTAGACCAAACTGTCTTCATTTCTTGAAATACTGACTAAGTTAAGTAACATATTTTTATTTCCACTCAAAGTAGTTTACATTATTTCAAAATATGTACATATCTATATATTCATTGCATTTCAAGGTAAAATGCCAAGATGAGTGCTGTAGCAAAAGGAAGTAACAAGATTGTTTATCCTGCGGGATGCAAGGAGCTATCTGATGAGTTGGGAAAGGATGAATTGGTTCGAAGGCTTAAGGTAAGCATGATAGTTAATCAAGGAATAGAGTGATGTGAAATATATAACATTGTTGCATATTGCATTGCACATTTTTGACTTCATTGAACATACAAACAAGACTTGTTCAGAATAGCACTGGGGAACAATCAATATATGATTTAGGTCACCTTACAAAGTAGGTGTAAGAATGGCTGGGATCTCTTTAGAAATATGACTCTTTTGAAATTAAACTTTTTTTCAAGGGAGTAAAAGGACATTCCATTCCTTATCTATCAGTCAGTAATCACTATTGAATGATTTGCAGCTACTGGCCCGGGCCTTTCAGGACATGGGCCAGGACGACAACATTGAGGAGTACTCTGGATTGGCGATAAGTCTGGCCACAGATTTTTACATGGATCACCAAAACAAGGATGTACGACTTCTTGTAGCCTGCTGTATTGCTGATGTCTTCAGGATATTTGCTCCAGAGGCTCCATTTAGAGAGACTTCACTTCTTAAGGTAATTACAAGAGCAAATCTAAGGGCCATTATTGAAATATGTTCCTCCTTTACCATCTCAAAGGTACAGGGTAAATAAGTAAAACAAATCTTGAAAAAAAACTAAATACAAAGCACATTTTTTTGGTTAGGAATTATTTCCAAGTTTTGAGGTCAAGGCAAAGTCTCAAGTGATCTATTGCAATTACCTTTTGTCAATCATCCATTCCTAAGTAAGGAACTTTTTTGAACTCTTCAAAAATCCATGAACCAATTTAATATTTTGCAGAAACATTCAGTAGCCATAGATGAACTATGAATGGAAGGTTCTTATGGTGCTTTTCCAGAATTGTGAATTTCATGACCCCATTGTCTCCCATTAGAGGGGGAGGGAGTTCGTAAACATTACTGTTGTTCATATAGGAAAATTCTATTTTAAGGGGAATTTGTGTAATTTCCATTCAAAATATTGCAAACAAAGTTTAATAAAATTATTGATATGGGTTGGCTGATATGTTAAGCATATTTTACATTTCCATTTCAGGTACAATATAGTTCATTTCATCTTAATTTGATGACAAGATGATTTCTATGACATATATAATATAATATATAATATATAGCAAAATCTGCATGTTTTATAGAACTCTATATATTTGCTAGACTTTAGGGATAATCCTGGAGAAGGTCAAGGGAACATGGATGCTACCATATTTAAATTACTTCGAATGACCCGTATTTAAATTACTTAGAATGACTCCTCTAATTTCCTTTATTTACTGAAAAATTATTGTAAATAATCTGATGCTCTTAGTCCCTGGTGTGTAATAATAATTAGTGTCATGGTGGGCAGGCAACCATTATTGTATATCATGGTTTTTTTAGCTTTAGTTGATTTTTTGCTGAAAGATTGATTACAAATATTTGACTGGTGAATTTGAATTGAGACATACATCATCTATTGTTAGTTTTGCTCTTCAGTGTCAAAAATATGACATGGCTAAAATTGGATAAGATTCACACCAATTGGAAACATTTGCACAAATCAAAATAATCCTTTAACACAATATATAGGATAGTGTGGCTGATCATAAAGATTATTTAATTTAACATTGTTATGGATTCATTGTACATACACCTGTGAGTCTATTGATACTCTGCAAGCAGTTCTCCTTTGAGGGATTGCATTTTAGGTTTGAAAGGAATTCTGTTGATGCAAAGTATGTTATGCCTTGTGCCAACCAATCCAATATCATTAAACTGAAAGGTGTCTTGATTGAAAAGTGTGCCTTTGCGTATAGTATTCAGTTAGTCCCTGTAAACTTTCGAAGCATAGAAAATAAGAAGGACCCCACTTAATTTCAATGTTCATTCAAACTATGGAGGAGCCCAATTTAATCTAAAAGGGACCCATATATATAATAAAAAAAATTCAGCCCAACATGTTTTTATTTCACATAATAGCCAAAAAATTTGTAACCTGGGTTATTTTTTTCTATTGCAGGAGATTTTCATGTTTTTCATTAAACAACTTAGAGGACTGGAAGATCCTGATTCTCCGACATTTAAGAGATACTTCTACCTTCTCGAGGTAAGGAGTGGAGTAGTCTCTATTTTCAGAAAAAAATGTGACAACCTTTTAACTACCAAAGCAATGATATTGTATTATGTTTTCAGTTGACTGCTCTTTCATGATTGATCAATTCCTAACTTAAGATAGACACCAAACATATTATCCTTGAACACCAAACATAGTATTATGCCCATTATCTTGCATATAGAAGAGGAATTTCACTTTAAGATACGATGCAGGCTTCTCTCAAATCAGTTTACACATTTTATTTATGCTCTATGAGTAATATTTTTACTGTGCTTTCATCATTCTTGTGTTCCCCACAAGATTTTTTTTGAGGAATAATCAGAATTTTTAAATTTTATATTTACCAAAGTTCTTACAGAAGTTTGTATGATTTGTTTAAAAAGTTTGACTTATATTGAATGCTTTTCATGCAATATAAGAAGAAGGAATGATCAGATTTTTGGGATGCTTTCTAAGCGCTCCTGAGCCTACTTAATAATAATTGTATATAAGTATTTGTATTTTATCTTCCAGAATTTAGCATGGGTCAAGTCCTTCAATATTTGTATAGAATTGGATGACAACCAGGAGATATTTTGCAACCTTTTCCAGTTGATGTTTTCAATTATGAAGTAAGTTTATTAAGTCAAACTAAGAAAAATATCACCATCGTAAACAATATGAAAAAAGAGACAATGGGGGGTTGAGGGGGCAGGATCTGCTTTGCTGTATTTAATTTGTGTATATCATCTGTGGTGGATGAAAATTAATTGTGTTTGTTTCTTCTGACTGCTATAGTGATAAGCACTCGAGCAAAGTGAAGAATTTTGTGCTGGACATGATGACGCCACTTATCACAGAAGCTGACGCTGTGTCACAAGAATTACTTGACATCATACTCCTCAATATCATTGAACCATATAAGGTATTGTTGATCTGAATGAAATCTCACCTCTTTCTGAACTGAATATAAAAGGATTGACAATTTGCTTCACTTAGATGTTTTTAGTTGATTGTGTTATCATTGCATGTGCTTGTATATATGTAACAGAAAGCAGAAAATAAACATTCCTTGTATTATAAATTAAAAGAAATAAAAATTAATGGTCTCAAGACTGAAAGTTATATTAAGTATTTTTCTACTCCCAAACTATAAACCAATGGAATTGCTCACAAGTTCTGGTCATTTGTTGTTAGTAACAAAACTTTTGAAATTGCTTAGAGTTGTTGAAAAGGAAATTGAAATTTCAAAATCAAGTGTGCAATGTTTGTGTCAACAATTATGCTTTTTATGAACAATCTAACATTCACAGACCCAGAATCGTGTTGCTTATAATATGGCACGTGATTTGCTGATCAGGACCAGTAATGCCATCGAGCCATACATACAAGCAGTAAGTATTTGAAGTGGGGAGAAAAATTAGTTTAAAATTCCCAGAGTTGATAATTTGCTGTTAAGAAACAAGTAATAAAATTCTTGATATTTCATTATTATTGCTGCATTTTGTTTCTGAATCCAACTAGATCTTTTGAGTTCTGACTTGTTAATACTGTCGAAACTAATATTACCTTTGTCATGTTACTTTTTAGATTTCTCTTAAATGTGTACTTGAATAGAATAATTACAAAAAAAAAATCACTTTCAGTTTTTCAACAATGCCCTTATGCTGGGTAAGATGTCGGAGAGCGAGGTGTCTGATAGACTGTATGACCTGATCTACGAACTAAATCACATCTCCCCCAGTGTGCTGCTTGCTGTTCTACCACAGCTGGAATTCAAACTCAAGGTAGCACCTAAATTTTAGGGATTCGGTTTTTAAGTCACCTGACCGAAGGTCATGGTGAATATTAATAATCATTGTTTTTCCAGCATCATGTGTTAGCTTTTTCTTGTGAACACCGTAACTTCAGTAGTTATGAAGCGATTTTGATGAAATTTGGTATGCAGTCTGATATTGATAAGATTGCTGATGCAACAATTGAGATGATTGGATTATAATTTTCAGAGTTATGACCCTTTTAGGTGTGATCACCCTTGGACATTGTGCATATAATAACTTGTGTAAATATTAATTGATTTGGATTAAACTTGTATCAATAAGATCTCACAGATTCAATAGCAATTTACTGAGTAATGGCCCTTTGAACTTTTGTTAATATTGAACCTTGCAAACACGATAATTTGAGTAAAATGAACAATTATTTATGAAGTTTTGTATGCAGCCGTATATCAATAAGAATCAGGTGATTGTTTCAGCCCATTGGTCTTTTGTCTGGTATACATTTGTGAATCTTGAATTTACTAGGTAAATCTCTTGTTTTATGTAATGAACACTTTGTTTTCCAGAGTAATGAAGAATCTGAAAGGAAAGCGGTTACAAAGTTATTGGCCAAAATGTTCTCTGACCAAGGTTCAAACCTTGCTGAACAAAATCGACCTCTTTGGAATTGTTTTCTTGGGAGGTGAGTAAAATTAACCTGTTAATTGTTTATAGACCTATTAACTCAAGCATGAAATGCGTATAACATATAAAGTTGTATTTGTATTGGCTTTGGCAGCAGAATATCCATGGAGTAGCTAGAGCAAGATTGTTAACACAATATTTTGTATGCAAAGTAAAGATCTCGTACCTAGAGTTGTGCATAGAAATCCATTTTGGTGAAAACCAAAGCAGAAAAATAGAAACAAGAGAAGATTGGATTTAAATTTGGCAATAACCTATCATCATGATTTGTAATTTATATCATTTTCAATTTTTAGCTCACCTAGTCCAAATGATCAGTTAGAGTTTGTCATAATGCTTTATTCAGATTTGGTCGACTATTTACTAAAAGAGGAAATTTAGAAAATTACTTCTTCTGTAGAAATGATTGGATTCTACCTTAATCTGGTCTGATGCATTGGTGGGTGAAGGGGAATCAATTTTGTTTGAACAATTAAGGCAAAAGGGGTGGAGCTCTATATGAAGAAATAGAGCAAATTCTTTAAAATCCTACTACTCCCGTATGAATGAGTGGATTGTGCCCAAATTTGATCTGAAGCATTCTTAGGTGGAAGGAAATCAATTTTCTATAAATGGTGGGTCTTGGACCAGTAGGATAGAAGGGGCGGGGCCCAATAGGGGAAATCGAGCAAATTCAAATTCTCAGGGGTTACAATGTGACTGCCTCTGCTAGCTTTTTGGTCGACTTCTGGATTGGTAAACCTCGGCTCCTCACCAAGATTCCCATGTCCAGGAAAAAGTATTGATTTGATTACCAGTTGTACAGGGTCAGTTTTTAAAACTTCAATCTGCGATGGAATTGTTTCAGTTTATGATTAAAGAAAGCGATTCTTATGATATATATTTAAATGTTATGACAAGAAACATATTTAATTCTTTAGTTTCTGCTGGTGAAAAAACATTTAAAGAGAGTCACTAGACCTTGGCTAGTGGGCCTGTAATAATAGGGGAAATAGAGAAAGTTATCTAAAATCCTTTTTATAGTGGGGATGTCTGGATTCTGTCCTGATTTTTTATAGCATACCTTGTTGAAAGAAACAAAATTTTGTAGTGACCAGGAGTCTGACATCAGTAGGGAAAATGCAAATGTCAAAAATCCTTCTCCTGTACAAGGATAATTTCCAAGATTGGTCTGAAGCATTTTTATGAATGGTGAATTTGACTTCTGTTCGATCTCAAGGTCAGGACCCCAAGGGGAAAATTTCTTCTTTTTTTTTTTTTTTTTTAATTTATTGTTCAAAAGAATGAATAGCAGATTCAGTGAGGTAAGCATTGCAGGCACATTGGGCCTCTTGAAAAAAAAGTATTAGGGTTTCAACAGCAAATGTGTTTAAATGTAATTGAATGTAATGGAAAAACTGAATTGTTTTGATAGTAATTAAATTTTCCAAATAGTGAACACTTTGGCTTCATATATATCAATGTTAAAACTGTTGAGTGATTTCTGTCTCCATAGGTTTAATGATATCAGTATCCATGTACGCCAGACCTGTGTGTCGTACGCACAACATTTTCTCCTGAACCACCAGGAGACCTACAAAGACATTGTGGAGCAGCTGAAGATTCGGCAGCATGACCCCGAGGAGACTGTGAGGATGGAGGTGGTCAATACTATACTGGGATTAGCCAAGAAGGACTTTAATAGTATCACCACAGAACTGATGGGGTTCATCAAAGAGCGCACACTTGACAAGAAGGTAGCATCATAACAGGGACATTATCAATCATGTAGTCTAAAAATATCCTTTTTGCCATTGAGGTTAACAGGAATATTGTTTTTTCTGTGAATGATAAAACACCTGATGTGTTGAATTCAATGTCATAATTTTTCAAACTTCGCTGGCTTTAAGTGAAAAAGGCTGTTGTAAAACTCTGAAATACAAACGCATGATTTGGCTTTGGTAGTTCTTGTTATCAGTTTTACCAGAACTTGGAGAATATCTTCTTTGTGTCAACTTTGATAAATATCAACAATAAATTTTCTTGTTTCAGTACCAGATCAGGCGAGACTCCCTGCTGGGACTTGGTCAACTGTACAAGAAGTATACATTTTCTGAGAGAGTAGACAAGGCCAACCAAGAAAAGGTGTGCTGGGTCAAGGACAAGGTCTTTCACGCTTACTACCAGAACAGCAATGAGGACAGGTGGGTAGAAGGCTTTTACTGGTGAAATGATGAAGTAGGGAATAGACTTTACAAAGTGTCATCATGTTCATCCTTTCGTCAAGGAATAAGTTTGATGTCAGAATGTTTCTTTAAATGCGTTGTCACAAAAGGATAGGATGTTGACATATTTCAGAAGATCTTTAATGGTCGTGAACTCATTTTATCAGTGAGGCATGATAACACCATCAATTTTAGCAATGGCGACAAAGTTAAATTGGCTTGATTTATAAGAGTTTTAACAGTATAACATTTTTTGTTGTAGATTGCTGGTTGAAAGAGTGTTTAACACATGCCTAGTTCCCTATAACTCACCAGTTGATGAGAAAATGAGACGTCTCCTACTTCTGTACTGTACTCTGGATGACCATGCCGTAAAGTATGTTTTTAATTAGTTGACAATGGTGGGCTATTCAAATTCCCATGTGTCTGTAGCCCATCAGTCTGTCCATATCTCTTCTTATTATCATCATTTCTTGAGAAGTACTGGTTGGATCTTTTTCAAATCTCCTCAAACTCCTTAGTTGTGCCTATTTGGTTTTGGGACTGATCTCTATAGCAAAGGCTCACCTCCTATGAATTTGAGTGTCAAAGATCATTAACCAGATAGAATCAAAGGTACAGGCTACAAACTCATTGAATAGGTTAAATCTAATTTTTATTTTCTTCATAAAATTTTCAAGTATAGATGTGCATCCATGAGGGATTAGTACAGACAAATCTTTTTACCACAAAAGGGTAGTAGTATTCTCCAAGTGATATGTAAAAAATTACCCATTGGGAAATCTCCTCAGAATAGGGGAAATTTTCTCCAAAGCAGAGGTAATAAGTATACTTTAACATATTTTCAAATCATGCAATCATGAGAAAGAAATATCAATCCAATCTCAGCATTGTCATATGTATGTCTTTAAAAATCTTCATGTTTGTCGTATTTTTTTACCTTACCCCTCTTGAATTCAAATTAAAACCTTGGAAAGAATTCAATCAGATATCTGAAATAATATTTGAAGGAAGTAGAGATTTTTGGTCACATTTTGTCACAAAGTACTGGGCACATGCTTAATATTCTTATATGATGGCACAGTTAAGCCATTAATTGGCAACACTTGATATTTTTTTTTCATCATAATTACAAAATATTCATGTAATGTTTTGCGGAGGTCTTGAAACTATTTAATTAATTGTCTTTGTAGAGCCTTCAATGAGATGCTGAAACACAAGAATAGGTAAGTTGTTCATATTTATCAAGAAATAATAAGACAAAGTACTTAGTAATACTGACTAAAGTTTAGTATTGCTTATTCAGGGGTCTTGGAATTTAATATATTGAAAACAAATGTCATATTGTCCTCGCCCTGTGATCATATTGAATATTAGAGTGGTTCTTCAAATTTCAAAATATATTATTTCTGTTGGAAATGGTTGTGTTATTATAGATCTATATGTACTAAAGACAACAGTTTGTTAGAAAAGTGAAAAATTTGTTGATTTGAAGAATTTCCTCATCTTAAACCAGCTTGCACAAGACTCTTGACTATAAATGAAAGCAGACTTTAACATGATGACAAAATCTGTGAGTCATAGTAATCAGGAAGCTTGTAGTATGTTGTGTTTACATCAACAACCTGTTGTGATATTTGGGTTATGAGTGTTGGGAAATTGGTAAAAATCTATAATTGATATCAGTAGAAATCAGAAACATTTTTCAATGCATTTTAATGAATTATGTAATTAATTAGCATGTTAAATGTTCATATACAATGAGTGCATTCTCAGTGGTAGTAATATTTACCTTTTTGTAACTTCAACTTAACTAGAATTGACATAAGAATTACTATTGTTGGCAATAAGCACAATCATTATCCATGGTATGAATTTTGTTTCTGTAAAGTCATAAGAAAATTTTAAGGTGTCAATGATAAATTATAAAAAATGACCATCATCACGTCAGATGATGTTAAATGATAGATAATCAATTATATCCAATAATTTTGATTAGTCTCCTTTCAGTACATCATTATGGTCCCAACAGCCTATGATGACTAATGAACCAGTTTAGAGATTATCTATCGTAGACTCTTTTAAAAATATTTGATGCCTGATGATAGATACTAACCATAGCAAGTCTTTATTGATTTTAAGGAGTTTTTTCTGGTTTCTTTTGTTTTATGATAAATTATGTCTCCTGTCATCAGTGTGAAGAATCTGGTCCATCAGTTGGTAGAAACTTTTGATCAGCCAACACAAGGAAATGCCGTTTCTTTCAAACCCAAGATAGCTGCACTTGCACGTAAGTAGCTTATGAACAGGCTGCATTTGAGATCGGTTGGATGAGATTTTTTCATTGACAATTTTGTAATATATAAACTATAATTGAGAGGCCCAACAGGTTCTGTAGCAGATCAAACTTGAAAACCGAAACACAAGGATTTTTATCAGGATTCTAGCAACTGCCTCCTTAACCATTTGTCTATATATATTCTGTATTGTCAGGATCTCTGCCGGAGTCTGGAAAGTCATCTGATCATCTGAAAAAGCTGTGCCAGATGCTGAAGGAGGATAAACGAATGCGGCAGTATCTAAAGCTACTTGTTGGTGAAGAATGTACCTGTAAGCGAGCGCAGGAACTAGTGGTATGGAAAATCTTTCATATCATTATAGCATATAAAGAATATTGTGATCTCTCTAACTTTCTATGATAGTTGAATTCAAGTCTTATGCTCTTGTTTGCATTTCATAAAATCCCTTCATCAATGGCTTGTTCAGTGAGGCTTAGTTACATAGATAAGATCATAAAAGATACTTGCCTAATCTCTTGAAATTCATACAGTTATGGCAGGTGGCTTAAGCTGCCAGAATGTATTGTGCAAGTCATATTTCTTTAGCTGATTTTGACAACTGTGATAAAGTTTTGGAGCTTACATTGCATTTGATACACAGTTTTGCAATAACACCTAAAATACTCGTTTTGAATATTGAAGTGTATTACCACAATTACCTCAAGCACTCAGATTCCGCAATACAATTCGTAGATAGGATTATTGATAAAAACTTAATAAAACTTCAAGATTAAAGGAGTTAGTCTCCACTTTTGCATCTTCATTTCTGAATAGATATTGGTCAAATGTTGTTTTAAAAAAATAGAAAAGGGCATAGGCACATCAAGCTTTATTGTTGTTTAGCGTGAGGTACTGAAGAAACTAGGAAGTCCTGCTCCTGGCCAACAGAACCAGTTCTACAACACTGTCAAGCTGCTGTTAGAGAGAGTAGCTCCAGTCATGATTGATGCCAGTGCTATAAACATGCTTGTCAAACATGTTGATGAAACAGTTCGTGGGCTTGGTATCATTACTGAAGGAATTGAGGATGCAGCAGAAAAAGGAGTCAGGCTCCTTATGGTAAGTTTATGCAAGTTTCTGAGTAACAGTAAGGTCTGCTTCCAAAAGAATGAATAAATGAAATATTTGGTGGTAAATGTATATTAATCCCCAGCAAAACGATTATTAAATTGTGTTCTATCAGTCTGTGCAATAGCGTCTTCTAGAACAGAGATCTGAATAATCAAAATAACTATGCAGTACTCAAAACTTAGTGCAGCTATCTAGCTAGTAATGTAGTAATGCCTTCTGCTATGGAGGAAATCTTTATTTAAACAGTTTTTCTGTTACTATGGAAAACAGGCCAAATTAAAATTTCCAGTTCTGTAGACCATGATTCCAAAATCATTCAAGATATCTATCTGAAACTTTGTACTGTTATCAAGCTAGCATCACTGAAGTACCTATTGTTATGACAATCTTCTTCCAAAATACCAGAAGGCCTAGAATCATTATATTTGGCTGGAAGGTTCCTTTTATGAAGCCCAACAAAGTTTGCAAAAAAAAAATAACCTTGACCCCTATCCAAGGTCCCAGAGGTCAAATGTGTTAAACGTGAAATATATGCACAGATATAGTAACAGGGCTCTCACACCCCATTTTGGGACTGGGGCCCAGGGCCCTTTGAATTGGGAAAAATAATGGTGTTTTCCTTAGAATTGGGAAAACTTGGGGTCTCAATTGGAAAAAAAAGATACTGTTTTGCATTGGGAATTCGGCCCCAAATCTGGCAGATCGAGAGCCCTGAGTAATGTTAGTCATAAAGATCCAGGTGAGCGATACAGGCTCTTTGGGCCTCTTGTTCTGTATTTTTTCTTTTAGCAAAATAGGATTTATCATCGGCAAAGCTTTCCAATTTTATTAGGAGCCTTCATATGTATATATCCAATGATAAAATTATGTAAAAAAAAAAGTGGTGATTAATAATGGCATCATTTTATTAGCAAATGATGACCAACCATACTCAAAAACATCAACAGTAAAAGATGATCTACATGAAAATATCCATAACAGTGGTGTAATGGAATGAATATCTGTTATTGTAATACTGTAATATGTACATAATTGTCTTTCTATCAAACAGTGGGGTGTGGTGGATAATGTCACAATTTGTGTTATCTAGTTTCTTTTTTGAGAATATTGGCTATAGAAATTAGAGGCAGTGTCTCACAACTTGATGTTTGATTTTCAGGCACTTTCTACTGTTTATCCATATTACTTCAAGGATGAGGAGACATATCAAGAACTACTTACTTTCCTTAAACATGAGGATGAAGCTGTCTGTAAGTGTGCTCAACAATACCTCAACAATGGCTTCTAAAATCAGTTTTGTTGGGTTACGGCATCCTAGTTATTGGACTGGAATTTCCAACTCGTCATTTAATCGCCTTTTGTGTGTTGTAGTGTGTCCTGAAAGGGCTTAAATTATATAGTTAAGTCTTACTATCATCAGTGTCACAATTCTTTGTGACACTTGAAAGCTACTAACCCTATATCCTTTATATTTCTAAATATTTCTTTTAAATAGTGATTATGATATAATGTAGTATCTCTTTTCAAATTTTTGAGATAGCATTCTCCAAAATTATGCCCTTCATTAATTGCATGGGCTGCTGCTGAATCCAATATTTGTATATCTTCTGTTGTAGCTGATTTGACACTACAGATCTTTATCAACACCGGTAAAAAACTCCAGACAGAGCTGCCAGTCATTTACTCGTAAGTAACATTAATCACAAGCCTGCATCCTCTCGTTTTTGAATTTTCTTCTACAACTTTCACATGGAACGGGGTTCTATTATACTCAAATTCACTGTTTAGTTAGAAGTTTCTAAGGAATTTCTGGTCAGTGCTCCAGATAGCCTGCGTGAATGCGTTTTCACGCACAATATTTCTAATTTCACGCTAGGAAAACCCGTGCGAAATCCGGACTCTGCGTCAATGTCCGGCTCCAATATTACGTAGTTAGAAAACTCAATAATCTAAGTCAAACAGACACTTATCAAGTAAACGAAACTCGTAACAAGTGCTTTCTTGATCGTGATTATAAACCAGTCGCATAGCAAATATGGCGCTGTCAAAAATGTTTACAAATTCAGTGTTACCCTAATATAGAAAAACCCATACACTTGATGAAGGCAGGGGTGAAAAAACCCCTCAATTTATAAAGGTAGGAGTGAAAACCCCACATGTCAAAAAGTTATCTGGAGCACTGTCTGGTGGAGTAATATTTTTATTTAAATGTAATGACATCTGCAGAAGTATGTTTTCATACATGTTCTATAGTGACACTGTCAAAGTCATCAGATGAACACATTCAAAACTTAAGTATTAAGCTGTATTGTCTTATGGAAGGATAGTTTTTTTTAAGTAATTATAGTTTGCTTTCTGCTTTTAGAAGTGATTATTATAAACTGGAAATATATTTTAGCCAATCATGTAGAGATACAAAGTTGTGAAATTTTGTTGAATTTATTGGCCCAATTTCATGTTCATTACCTAGGAAGTCATTACAAATCCTTTACTCTTCCCTAGCAACAAATTTTAAGTAATCTTTCCATACATGCATTTATTTTTTGAAAAATTCCTTGTTAATATTGTCATTTCTGGAGGAATTTTGATGAAATTTCACATACTTAACCATTTTTTGCCCTCTTTTGGACACATCAGTCATTGTTGAATTGTGAGGAAATTTGTATCAATGATTTTTTGCAGTTTCAGTTATACCAACATCCATTACATTAGTAACCATTTATCCAAACAAATGAGTAAAATTGTCTTAACTTGTGTGCTAGTTTGCCTTGATCTATACATACACCTGTACACAATGTAAACATGTTAATATTTGGTTTTTTTTTTTACAGGAGTTTGCTGCCCATCCTACAGAGTACTGCTAAGCTGGGCAATCCCAAACAGAGCAAGCATGCTCTTCGTTGTATCAATATTGTGTGTAAAAATAAGGAGCTCATTTTTGGACAGATATTTGAGGTAATTTTGTTAGGTTGATTGTATGCTATGAGCATGCTTTAAAAAAAAATTCCAACACAACATGAACTTGGACGCAGTCACAGCGCTCTCAGTTCAGCATGATAAAGAGGTTGTCAAGATCCAAATTGTTTTTCCTAAAATTCCATAAAAGATTGTCAACAGAAAGATTTGCATCAAGATTTTCAGCTGCTCTCTGTCAAGAAGCCAATTCCCAAAATCAGTAAATAGGTAACAAGTATGCTATTGAAATATTTACTGTGATTGAAATACTTTTTTAAAATCTATTTCACTTGAAAAGTGATACTGCTAGCAAGAATTTCTCATGTCATTAAGAAAATCTTGTTGAAGTAATTGCTTTGTGCCTTTATTAGTTCAAAACATGAGAGTAGATAAAGGGCTCATATTGTCAACATCTCAAGATAGGATTGATAAATGATAAGTGTGTGCTGAACATTTCTAGGGATCCCTTATTCTGTTGTTTTTAGCAGAAATGTCACATAGTTGTAAAGTTAGCACACACTGCAAGACTATGATAAACAGTTACTTGCTACACCTCAAAACCTGCAATTTTGATTGCTAATCTGTTTATCCCATCATCATGGTCATCTGTATATAATTATTTTCATAAGAAACAATGATTATTCAGTTTATTTTAATCAAAGTCAATATTTTTGCAGCACCTGAAGAAATCCTTGAATCCTGAGAGTGCTAATTACCTGACGTCCATTGTTGCTCTTGGTCACATTGCTTTGTACTGTCCTGAGGAATTCTCAGCAGAGATGAAGAATATTGTCTCAAAATTCATTGTGAAAGAACTGCTAATGCAGGATCATACTGCAGGAGTAGATAGTGTTGAGAGCTGGTACTCAGAACATCATGTCACTGAAGAAACTATGGCCAAGATCCAAGCTATGAAGCTGTTAGTGCGGTGGTTACAAGGTATAAAGAGCAATGCAAACAACTCTGGGACATCTACCCTACGACTCCTGTTTACCGTTATCAAACATGAGGGTGATCTGATGGAGCGAGGCAAAGTCAACAAGCCAGAACTGGCTAGATTGAGACTACAGGCGGGATGTTGTATGTTAAAGTTAGCAGAGGACCGCTGCTATTCAGAGCTCATTTCTCAGGACCAGTTTCAAACCCTGGCACTTCTCATGAATGTAAGTGGTAAGACTTGTAGCCAACCATCAACAAATGGTCGGCTATTAAATTTCTTAACATTCATTGTACATTGTCTGACTGTAAATAATTATTATTATCACTATTTATTGAGAAGTACTACATGAATCCTGGTCCCAAGTTGTGCCCCAGTGACTTTGAAACTGATAAAAAAGATCCCTGTGGGATCTTAAGTACAATTGACTTTCTCATTGTTAATTTCGCAAATCAGAATATGATCTTCTTATTGGTAGAAATGTGACAGCACTCGGGTCATGCAATGGATCTGTTATGTATCATACTGTAAAAAATTAATGAAATCTCTTAATGTAGCTCGGTGCATAATAAAAATTTATTCTGATTTGCTCTCGAGGATATTTAAAGTCTGGCTGTGAAATCTTTTGAATTTGTTGCCTATCCCATTTTTGTTTTATTATTTCCTCTTATTCGTTTTTAATTGAAACCTCTAAATTTCCACAGTGATCATGGAATAGGAGACTTCCATGTAATGGCTGCTCTCTAGTTAAAATTTGCACTGAAACTGATTTTTTTGTCATTGTAGGATAGCTGCTATCATGTTCGTGTAAACTTTGCCCTGAAACTCCACAAAGGATTGCTGAGCTTAAGACTGCCTTTGGAATACATGAGCATATTCTGCTTGGCAGCCAATGACCCTTTGCGAGAACGAAGAGCTGCGGTCAAGTTATTCTTTCAACAAAACATTAACAAGCGACGAGAATACCTGAAACAGACTCCTGCTATAAAGGGACGTATGTTTCACTTCATGCCAGATTATGTGTTACCATATGTCATACACTTACTTGCCCATGATCCAGATCTTTCTACACACAATGATGTCTCTGCTCTCAAGAATATCAAAGAGTAAGTACCTAAACCAGGGAAATTATAAATGATGAAATGCATGAAAATTGTATTTATACAAGTCTAAATATAAGAGTTATTGCCCTTTGTTACTTTAACTAGGAAAATGAAACTTGATGTATACATTAGTCATACTAGGCCAATGTGCAGTGTACTCCATGCAGGGTTTGCAACCCCTTGATATAGAGTTATTGCCCTTTGTTAAAATTTTGTGTCCTATATAGTTGTTTACAGGGAGCATTCATCAATTTCACTGATACTCTTGGTAATTTACAGATGCTTGTCTTTTGTAATGGAACCTTTGATTAACAAGAGTGAGGATTACAACTACAACTTCTTCCGGCGTATGTTAGAAAACATCAAACAGACCAAAGATGCAGAAGACCCTGATGATGATGACATGAACAGGGTGTGTTTAAGATGTGGAAAATTTCACCGTAACTTAATAGAATCTTACGCAGGACTGTTCCTTTTTTGTGGCAGGTTCTTTATAGCCTCACCTCATATTAGCCAGCCATACTCTTATACAAGGGTTGAGATATCATGTGCATGGATCAGCCCCGTTTGATTATTTTTCTCAGATAAAAAGAGTAACAAAATTGATGCCATAAATTGTCATCCTCAACACTCTAGGGGTTATAATTACTTTCACTCTGTACACCCCTGGAACATTTCATGAAACATAGAAGACAGAAAGTGTTTTGGTTGGTCTAGACCAGATTTCAGGAGAGAAAATACCTGACAAATAGCAGACTGATATGCTTCTTTAAAGATTACAAAGGAGTGACACCCAATTTCAGAACCAGAACAGCATAGATTTATGCAACCTTGACATTAATTTGATGTACATTAAAGGATCAAACTCGTCTTCTTGCACATGGAACCTTCAGTTATGCAATGAAATGTTGAAGGGTTTCAGAGTGAAAGTGATCATAACCCATGTAGTATCAAGGTCGATCAATTGTAAACATCGTATAATCATCATTGGCTCATAAAATTTTGTCCAAGATTTATGACATGATCCTATTGTGACATAAAACAATTTGACCCTGTTGTTAGAAGAGTTATAGCTTGTTTTAGCTGTTTGTTTACCTACCTCATGTGACATAGGGTTACCGTTTTCCCTAGCAAAATGAAGTTTGCAAGAAATATTCATACTTTTACCATAAGATACCCATTGTTTTATTATCAATACTCATTGGTATACCGTATATAGATCATTATGAGTCTAAGTTTTAGTTCACAAATTTCGTTCTGAAGAAGGTCATAAACTTAAAATGACATTCTCCGACTTGTTAATGTTGATATTTGGGTATGTTATTTGAACATGAGATATGTTTTGGTCGACATTTGTTTCATTGATTTAAGATAAAGTTTGTAATACTAACTCTATGATTATTGTGTGGCTGTTTCAGAAACTATACAGCGTATGTGATGTGGCCCTTGGAATACTCAACAGTAAGCCCTCCAATATAACAGTAAAGGATTCGACTGTTGAGCCAGTGTTACCAGCTAAGCTCTTCACACGACCTGATAAGGTGAGGCTGTCTGGAGGGCATGTGACAAGTTATTAACACTCTCAGTCTATTGTTGCATACATGTGAGAAAAAGCATCTCGAAAACAAAAAGTTTGATATTATTTTCACAATAATGTGTAAGACCAGGTATTTGTCAAATATGTAATTGCATACTTTGTTGGGGATGGAAATAAGAATTTTGTTGCCAAATGAATATCTAAGACCAGGTATTTTACCTTTGTGTGAAGGATCTTTTGTGTCTTTTTGTGGATTTGAATTTGTATCTACTTTTTGTGATGAATTGGGGCAGAATTTCTGCTGTTTTAGTTCTCAATTCTCTATTTATTGATCTGTAAAAATTGATTCATTATTTGGATGATTAACTGCCCTCTAGTTGTTTTCTTAATATTGATTTTGTAAAGAGATCTGGTAATCTTGTAGTAAAGAGTTTTCAACCAGTTTTTTTTTTTTTTTTTAACAAACTTGGAAGGCATAATCATCTTGACATGAAGTTGTGTAATCGTTTTGAAGGAGTTATTGCCCTTTGTTTTTTCTTAAGCATTTTAATTTTGTTCACAGATCTCCTACCTCAGTTTTCAACCAAATTCTTTAAAACTTGGCAGGCTTAAAAATCACAACATGAGATCATGTTCTCATGAGCAGCAATGTGATCAAACAATATTTTCAGAAGTTATTGTCTTTCAGTATTTCATTTTTGTCAAGATTTCTTTCAGTTTTCCATACATCTCTTTAAATCTTGGTATGATTTATTTCATGATTGAAATTTACAGCTCTTGACAATTTGACTTTTCAATATTCTTTCCAATATAACAATTCTTAATATTTCTAATATGCATCTTTTGAATGAGACTCCCTTTTAAATAATAGCTTGCTAGTACAAGATATTAAGGAAGTATCAGTCATTTCAACAGGTTTACTAAGCGAAAAAATACACTCATGTTTAAATAATCTCATGTCCTGAAGTGAAAAATCAAAAATCCATGTTTTTAACTGATGATGTTCATTTGTCCTTAACTTCAGAGCTACAGCAACACGAAGAGCTATTTACCAAAAGAATTTGTGATAGACGGTCCCAAGGTAGGCAACAGAAGACTAAATTTCATTATTTTAATGTCTTAAAAAGTCTTTGTTCCACCTACGATTCTGGCCAAATATGGTTTTTATCTTTTTTATGATTAACTTGACAAATTCGAAAGTTTTTCATAATACCATCGACCACGAGTTCACTAAGTTTTAATATGTGTGAATTTAATTTAATATGGGATGAAATAACTATCAAATTCAGTTATAGAAAAGGTGATTATAAATGTATGATTAACCCATAATACACGGAAAAGATAGCAGAGTTATCATGAAAGTGCCTTCTTTACCATCAACTTTTTAAGAAGCTTTTCAGTTGAGCATATGGGGTGAAAAATGAATTATATTAACATAATTTTTTATCAAAAAAATTGTATCAAACAGTTTATGCCTGTATCATTTTTGTGTAAATTGAAAACTCATTTATAAATAAGGAAAGCTTGATCACCAAAACTATGATATTTTATTTTGTTGTAGCGGAAAGCTCAGGTCTCTGGTCCCAAAGGTCCCAGTGCTCAGGAGATCATTGTTGAGAGTCCTGGTCCTGTTGTTAACCGGCTACCTGTCTGCCCCAGAGAACCCAAGAGAAAGAAGGCATCTTCCACGCAGGTCCAGACAATGAGGTTAGTTACATTTGAAAATCACCTGACATTGATATCAACACTTAAATTTTTTAGCTCTCCTAGTTAGGTTTAACTGACTTTATGCTGGTGTTATACATACACCTTCACATAGAGGACTAGGAGTGATGTAACAGCATTTTAATGTTCAAATTGACAGGATTTTTTTTCAACCATGATTCTTACTTTGGCTTTTCTGGTATCAAAGCTCATTGTAAAAGTTGCTTCACTTTTCCAGTGATTCTGAAAATGATTCTGGAGGTGAAGAGGAAGTCATGTTTAAACCTGTTCCTGATGGACCCAAGAAAAGAGGACCAAAAAAGAAGGATAAAAATATTCAGGAAATGAATGTAAAGCCAAAAGGCAGAGGTAGAGGGGCAAAATCTTTAGACAGTCCAGCTAAGCGACCAGGCAGGAAGCCAAAGCATGTGGATGATTCAGGGGATAGTGATAAAATCACAGACAGTTCTCCAGATGTGAAAGATTTCAGTTCTTCTCAGGACTCTGATCATTCTCCCAAGCCAAAGGCTTTGATGGAGAGCAAGAGAGGCAATACACAACAATCAAAGACTAAGAGAAAGAAAGTTAGCCAAGAATCTGCATCCAGTTCACCAGCATCCTCTCCTAGGAGGAGCAGTAGTGAATCCCCAAGGCGGGGCAGTGTAGATTCTAGATCTGTGAACAAATCCTCCATTGTGAATGGGACAAATAAAGGAGGTGCAAAACAGACTGCTAAATCTGATACAGAGAGCTCAGGGAATAGTAGAAAAAGGAAAGCTGATAATACCTCTACAGAGAGACCACCTGTGAAGAGAGGACGGCCACCGTCAAATAAAGCAGGGTGAGAGTCTTGTGTGTATCAGACTTTACTTAGTTTTTCTGTGTCATCCTAGTCATTTGAATTCTGATGTTTATTCTTGGCTGGGATACTATCTTTGATAAGTAAATTTAAGTGTCATTTCCTTTTTCAGAAAATCATTAACACGTAGTAAGTTAAAAGGAGGTTCAGATGCAGACTCGGATGTGGTTTCACCAAGCCGAGCCACTAAACAGCTGAAAATGGATCAGTTTAGTACAAAATCAGGTCCTAAAAATGTGTAAGTATTTATTTTAAGACAACTTCACCTACAGACTAAACTGTCATGACTTTTCAGATGAAATATTAAGTACTTGTAACTAAATAAGCCCTGGTTTGGAGTGATCAGTATATGAAAATATTAGCATTATTGACATGAAACATAATAATGCCTTTGACTGCTACGAAGGAACAAAGCCAGTTAAAAGTTGTACATTTTTAAGAGTACCTGTGTATGCTTACAGTGATTTGAACAGGTAAAACCAGATAGAGTCAGGAGGTACCAACCTTATGTGAACTGGATATCTAGTTGCCCATTCTGGCACTTTTTTAGATAATCTGAGACAAAATAACCTATTGTCTTCTCCAAGGCTCTTTTCAGTAACCTTCCATGGCTGAAGGTGAATAGATATTTTAAAACATAATTCTTACCAAATTTCCTCAAAAGAATACATGGACTCTTTGACTACACTCTCTAAATGTTATCTGTAACTTTCATATCTTTCCAGTTATGAAACCATACCTCATGTTCCATATTTTTGTGTCAATTTCAGGCGACGAGCAAAGTTGCTAGCAAATGGTACATCAGATGGTGATAGTCCAGAAACAGATGGCTCAAGCTCACCAAGCAAATTAGAGTCGCTAAGTCGAATGATACAGACAGTTGACGCAGATGAAGATAGTGGGGTACGTATTCATTAAATTTAGGCTATTGATTATTTAATACTTAATAGCAGATTAACAACCAAATTTGAAGTCACTTTTCAATAATGTATTAAAGGCTAGGATATAGAAAACTCACTTCCACAATTTTTGTGTTATTTTTCATGAAAAGTAAATCTAATTTTACAGGTTAAACGAAGAGTGCGTGGCAAGAGGAAATGAAGTTTTCTCAGGAGATATTAGATACTACTCAGCAAATCAGAGGTGGACATTGTGCTCTGTCCAGTGATATCCGCTGAATATCAGACACTCCTGAAGAGTTCATGGGACAGACCCCTTAATGTGGTGTGTGGAGTACCACCTGAGAGTGTTGGAGTGCATACCACCTGAGAGTATTAGAGGATGTTTCTAGGGTTGGTTCAGCTTGTGCTATACCAAAATAAACTTAGAAGCACCCTAAACTCTTCTAAGACATATTGAGGGCAGCTCTTTTAACCAAACTTTGTCGACAGATGATACAGCATACTGGAAGTAGTTCTGGTGATGAAGTGCAGTTAAGCTTGTTCTGTTCTATCTCAGGTTAAAAAAGGAATTTGGGAAGAAATAGTTTTGTTTTCATAACGAAATTAGAATTAATACCATACTCGAAATTGTTTTGACGGTGTACATGAATTTAAAGGCTGGTGATTAAATTTTAGCCATAAATTAAAAATTTTAACTTGCCCAAGGGAACAAGTGTTAAAGTTAGCAATTGATGGTGGCTGCTCATGGATGAGCACCTCCAGTGCTGTAAACATCTCACTTATATTGAGTAATGAGCAGCACTCTACACAAGCCTATCGGAATCTCGCAGCCTTCACTGATTTTGGACACAGCGGCATGACAGTTACAAACAGGTTTTTATATGGCAATTTACATGTTTTAGAGACATATTCAAGTTGTGATGATCCATTTTTCCTGTTTCAGAAATCATAAATTTTCAGAGAGAGAAAAAGTGTGTGCACAGCATTGCTTGAGATTTTTATCATTGAGTCATAGCTCCAATGTAATTGCTTTCATCATTCAGTCATCTAAATTGTAGGACTTTTGATGGATGGAGAAGAAATCAGAAAGTGGTCATTAATAAACATTGCATGCACAGTAATTTTCTGTAAAGGTTGTTATATCTAGATGTTTTTCACAATTTTCAAAAACGAGATATGATTACAAATATATAAACCTGTAAAACCAAAGTAGAAGAGAGATCTATTGTCGTAGGCAATATTTCCATATTAAAAATACATTGAAAAATCTGCTATTGTAGTTATCTTTATTCAAAAATAAAATCAAGTTTGGAAATAGAGGGAAACAAAGTTTATATCTGTTAGGATTTCCAATTGGTCACACAGTATCTGCAATGATCTTCAATGTTTGGTATGCATTTTAATACAACTGCTTTTTAGATTATAATCCCAATTTTTTTAACAATTCCTGAACTATTTAAACGATTATAATACTGGACTTGGTTTATGAACATTCCATTTTTCTTTGAAAGGTGTATATAAAACATCAGACCTTTACTGTTCAAATTAACATAGCAAGCAGTCTTCAATTCAAGGAACCAGAGATATTGTTTACTATGAGGATGTTGATTATTGTACACAATGAGGTTCAGGCTACCAGTATATGTTATAGGGATGGGGGGAGGGGGATTAAATATATTTATTTGTTATGATGCAAGCAGGTTTGATATTTAGATGGTGATCACAGCCACATTTGTTGTTTTATTTATCTGGTTTGTCTTTTGATCATGATATTTCATTCTGATTTTGTTGCATCTCATTGTGTTTCTTAAATTATATCATTTCATATGTTCACTTTGTGAATTCCATGTCATTTTTATTTCATCTCTTCACTAATCATGTATTCATCTCTGAGGTCTTAGAAGTAATTTGTTTTGAACAAAAAAATAAATTACATGTTGACCCTGCAGCGTTGTGAGAGTAAGATAATTAACCATTGTACAAAGCATTTCAGACATAGATTGACCATCTTACAATCAATGAAAATATTGATAAATAAATGTTAAAATGTTCAGCTGATGTGTTATATTGTTATTTTCACATGATCATAAGATCAATAAAGAAACTAATTGCTATTATTAATGGTTGAATTTTAAGTTCAAAAAGGTTGGGTGAAAAGTAAAAACAGTATAATTTTACAAAAGTAACCAAAAGGACCCTGCAACTTGATAAACAAGGAAGTTCTAGCACAATCTGTTCATTGCTTCAAATCATGACTGAACAAGCATATATATGTATATATAAGCCTCATATCGCATGGGGAGTACCTGTTGTTCCCTTCTTTACCATGGTATATAGGTCAACGTGTCTTGTGAAGGTTTAATGCTCTGGAACATATCTTCCAAAAGGAAAGTTTATTTTTCCGTTTTTACCATTTTATGCAACACAAACTTTATTGTATATGGAAATATAGCTGTCGTTATTACCTGTAAAGTCATCCTGCATCTCTAAAAGTTCCAATATAAAATTAATTTTAAGTATATTTGGACAAATGACTGTCAAAAGTCGAATACGTTTTTAGACCACCGTCATCCGATGGTAGTCGTACGTCTGTCGTCTATCCATAAACAATTTTTGTTTTCGCTATTTGGTGTGAAGCAATGGATGGATCTTTATCAAATTTCATAGGTAGGTTTCACTTGGCCCGCTTGATTTTAGGACTGATCAGAAAAAAACAAAATGGTTGACAGTCGGCCGTCTTTGATTTCAATAATGAAAGTTCGTTATCGCTTTTTCTCGAGAAGCACTCGATGGATTTTTCTCGAATTTCATGAGTAGGTTCCCCTTGCTTCACTTTTTTTCTTATTTGATTTTCGGAATGATCAGGAAAAAAAAGGCGAGCGTGGGCCATCTTGGATTTCAACAACGACATTTTGTTATCGCTATTTCTTGAGAAGTACTGGACGGATCTCTCCCAAATTTCGTGTGAAGGTCCCTGTAAATCTCTCTTGCTGATAGGCGGCCATCTTATATTTTGACTAGGAACGTTTGTTACTGCTTTTTCTCGAGAAGTACTGGACGAATCTCACCCAAATTTCGTGTGAAGGTCCCTGTAAATCTCTCTTGCTGATAGGCAGCCATCTTATATTTTGACTAGGAACGTTTGTTACTGCTTTTTCTCGAGAAGTACTGGATGGACCTTTCACCCATTTCATTTGCAGGTTCCTCTTAGTCTGTAATTGTGCTTGTTCAAGTTTGGGTAGTTAAAGATTAATGTCACTTTCTTGACGAGAAAATGTTCAAATTTTATATAAGTAAGAGCAAAAAAGAGAGGAGAGAAGAGACAACCTCCAACTTTTGAAGCACGGATGAAGACCAAAACAATGATAGGCGCAAGATCCTATTTGGATCTCTTGTTTAATAAACTCGTTTTTATAAAGTAATATGGCCAGCATTTCATGACTTACGTCTAAACTGCCTGTTGGTATTAAGTGTAGGATTTCGATAACTAGAACATCAAATAAATACTGACATGTTAACAAATATTAATTTAAACACAAAATATGAACAAAAATGTCTCGGAGACCCATGGGGAAATACGAAGAGTGTTTGTCACGATGAATATTTCAATTTCGTGATGAAATAAAACGTCACCGTCGCTAGAGCTTACATCGAAAAACTATGTTAACATCAATCTTGAGAATGAGCTTAAGCCGAATAAATATTGTCTTGCAAAAAGGCAATAAATTGAAGTTTAATTGAAAATAACGCAATAGGAAACCAAACGACATTGCAAAAGAGAGACTTACACCGAGACTCCTGAAACAGTACAAGAATAAAATCCAGGTGTTTCGAAGGAGAAAGCGTCTTCATCTTAATTAATAACATCCACCATGTAAATATTGGGCAATCCAAGTAAGTAATGTTACGTCTCTAAATGAAATTAAGGTATGCAATGCAACTTCATATTAGATGGTCTCTGTTCAAATGAGTGCATTTAGTACTATTCTCACCTCTATCTCTCTCTACTTCCTCTCGACTTTGGCCAACTCCCCATCCCCACCAGATTTGCAACATGTAAATAGCATCACTGACAATTCAGCCTGGCATCAAGAATGGAGAATTATACTTATGTTAGTTCTTATTCGCCGTAGACTAAATATTTTTGGATAAGCATCCTTATAACTGTTAAATTTACATCACAATTATATCATATCAGGACTTACATAAATACGACGACAGCAATATTGAAAGCCTCATAAATAAATGATTCCAATTAAAAATGCATTCTCTTCAATTTTGACATTTTTAGAAATGCTAATTAAAATAACGATATTTGACAAGACTTACACAAATACGACGACAGCAATATTGAAAGCCTCATCAATAAATGATTCCAATTAAAAATGCATTCTCTTCAATTTTGACATTTTTAGAAATGCTAATTAAAATAACGATATTTGACAAGACTTACACAAATACGACGACAGCAATATTGAAAGCCTCATCAACAAATGATTAAAATTAAAATTGCATTCTCTTCAATTTTGACATTTTTAGAAATGCTAATTAAAATAACGATATTTAACAAGACTTACATAAATACGACGACAGCAGTATTGAAAACCTCGTCAATAAATGATTCCAATTAAAAATGCATTCTCTTCAATTTTGACACCTGTAATAATGCTATCAAAATAACGATAATTATATTTGATCCTGACCATACTGACAATATGATTTTCTATGTCCATTAATAACCAGGATATATCACATTGGAACCAAATTTTACACCAACATTTTTGTTCAAGGTTTTATATATATCCTAGGCTAGCTATAGTATTGTATAATTCAGTTATCCTAGGCTAGCTATAGTATTGTATAATTCAGTTATCCTAGGCAAACCCACATGCTCAGAACATAATCAATTGAAAATTCAACTAAATCGATGAAATGTCTGTGGCATGTTAAAATGGTGACAGTTTCACTGTCCGTTGGTCTGGTCGTATCCAGAACGATATGGATCCGTCGATGAATTTGGCCACATACTTGGCATGCTGTTAGTAGAACTCTGCATACTGTTGGTGGATGAGTTCACTACCGTCACATCTGTTGAATAAAGGACAAATATATAGTGCTTTGTTGATAGAGATGTTAGTTCAAGATCAATATATCATCGTATCTATATTATCAAAATTATATTTATATTATCACAAAGATGAGATAATCCTTGTAACGATCAACCTCAAAACTCAGCAATTGTCTACAGAAATATTTGTGTCTTAACGAACACTTTCATCACGGGTTGTCCTCGTTTCGTTTGTACAGGTCACACATATAATTCGAACATTGTTCTTATTTTAGTAGAGTCAGGTGACTTGAGTTGGCCTGTGAAAAGAACTGACAATCTAACAGTCATGTAACTTGAGTTGGCGTGTGAAAAGAACTGACAATCTAACAGTCATGTGACTTGAGTTGGTCTGTGATAAGAACTGACATGTAACAGTCATGTGACTTGAGTTGGCCTGTGAAAAGAACAGACAATCTAACAGTCATGTGACTTGAGTTGGCCTGTGATAATAATAACTGACAATCTAACAGTCATGTGACTTGAGTTGGCCTGTGATAATAATAACTGACAATCTAACAGTCATGTGCCTTGAGTTGACCTGTGATAATAATAACTGACAATCTAACAGTCATGTGACTTGAGTTGGCCTGTGATAATAATAACTGACAATCTAACAGTCATGTGATTTGAGTTGGCCTGTGAAAAGAACTGACAATCTAACAGTCATGTGACTTGAGTTGGTCTGTGATAATAACTGACATGTAACAGTCATGTGACTTGAGTTGGTCTGTGATAAGAACTGACATGTAACAGTCATGTGACTTGAGTTGGCCTGTGAAAAGAACTGACAATCTAACAGTCATGTGACTTGAGTTGGCATGTGATAATAATAACTGACCATCTAACAGTCATGTGACTTGAGTTGGCCTGTGATAAGAACGGACATGTAACAGTCATATGACTTGAGTTGGCCTGTGAAAAGAACTGACAATCTAACAGTCATGTGACTTGAGTTGGTCTGTGATAATAACTGACATGTAACAGTCATGTGATTTGAGTTGGTCTGTGATAAGAACTGACAATCTAACAGCCGATGCATGGTTTCCGTTACAAGAAAAACAACGATATAATGAAAGACTTACTAGGAGCAGATCCGGCCGAGGGAAGAAAAACGGTGCCGGGGCCTCTGTCCTGTCTACAACAACAGCAACAGCAGCAAACACAACAGCAAACGATCAACCCGACACAGCCAAGGGCGATAAGGATGGGTATCCAGCTGCAACACATTACATTTGTATAAATGCATTAAACATTATTCAAAGCATTGACAAAGAGGAAACACTTGGGACCACTTCTTGGAGTGTATTGGAATCAACGTTTTCCCACGTGAGTTGATATCGAGTGTGACATGTAAATACTGTTTTGGGGTGGAGCAGATATATTGCTATCAAGAACAGTTTAAGGTCCCTCAGTTATTTGACAACCTATAAGACCAAATAAGTTGCAATATAGCAGAGTTTGTAAAGTTCTCAAAAGTCAGGTAAAATTATCCGTTGCGAAGACCTTCGTTTACAGGTGTTAGAGACAGTTGAGACGATATTTTCATGTTTACTGTCCCTGTTGACTGACTCAAATCGATATCCACGCAGTGAACATATATGTATTAGCTAAGAGTTTAAAGGGTATGATAGAATGATATTACAAGCAGAACAGTCGGTATATCCCGGGAATGGAATATAGACGAGCAGTTAACAGGTTGACATACTTAAAATTTAATTGTAACCTTTTAATTCTTGCATTTAAATTTCATGTTCAACACCTATTTCCAGTGTTTATTTTACCTGACAGAAGTTAGTTGACGTTAATAATCAATAAGATACAAAGAGAAATATCTTTATATTGTATAGTTGGTTATATACGCGGGAATTTAATTTCACTACATTCATAGTCATTAATGACAGCGCGAAATTAAATATCCAGCATACACTATGCAGTGAATCAAA